CTCGGAAAGAAGGTAAAGATAATAACAGATTGCAATGCCTTTGCCATGACAATGCGCAAAAATGATGTTCCCGTAAAAGTAGCTCGCTGGGCAATGTTCTTGCAAGATTTTGATTATATTATTGAGCATCGCCCAGGCACAAGGATGAAACACGTCGACGCCTTGAGCCGAGTTCATTGCTTGTTAACCCAGGATTCTGTCAGACATCGAATTCAGCAGGCTCAACTTCAGGATGAGTGGATAAAGGCTGTTGTTAAAGTTTTGGAGACAAATACCTATGACGATTTCTACCTGAAGCACGAAATTCTTCACAAGGATCCGATAAAAGAGCTTATCGTAATTCCGTCAGCCATGGAAGTCGAAATAATCCGCACAGCCCACCGACAAGGACACTTTGGAGTCAAAAAGACGATCGATCTGGTTCAGCGTGATTATTATATCCCAGAGCTAGATAGAAAAACTCAAGCAATTGTGAAGTCTTGTGTAGAATGTATAGTTGGTGAGGCGAAGTATGGGAAAAAGGAGGGTTATCTTAATACGATAAACAAGTCAGATGAACCTTTACAAACGTACCATATCGACCACGTTGGCCCGATGGACTTGACCAAAAAGCAGTACAATCATATCCTAGTAGTAGTCGACGCTTTTTCTAAGTTTGTGTGGCTTTATCCTACCAAAAGCACTGGCGCCGATGAGGTCGTGGACAGACTACAAAGGCAATCGGAAGTATTTGGTAATCCAAGCCGTTTGATAACAGATCGAGGAACAGCGTTCACAGCGAATGTCTTTGAGGAATATTGCAAGGGTAACAATATACAGCATTTGTTAGTAGCCACAGGAGTGCCCCGCGGCAACGGCCAAGTTGAGCGTATCAACCGGATTGTCATCACCCTACTGACCAAACTTTGTGCAGAAGACCCGAAAGCCTGGTACAAACACGTAGGAAGAGTTCAACAGTTTATAAACTCCTCACCACCTAGAAGTACTAAACTATCTCCGTTTAAAATCTTAACTGGAATGAACATGAAGACTAAGTACGATACTGATTTGGGAAATTTACTGGAAGAAGACTATTTAAGTGAGTTACAAGAAGCAAAAGAAAATATTCGTCGAGAAGCCAAGGAAAACATCTCAAAGATTCAGGATGAAAATCGCAAGGCATATAACAAGTCTAGGAAACCAGAAACAGACTATAAAATTGGGGATTTAGTCGCTATCAAACGTACGCAGTTTGGAGCCGGTTTGAAGTTGAAGAAGAAGTTTCTAGGACCCTATGCCGTTACACGCAAGTTGAGACATGGAAGATATCTCGTGGAAAAGGTTGGAGATGATGAAGGTCCTATCAAGACAAACACAGTTGCGGAATACATGAAACTATGGTCGCCGTCATTCGGGACGAATGAATTGTCAGAATAGCCGAATGTAGGACTGCCATCTTGCATGAGCGATTCCAGAAATCTTGATTTAACAGAACATCTGATTCTTAGCATTAGGTTTAACAGAAGGGAACGTCAAGAGAGGGAAATATAAGAAGTTGAGGAGGGTTGAGAATTAGCTTGAAACGAGGAAGGTCGTGTGTTCTCAAGAAAAGAAATTTGTAGTACGAAGTGGAAAAACTATAAAAAGCTGTATATCATACCTATATCAAATAAAGTGCTTATATTATTAAACATTAATCAAATGAATTAGAGTGAAGAAGCGATTCTCTACATTAATTTAAATGTTTTAACCCTGTTAATGATAAAGCCACTCTTAAGTTAAAATTAAAATGTTTTGTTTGTACAAAGAAAGTTATCATTAATTTTTGAACAATCAACTAATAGAGGCAGCTCAGTTCATATCTTGTTTTTATCTACAGGACATTCCAGGGTATCGCAGAAATATCTACCAAAGTGTATTTAATTTAGTAATTTTTTTATTTTTGTTTTTTATTATTATTCAAAGAAACAAAATTAATAAAATCCGACTTATTAATAGAAATTGATAAAGCTTATGACATACCCTATTCCAATGAATAGTATAAGTATGTATTTATTTATTTAAATATATTTATTTTCCTTGTTAAACCTATTTTTGGTGGTGATATGTCACTGGCATTCCGGGCATCAGGTACAAACAAAACATGTAGATCACGTAAGAGGAGTACCGGCGAAACTTGACCCATACTTGGCTTTCTTGGAACAAAGCCATCACCTGGCTTTGAATATCGCTGAGATTTAGGAGGCCACTGGGGTCCCCCAGGATGCTGAAGAAGCTTGTGCGAGATCGGTGGACCTCCCGTCGCAGTTCCGTGATTTCGACCGTCATGTGCTTGGTACACTCACGCAGTTTTTCCAGTTCACTAGATTGCCTGATGTTGATTTAAATAGGAAAGAATTAACAAGGTTAAGTCGTGAGCCGAATCTTAAAAACATTTCATCTTTAGTAATTTTCAGCTAGATAAACTGGGATGTACATAGTTTGCCATTCTGATGAAAAATATGTACATTTGGAGGTTGATGTTTTGAAAAAAAATTTATAGCTTTCTTTTGAATATGCATTAAAAATATTTATTTTTATAACCGAGAGCTGATAAGCTCGCATAAAAAGCTGCAAGAGCTTTCTTTCGTTGCTAGTTCTCTTTGAAACCGAAATGATACGGTTCTATTTCGTCGCAGCTATTTTTTTTAGCTGCGTCTTTTTGGGCAATTCCTGTAAGTATTGCGTTTACGAGGATCAGTGCCTAAGACCGCCACAAGATCGCAATGGAGATGGCCAATGTTTTTACCCTAAAATCTGTTGTGAAGTAAGTTTTGTATGAATACCATTTGTGGGCAGAATTGTAATTAACATTATTGATATTTGACAGTCAATTATAGAGTCAACAAATAAACAAAGCGAACCATGGCCAAACGTAAGTTCATTAAAGTAAATGAAGTGTATGTATAAGAAGACTGCCGTAGAATCAAAACTCTGCTATGATAATTTAATTTAACCTAAAATTTTTAACCAAATTGTTAAACTTAAATCATGACTGAAGTTTTGTTGTTCTATACCCACCAAATTATTACGTTACCATTATATTTTTGTATAATTTTTTGGATGTAGTCTTGTTTAAGTTTTTTTTATTTCAATTTAATTTATAGCCGCACATTTTTAAGCCCCCATCGGCAGTAGTTCCTATTACATATTGGCCACTGGATCCCCCCCGTCATAACTGTTCCACCGCCTCTGGTTGTCCCTCTAAACGCGTTGAGTGGCTCTGATGACATCTCTAAACACCATAATTACCCTTGGATCGTGGCTCTGTTTAACGATGGAAATTATTTCGCGGGCGGATCCCTGATTAAGCCAGGAGTTGTCCTGACAGTGGCTCACTGGCTGGTGGATAAGAACGAGACCGACCTCACAGTCAGGGCTGACGAATGGGACCTTTCTTCGGAAGTCGAGGGATTTGAAGTTCAGGAGCGCCAAGTGCAACGCATGTTACTTCACGATAAATTTAATTATCAAACAGGTGCCAACAACTTGGCGCTACTCTACTTAAGAGACTCATTCGAGTTGTCTGATCACATCAGGACGATACGTCTGCCCAATCCAAACACATCGTTCCAAGGTCGACGCTGCACGGTTGCCGGATGGGGAAAGATAAGGTTCAACGATCAAGAGCATTCGAGCACCCTGAAGAAAGTGGACTTGATCATAATCGACAATCACCGATGTGAGCAACAGTTGAGATTAACCAGGTTGGGTAAATACTTTAGGGTCCCTGAGAACGCGATTTGCGCCGGAGGTGAGCTAAACCAGGACGCCTGCGTCGGCGATGGAGGCTCTCCCCTATTCTGCCCTGTCGGAGATGAGAGCCCTGGACAATATGTGCAGGCTGGCATCGTGAATTGGGGTGTCGGTTGCGGAGAGAAGGACGTCCCTGCAATGTACACCGAAGTTTCAAAGTTTTATAAATGGATTCAGGAAAATTCGTCAGGTTTTACATTTAGATCAACTGTCAAGATGAACCTTTAACAAAATGAAGCAAATAAAGTAATCACCTTGTTTTGAAAAACAAAAATTAATTGTATAAAAAATGGAATAATAAAAAAAAAACCCAAAATATTTTAGCAAATTAAAATAAGAATTGAATTCATTAAACAAAACATGACACTAAGCGACATTTGTTAAGCAGAGGTTAATAAACATTTGCAGTTAAAGCTAATTTATGTCGGGATTTTCCAACGATTGGACAGATTTTTTAATGCCATTTATGCGTTATTCTGCAAAATTTAAGTATGTGATTATAGGTAATAAACAGCGAAGCTTTATTTTTTTTATTATTTTTAAAATGTCTAATTAATACAGTAAACTGAACGCATCCGTTTTTACTTAAAATGCATGCATATATCTTGGAACTAAGCAATTTTTACAATTACACAACATAAAATCCTGTTATTAATGGTTCTATAAATGTTAGTTTTAATTACAGCAGTATACCAAACATGGCTTTTAATTTATTTTTTGGTCAAAGGGCAGGATGTTGATATTAAAAAGTTACTAAAGCCAGACAAAAATAACAAAAAATTAAACAAAAAAACCCTGCCAGTTTGATTTCGCTGTTGCTAAAAGAACATTAAATTTGTTATCTCGACGTTGTCAATTTTCCCTAGAAATACCACACAGTCGACTTGTGTACATGAACCGACGAACATGAACTTTTTAAATTCATACATACATATACTCTTAAAAATTTTTATAACCTTTACTTGTATAATGAAAAGATTTTCTATTGATTGAAAAGTATGTAACAGTTATACAGAAGAACTAGTAAACGCATGTAGACCTTATTATATAATCTTGGTCAGGATCTCTGTCTTCTGTGACACCCACAGCTTTCATGCAAAATCATTATGAATAATAGTTGGGATTCTTATGATGAAAATAAAAACTGTTTATTCGAATGTCCAATAATTGAAATATTAAAAAACAAAAAGTTCAAAGCTTTGTTTAAAGATTGCGGACGAATTCTTTGGAAAACGTGTATATATACATATATATATATACATTGCTGATAAGCTTAAGCTTCCCGAGAAGGTATAAAAAAGACGGATTCCTCCAATAGTCTTCAATCATATTCGCCAAGCATGGGACGTTCAACGTTAATCGCAGCTGTTCTTCTAAGCTGCATCCTTATCGGCAAAGCCTGTGATTATCAATGTGCTTTAACAACAGAATGTGCTGAAGAGGCCCCTATATTTAACTACCGCCATTCAAAATGCACTGAGCCTAAAATTTGCTGTGGAGTTTTAAAAAACGTAAGTAAAAAATTAAACAATTTTACATAAGATTTAAAGTTATCGGTTTTTTATTATTTGCAGAATATTTATTCGTCCAAAAAGGCAGAATTTCAAACTCAGCTAGATTGGGTTCAACCGCAATCAATTCAAACTCAGCCCGATTGGGTTCAACAGCCATCATCTGATTACCCTCGTAATCCACCCGTTCTAATAAAACCAACTGAAGAACGAGACGATTTTCAGGATATTTACAATATACGAAAATACCCCGAGCCACTACCTACCACAAATCCACCCGTTCTAACAAAACCAACTGAAGAACAAGACGTTTATCCGGATATTTACAATATACGAAAATACCCCGAGCCACTACCTACCACAAATACTTGGCCAACAGAAAATCCCACTCAACTTTCTGAAAAAAACAACAAGTGTGGCATCAGCAACGAAAACGGATTGTATAACATCTACAACATCCAAGCTAACCAAGCAAAGCCCGGTCAGTTCCCTTGGGCCGTGGCTCTGTTTAACGATGGAAATTATTTCGCGGGCGGATCCCTGATTAAGCCAGGAATCGTCCTGACAGTTGCTCACTGGCTGGTGGATAAGAACGAGACCGACCTCACAGTCAGGGCTGGCGAATGGGACCTTTCATCGGAAAACGAGAGATTTGAAAATCAGGAGCGCCAAGTGCAACGCATGCTACTTCACGATAAATTTGATTATCAATCAGGTGCCAACAACTTGGCGCTACTCTACTTAAAAGACTCGTTCGAGTTTTCTGATCACATCAGGACTATATGTGTGGCCAGTCCAAACAAATCGTTCCAAGGACGACGCTGCACGGTTGCCGGATGGGGAAAGATAAAGTTCAACGATCAAGAGTATTCGAGCACCCTGAAGAAAGTGGACTTGACCATAATCGACAATCACCAATGTGAGCAACAGTTGAGACACACCAAGTTGGGCAAACACTTTACCGTCCCTGAGAACGCGATTTGCGCCGGAGGTGAGCTAAACCAGGACGCCTGCGTCGGCGATGGAGGATCTGCCCTATTCTGCCCTGGCGGAGATGAGAGCCCTGGACAATATGTGCAGGCCGGCATCGTGAATTGGGGTGTCGGCTGCGGACAGAAGGACGTCCCTGCAATGTACACCGAAGTCTCAAAGTTTTATAAATGGATTCAGGAAAATTCGTCAGGTTTTACATTCAGATCAAATGTCTAGATGAACCTTTAACAAATTGAAGCAAATAAAGTAATCATATGGTCTTTGAAAAGGAAATGCAATTGCAAAAGAAATAAAAGTTCGATCAAATAGGTTTTAATGAATAAAATATTTGTGTAACGCAACGAAATAAGATTGTCAATAAAAAAATATTCTTACTCTTTGAGTATTCGCAGCTTTTCTTCCAACATAGTAATGTCCTTTCCAAGGTCTCGAATTCGATCGTCCTTCTTGGACAACTCTCGGTCATACTGGTTTTTCAGACGAATATACTTGGCCTCTTTATTTTCCGCCAGGACCACCTCCTTGAGCAGCTGCTCATTCTCGAGCTGCAGGTCTTGATTGGCTCGCTGTTCGTCAGTCAGTTGCTTTTGCAGTTGCGATTGCTCCAAGCGGGCGGTGAAGAGCAGCTTCTTGGTCTCGCCTGACATCTCCTCCAGCTTATCGTTCTGTTGGCATAGGGATAAATTTTCAAAATATATTCAGAATCAAAATATATTCTATACACTTTAAGGTACTGTGTGTATTGTGTAAAGTGTGTCAGTAAAGGGTAACAGGTTTCATATATTTTCCTGACGTGTTTCAAGGCTTACAAAACTAACCTCCTTTTTGCGTTTTTCCAAATCCGTTTGCAGTTGAAGTTTCTCGGTTGTGAGGTTTCGCACCGAAGAGGCGAGCAATTCGCAGGAGGATTTCTCCTTGTCGATACTCATCGCATATTGCTTTAGCTGCATTTGCAACTCGCTGTTTCTTTTTTGCTCCACCCTCATTAAAGTGCCATAGACGTGCAATTGGCTCTTCGACTTCATCGACTGTTAATAAATATTATAAAAAATATTCTTTGGCGAAAATCTGTAGCACATACGCTGATCTGGAGACGCTGCACAAAATCCTGGAGTTCTCGAACCTCCTTTCTTCTTTGGCGCCACGTGTGCAACATCACCGTGGTGAAGACCTTCAAACTGGCATCCGTTTTCCGCTGGATTAGGAGCTCAGGTTGGGCCAACATTATCTGCCGATTCTCTTCTTCATCTTTGTTCGGCCAAAAGCTCTCATCACAGGAGCAATCATAATTGTCCTTTCCCTCTCCGTCCATTTTATCCACCAGTGCTTAAAAATGTAGAAGAAACTTAAATTTTCGTGGCTTAAACCGAGTCTCAACCGAAAATCTTGGTTGTTAACTAAAAAACTAAAAAAAAAATTGACTTTACATTAATTTTTTGAAAATTTGAAAAAAAATAACTTGCTCATTGTGAAGTTTTAATCAATGCCACCTGAGTATACGAAAGTGAAATCTTTTGCTTTTCTTGGTTATTTCGCAACAAATACCCGGAATCGGCCAAGGTTATCGGGGGTTAACTAGCGATTAGCACGCACATGCTACTAGAACTCAAGGATTTTCGGCTGGGTGCACTTTAACGACGATAAAATATCCTTTAATTGATAAACCAATAGTTAAAAAGTCGAGCCTTTATTTTGCCTCAATGGTAAGTTATATAAAATGACACTTGTGAACAATTAAAAAATTTCCTTGAATTTGTTTTGTCTTTTTCATAAAAAGTAATTTCTAAGAAATATATCAATATCAAACAGGAAATATAATCACCATTCAAATGAATTAATATTATTTTCCTGGAACCGTTTATGACTTAAGTCGGTATTGACTGAACTTTAAAAGGTAATGTTCACGAATCCTTGTTCAAGGTCTTTAAGGCAGAGGCATGGTAAGTATAACTTCCAAAAGGGGGTAACCCAAAAAGATAATCTTACTTAAATAGAGGAAGCGAAAACACTTTTTCTTAGCTTTTAGACGAAGCTAACATGGTCATAAAATATTATGTTTGTCAATGTTTCCTTTACATTAAATGAAGACCACATCAATGTAGGGTTAGTTACCCTACCGCTGTCAAGGACACGTGCCACAGGAAGTTCAAAGAGTTTAAGGCAAAGGTCCGACAACCGGAAAAATCAATAATGTCGTATACCCGGTATACATATGTATAAAACAACGAATGCCCCAGCACGTGTCAGCTTATAAGGGGGTAGGATCCACCCCATTAAAAATTACCACGCGAGACTGGACGAATATCGCGTGATTTTCATGGAAAACCCTCTGCAATTGGCTGTCGGTTTTTCGAGGAGTGAGAGTTTTCCCACTTTGTTTGATCGATGTCTGAGCTCCATTAAGTGAGTGTAATTTTTGTTGTTCTTTCTTCGTGCTATCAAGACATTGGGAGTTGACTTAGGCCCCATATTCCCGCTCCTTTACATATTTCGGATAAAAAACCGTTGAGGAATTTCAATACAAACATTTGACATAATTTCTATTTATTTGGGCTTAGCTCATGTGCATTTATGTATATTTTTTGTGAGGGGAAGTTTGGGTTTTGATATTCTTTCGTGCTAGTTTTTTTGATCTCCGATAAGGTTAATTGCGGGAAATTTGGATTTAAAGATTCAATTGGTGGGGGACTGTAATACAAATTTCGTAGAATTACATTTGTAATTTCTAGGTCTGTGCCGTGTGGATATTACTTCATATCCTGTGCATATTTATATTTATGCAAATTTCATTTATAAGGTCAGATACATTGTTATGTTATACATTTATGAATCGAGTGAAAAAACCAAGCATTTGAGTCTCATATATTGTACATATAGAACAAAATAAATTACTTAGTAATATTTTTTTTTAAATTTTAATCATTTTCGGCAAGTAAAAAATGCGGTAAAACCCAGGGCATAAAATTTGGTGTCATCCTTTGTGACCTCAAATGATTCAGAGCTTCCGTACAAATGATTCAGTTCTTATCAAATTTCGTTAATTAAGTAGTATTCTGAAATGTTAAAGTTCGTCCCGGCGGAAAGTGAAAACTGCTTCGGAATTCTCAGCACTGAGAAAGTGAGTCACGAGCATTGGGACCCTGTCGCATTGAAAATTAATGCCACAACAAATGCCGGCGCAGGATAATATCCTTTTTCCAGGAATTGGACGCTGATTCAGGCCGGCAAGCCGGATGGGAGAAAGCGGGGTCGCAAGTGGATGGGTCAAAGTCACACACACAGATAGTAAGTACTTCATTCATTCATAAAAGCAGAAAAAGCTTTTTGCAGGCGGCCATCAAAAAATGAGTCACTAAAAAAGCACTGAACAAAATTATGGCGCCGAATCATTTGTATATCTTAAAATGTTATAAAAATTATTCATACTTGATTTTTGTTTTTAATTATTTTATTAAAATATAAAAAAGTAACAAAATAAACTAGAAACCAAAAGTTTATAGTTTTTCTTTTTTTTATAATATGGACAGAATTTCGGTACTAATAAAGGGCTGCCAATTTGCTGACCCGCTTTATTTATGCAATTTATCTATTAACCTGCAACCGCTTTAACTACAACAACGATTTATTGATTTAGCATTTAAGGCAGGTTCTCACCTTGTAGAGCCGAAAAATGACACTTTTTAAAAAAAATTGTTTTGAGAAAACGGTTAAAGATAAAAAGTTGAAATTTTTAACTTTATTTCAAAACATATTTATTTTGCGAAAAAAATTTCAAAATTGAAAAATCAAAAAAGGGGCGGGAGGCGGCGATCCTCAGTTGCAGCATTTCAGCAAAAAGGTGTCCCGCTTACGGAAGTGATTCAGCCAAAACGGGTGATCGGAAACACAAAAACCAAAAAGATTCTTAAAAAGTACAGTAATGTGCATAAAATGAACTAGGACCAGAAACAAAAATGAAAATTGCAAAAGTTATTAGCTTTAAAAAAAAAATTTCGATTTTCGCGCTTTTTTTCTCACTAATAATTTTCTCAATTAAACAGTTTTCAATATTTTTGGATAATCCCAGTTCATTAGTTAAAGGAAACAATTAGGAACATTTAAAAAAAATTTTATGACGATTGGTTAACCCCAACGCCTTTAATTACTTCCGTAAGGTCCGAAAACGTGGTTTTTTCAAATTTTGATCTGAAATTTGTTGAGCACATTCTGAAAACATATATCTATACGAAAAGCCAAAAAAAAAATCGATTTTTTTTCGACACAAGGTGAGAACTGTTATATAGCGATTATCTATTTTAAAATGATTCTTTTTCTATATAAAAGAAAATCCCAGGAAATGGAAATACTAGGAGATGAAGAAATCAGTAAGCGGAAATCTTTAGTCGGGATTGGATTTTGCAAAGCGAACGTGACTCAGACCAGCTGAGCCAGCTGATGATTCGTTCTCCGCTGTAATTCCTCTTTTGGAAGTCTCTCTTTTGAGCTTCACTCGAGTCTTTGGAGAGATTGAGGCAGAAACTTCGTGCGAAGAAAGCTCTTTCGAGACTCTTGCGGTATCTCAAATGGCGTCTACGGTATTGGAAGTTAAGCTTTTTTGCCTTCTTGTCGGATGGTTGTTTTTTTCAATTTAAATCGTTTGTGACTCGCGTCGAGATCGGTTGCGTTATCCAACTCCACCGTGCGTTATTTACCTTCTCGCAGTGCTTTAAGCTCACGCTCTCTGGTGCTCTTCCGAAGTCCGAAAGGCAGGTTGGAATACCAGTAGATAAAAATAAAAACGAAAAGTAAAAGAGCTGCATAAAAACGCATAAATTCAATTGAGCCAAGCAAGTTTCACTTGCTTTGGTATTACGGGTGACACAAAAAAAAGAGTCTATATACCTTTATAACGGAGAAAAACACGGCGCACGTATTGATAATGTCGCTTGAACGTTTTACCGATTAGATTACACGGCACATCGACCATTTAGCCAAAAGACATCGTAGTACTATCGAGAAAACCCAAAAAAAAAGAAATAGAGAGAGAAAGAGCGCTATAACAAATTACCAAAGTTAAAAAACCGAGTAACAAAAACAAAAGCTAAGCGATGATCGCATAGCAGCATAAAGCCCGGAATTCCCTATAACAAAACGACGTCACGGCGCCCTCGCTCTCTCTTTCTCTCGCTCTGCCCACTCTCTCTTTCGTCGGTCTTCGATTTCTTAGCTTTTCATTAATTTCTGTTCGAACCGTTCTCCCCCAATCGCCTGTTTTTGTTGTTATTATCGATATTATCGCACCCGCTTTGTGCGCGCGCAAAAATAAAAAGAGAAAAAGAATCAAAAGAAAGAGAAGAAAACATTATTTATATATAAAAATAATAAATAAACCGGTTTCTGCTATGGCTTGTGACTGTGTGTGTTAACATTAACTCTAAAAATGCCATTTTTTCAACTAAAAATAAATGGCTTATTGCGATCGCTTCGCATTTAACTAATTTACATAACGGCACCATTTTCCAAATAACACAATACAAAACAAATGCTAATGCAAAGTGTATTAATTGGTTCGCGTTAAATTTCAGGTGCCTGTTTTTATTAGCAAACCGGGTGATCAATGCATACATATAGAACGTTTTCAGATCACTCCTTGACTTAGGTAAGTCCCCTATGAAGTCTTGCTTTATTTATTGATTCTAAACTCTGATAGAATGATCTTAGTTAATACGGTGGAAAATCCTAATGACTAACCTAAGCTTTCCAGAAGGGTTTTTATATTTTAGTCTTTGTTTGCGATCTTAAAGTCTTATTAATATAATAAACATATCTTATAATTTCTCTTAGACGTTAATTGGAATAATATCTATGTACATATGTATATACAAGAAAGTGTTTTATAAAACACTCGTTGATATTATTTTTTTATCAAACATAACCTTACAATATTTTCTCCTACTTTTAACCTTTATCAGTTTCCAAGAAAGTCCGGCTTTTGCTTATAAAAACTTTTCCTTCTGAAAGTGTGTAGCTCCCAGAGTATTAAACTCAGTAATGAAAAATTCTTCAGGATACGATTTCATTGAAATATTTTTGAGGACCACTCCTTTTACAGTGTAACCCCATTTTTTCGGGTGGCAATTATCCACCTGCGTATTAAATAATACGGCGAATGCAAACGATAAACTTAAATAATATAGCCAAAACACCTGTGTACATGGCAGCGCAGTCGCAGTGGCTTTTTCGACGTCGCCATAAATGAAAGTTTCTTGGGAGCAAGTGGGCTGCGGAGGGGGTAGGTGTCAGAGGGGGTGGTGCTCGGGGAAAAGCTTTTGCCACTTGCATTTGTTTTACTTTTTTTTTGTATTTTTGCGTCCGTTCAAATACGCCGGAGAGGTTTTCAATTGTTTCATTCTAAGATCGAATCGATGCGCTTGCGGACGTGTTCGCGCTGAAAATATTTTATTTTTATTTATATTTTTTCGATTCGACCTGCGGTCTCCTATTTTTTGTCGCGAAACTATTAAACTATTTTACCGTGAAGTAACATTTTTAAGCAACAAAGAACGGTCATTGTGTTTTGTGAGTGCGCTGAATGAAATAATGAAATCAGTTAGTCATGCGTGCTAACTGGTCCTTGGTTTAATTCGCAGGTAATTATGAAAAAAGGCTTTTAGATAATGCGGTGTAATTTCAAAAAACTGCAGCCAAGTTAAATGCAAACCGGCTGCTGACTCATAATATCGAGAGTCTCGGGCCAAAGAAAAACAAAGCGCAAATATCGCCAGTTTTAAGCAAGTCATCTGCGATATACAAAGCTCGAGTGGAGATTTGTGTGCTAACAAAGATCTAAGGCCAAGTCAATAGATGATATTCCTTATATCCAGTGGTAGTTTCCCGGCATGCCTGACCAAAGTCATGATTGATACGATCTACCGTTGGGTAAGGCCCTTTATGCAAATCATCAATCAATATGGATTCTGATTCTACGAAAAGTGATTTGAACCGAATGATATAAAAGCGTGAATACTATCAGTATAGTAAAGAAAATCATAGGCGTTTTGGCAGGTAGTCACATGCGTGCGTTAAATCGTAATTGTGTTAAAAAAAATTTGGTAATCCTCAATAAGAATATAATATTTGTAAAAATTAAAAAAATAAATTTTCTATATACAATATATTTGGAACTAGTTCCATCGATTTGTCAGCATATCGGTTATTTATTTTTATTTGAGCTGTAAATTGCTTGACGCCAACGATCGTTAAAAAACATTTGTCTGTCTGGAGTTTTGCGGAACCCGTTTGCCTAAGGAATTTTTGGCTGCTTCTGCTGCTTTGATGTTGATCTTAATCTTAATTTGTGGTGCTGGCGCCAAAAGAACTTTTTTCTGTGTGTCTTAGCTATTGGAAATTGCATAAAATTAGCATTTTAAATGATCGAAACGAAACGTTTTTATTTTTTTTCTGTTTATTTACCTTTTTATTATTTGCCAAAAAAAGTCATAACTGGCAGAAAAGCGACGAAGCCCATAGAAGAACAACGTTCTTTTATTAATCAATTTTATACTTGCAAAAAAACTATTTTATTGCCCATTGGGGGTTTGTCCGGCGGCGTTTTATAATCTGAAATTTTTTAAAGTATATAGTAAGTATCGGAAATTCCTCTGTTATTCCGATTTCGGTAGAAAAGTTTGGCAAACTATTAATTCACTCTTGGGCTACCGTCATTGAGTTCTATTTTTATGTTTCTAATCTTATTTTTGGTTATCTGAAAGTATTGTTTCGGTTTTTCTACGCTCCCCACCTGTGCGCTATCAGTCTGAACGTTTCGGTATGCAGGTCCTATCTGATGGGCGTTAATGGCAGCAAATTTGGTTGCCTAAAAATGGTTTTAATCGCACCTTAGTTGGCGATGATATAATCGTCAATAAACTAGGAACACAAATTGATTCTGGCGCAGAGGTTTTCTCTTTTACGCTCACTGACTTTTTCAATTGGTTAACCGATTATAATTATGGGAATTTCCAGTGTGTTGATATCCTCAAATAAGGAGATTGTATCACTCAGGTAACTGACCTATTCCCGTTCTGTTTTCTTTATTCTGAATGAGAAAGTCACGTAGTTGGTGAATGATTTTCGCCAACAGTGGGTGGCACACGAGCGAATTCCTCAAATATTTTGTTCTATATAGCCAGAAATTTGTATTGTGAGTCATTGTATTTCGTGGAAATTCGTGGCCCAGTCAAAATTGAAATATTTTGTTATTAAAGATCTCTTTCTACGAGTATATTGCATCCATTCATTTGGCAGAGGCATACAGCGTATATATCCTCTGCCCAGCATAGATCGTATACTTGGGTTCTGGCAAACTCATTAGAGAGCTTTCTGAACTGGCGCCAAATACTCAAGGCGGATTGAACGGTGACAAGTGGCGAGTTATTTTTTTTTTTGCCGTGGATATGGAAACGGAAATGCCAATAAAACCTAAAGCCTTTAGCCATATGCCTACTATATATTCTCAATGCATACTAATGTACTTGAAAAATGTGTTTATATTCACTGACAACAAACAATCCTGTGTTGATGCATTTTATGGTAATTTGTAGATACCTTTGCATCTTTTGCTTAGATTTTTTTCCCTTTATAAAAGGTGACTCAGTTTTTCATGGTTGAATATATAATATAACCGTTGAATGTGATGGATAATAAATTGTATCAATAAAAAGTTAATAATAAAAGTTATTTATATAATTAAATAAGTTATAATATTATGTTTAATAGTGTTACAAAACTTTGCTTTTAACCTATTTGTACAAAAGAAAAATTACTAAAATACGGCATCGTAAATGCTTTTAAGTTTATTGTATTACGAACTGAGGTAATTAGTTTCTATTTACAATACATTTATAAAAAAGGGTTAGATTTCAATCAATTCAATGTATTTACACAATTGCCAGTAAAGTTTATTGACATCGGTAAACACATTATCCGTTTTATTGGTTCCTGAAAAGTGGGACAACTGACTCGACGAAAATGAAAATTCCTTGAAAGCAAAAGCAATAAATTCATGACATGATACAAATACATGTACGGGTGTACATTGTACCTAAGATTCTAAAGAAAATACATTTTTAAAATATTAAGAAAAATAAAAATAGCAGAAAGCTCGACGACAAAACTTTTGCTGGCAGGCGTGCATAAAGAATTTTGTGTTTTTTTTTTCTCAAAAACATTTTTCTCGGTTCAGTGTTCAGACATTAGCCGAGTACTCAAGACGCTTTCGAGTGTGTTTTCGTCGGTATCGCCAAATTGAAAATTTTCTCTCGACAATAATCTATAGATACGAAATACATAGAAAATCGTTTCAAAAACCAAGCTACGAACTATTAAAGAGGTCGTTTTATGTGCCGTTATCGAAGAGAAGACATTATAATTGATTAAAAAATAAAACCTATTCAAATTCATTATCTGTGTTGTGAACCATTTTCCGTCAAAGTTTGGCCGTGATAAGTGAAAGGTGATTTATCGCTCGATTCTCTAACAAGATAAATACGTATGAGTAATATATATAGTAACTAAGATACATTCGCATTACATTTGTTGGCTTTTTCCCAATTCTGTTTTCATATTTGCCAAATTCGAATTATTTCATGACGTAATTCTTCCCCAATATTCAAAAAGTAGAATAGTTCTGAGTTAAACCGAATAAGAATTTTTCTGTTAAATATATATTTTGGACTGACACTACATGCGAATGTCTTTTGATTTATTCTACTTGTTGTGCTTCTTCAAAGGATATAGAATTCGTTTTGCCTAACTTAATTTTCAATATTGTTCATTGAACATGATTTATAATCGACATATTTATAGTTGACGCACAAAAGGCATTTGGCAGCTGTGAAAACTTCGATCGCGAAATTTAATTCCTCTAGAAGAAAAAAAAACAGATGTCTTTGGTGTACATATATTCTTTGATAAGCTAAAACAAATGTTAAACAAATTTGAGGCAGCTTTTCTAAAAGTGTGTCCTTGAAATTGATTTGCTTTAATAAATTACAACGATTATTGTCTTTTTCAATGTACATAAATTGTTTCGATCAAGTTCGTTCACCGCAAAAATAAAAAAATGTTTTGATACTCATTATAATATTCTTAGTTGTCAGTCAATTTGTTTTGGTTGGTTGAATCAACATATGTATTTACAAATTCGTCTTAAAGATTAAACAGCTGATGAGTATAGTAATAAAGAAACTGTCGACTTATTTCATCATATTCTTAGAAAACCGCAGGGATAATAATTGTGAAGCAATGCTGACTATTTCTATAAAGATATTGTTAAGCTGTTTAGTTGGAAAACCATTAAGTGGGAAATAATTTAGTAGAATAAAGTACAAGTGTGGAAAGTCGTTCAACCTTTGCTCGGGAATATTTTCTTGTAAGGCTATTTATTTCTTCCTTTAGCGGTTGTGTGTGTATATCTTTTAAAAACAAATTTGGCACACGTTTTCTGGTTTCCGCTTTTTACCCCCACTGATCAAATCGGTTCAGATCGGACCAATGCATGGGCATTAGTTAGTTTTGTCAGCCATTGACGTATTTTACCCACGGCAGACCGATGTCTAGACACGATCAGAGAATAAACTCTGAGGTCATACAGCTACTTAGTCTCCGTCTATATCTTATGGGTCGGTACGCATTTCAAAGATCGGCAAACGAATCGTTGACAATGCGCGCCATCATTGATAAAAATGTTTTGTTTGGATTGCTCCAAACTCGCCAAAAAAAAGAAACAAAATAAAAAGCTTCTCGCATCTCCGGGGAGGCCAGTCTGCGAGGCGATCTATATATATATATGGCAACCTATATATATGTATACTACCTGATATATGGGAGGCAGAGTTTTTGTCGCTTTGTGGCCGCGTTACGCAAAATGTTATTTTTAAACAAGGCGTCCGGAGCTTTAGCCGGACTATACCGGACCAGACCGGGGCCGCCGGACCCGGCCAAAAAGGAAACATACGCAGACGCAGATGCAGACGGACATGCAGCACACCCACTGCACTGCAGCTGCATCAGATCCCGGTATAAATTGTGAAAATATACATTTCGCCTAATGACCCCTAAATAGTGTGCAATTAAGGCTGTCCATCGAGCACGAAAATCGCCCACCCACATAGAAAAATAAGGGGGATAAACAGATTGCGATCGGTCTTCGGCAGAGTCTTCTACTTGCTCAGTTTTCTGCCAGACGCTTCATTGTTCGGTTCGTCATAGTCAGTGGTTAGGAGAGTCTTACTCATATAGCAGATCACTTCGAACTGCTTGTGGTTCGAACAAGAGCACGAGTCTGAGGCTTTATTTTTGATCAGCATCGTCATCGTCTGGCGTTGTCTGGGGCCTTCGATTTGCTTGCCAAGGATTTGTTCTTGCTTGGCATAACTTTAAATCTGAAAAAGGTGCAGCAAATGTTCGAAGACATTCTATTTTAGTGCATTAACTTAATTAAAAAGCATATGGATAGGATATTTTGTAAAATAGATTTTTTTAAAGAACGAAAATAATAAAAATATTTGTACTTTCGAGAAATCTTTATTTAGAGAAATATATACTTTTAAGAGATCCTAGTGCAACATAGAGTTTTTTTCAAGAAGCTTATTAAAAATGAATAATATTTTAAGATTTATATTAAATAATTTTTATAAAGTGTTTGAAACCTTTTTTGAAAATCTTTTTTGGTTTAATCTTTCAGTTAATATTTGGCCACGAAATGTTTCCCAACCAGAACAACGTAGCCGCTTCTGGGTCGAATCCAGCGGCTGATGGCCAACAGAGCCTCAACTACAACGGACTGCCCGCCCAGCAGCAACAGCAGCAGCAGCAACAACAACAGCAGCAGCAATTGTCACAGTCCACGAAAAATGTGCGAAAGAAAATGTATGTGAAGATCACCGAGCAGCCGGCCGGAAAGGCCCTGCGATTCCGCTACGAGTGCGAGGGTCGCTCGGCGGGTTCCATTCCGGGTGTGAACTCCACCTCGGAGAACAAGACCTATCCGACCATCGAGATTGTGGGCTACAAGGGACGCGCCGTGGTGGTCGTCTCCTGTGTCACCAAGGATACGCCGCATCGGTGAGTAGACTTTATTTTATATATATACTTTGGATACCATTTTCTCTATTACAAAAATTATATTATTATTAAAAAAATATATATTTTTATTAAATTTAAAAACAAACTTCGAACAAAGTGAACAAACGTTAACAGTATCTTTATTACAAAAATTTTATTATTATTAAAAAGTTTATTTTTTATTAAATTTAAAAACAAACTATGAATAAAGTGAACAAACCTCATCAGTATGCAATTTTTTAGCCATAAATGGCACTAAATTGGAATATTTTTCTTTTATACATTTTTTGTTTTGAATGTAATATATGTTCTCCTTTTTCAGTCCCCATCCGCACAATTTGGTGGGCAAGGAGGGCTGCAAGAAGGGCGTCTGCACACTGGAGATCAACAGCGAGACGATGCGAGCCGTGTTCAGCAATCTGGGAATCCAGTGCGTCAAGAAGAAGGACATTGAGGCAGCGCTCAAGGCGCGCGAGCAGATCCGCGTGGATCCTTTTAAGAGTAAGTCAATCTGCTTTCAGATTAACCAATTAAAGTATTAATCTATTTTTGTTTTATCAAACTGCAGCTGGCTTCTCGCATCGTTTCCAGCCCTCGAGTATTGATTTGAACTCGGTGCGATTGTGTTTTCAAGTATTTATGGAGACCGAGAAGGGTCGCTTCACCTCGCCTTTGCCACCGGTGGTTTCCGAGCCAATATTCGACAAGAAGGCCATGTCCGATTTGGTCATTTGCCGGCTGTGCAGCTGCTCGGCCTCCGTCCTGGGAAACACACAGATCATCCTGCTGTGCGAGAAAGTGGCCAAGGAGGACATCTCCGTGCGATTCTTTGAGGAGAAGAACGGCCAAAGTGTTTGGGAGGGCTTTGGTGACTTTCAGCACACCGATGTGCACAAGCAGACTGCCATTACCTTTAAGACGCCCCGTTATCACACCCTGGACATCACGGAACCCGCAAAGGTAACGGGCTAACTATTATATATACTTTAACAAATTTTAACACTCATAAATGGTTTTATTCAATCAGGTGTTTGTCCAACTGCGTCGTCCTTCGGACGGGGTTACCAGCGAGGCGTTGCCCTTCGAGTACGTGCCATTGGATTCAGGTAAACACACGTTCTGGAATCTTCATCGGCACCTCAAACGGAAGCCCGACGAAGATCTATTTCAGCAGGTCCTCAGGTTGGACGCCAAGCGGGAGACGCCGGCGCCAACGATTGAGGTCATCGATTTGGATACACCGAAGTTGGAGGTGCAGCATCAGCTGCCCGTAAATGCGGACTACAATCAACAGGAATCTCAGCCAGAGAATATAGTTTTTCAGCCAGAGCAATCTTTACAGCAGGAGCAATATCCACAAGAACAATCTTTGCAACAAGAGCAATATTTGCAGCAGGAACAAGAGCAATCTTTCCAGCTGGATGAACCCATGCAGCAGGAGCAGTTTGTGCATCAGGAACTGCAGAAACAGCAATCCTTGGATCAGGCCTCGGATCATTTGCCCGATCACACCTCGGATCACATTCCCGAGGATATGGAGGCGGCCGATGCCGTGGCAGAAGCCGAGGCTCATCGCCTGCGATCCGAGCAGGAGAAAGAGATCGATCACATAATCGATGAGAAGGTGCGGGAGCTGGAGCAGCTGGAACTTGGTCAGCACTTGGAGCCACGTCCCCTGACGGCCAACGACAAGATCACCGAGTGGATGAAGTCCAGCGAGATTGAACAGCAGGTCCATGAACCAAGTCCCACGGCCGAAGAAGATGTTTTGGATTCTGCCCTTGAGATATCCAAGACCGATAAAACCCTTGATGAACTTTTTGGAAACGGTGGCCGAGTTGGATGAGATCTACACGGACTTTAAAGTGCAACGCGATACGTACAATAATACGATTCAAAACGAGTTGGCTGGCGTCGAGGGACGTGCTCCTCTGCAGGTGGAGGATAGCTTCGATGATGCTGCCACCTACACCAGCCTGCAGATTGCCTTCAAGAATCCCGTTCTCATACCCATGGATGATATAATGCCACCAACGCCGCCCATGTCGCAATGCGCACCCGAAGATGCCCATCAGCATTACGATCCCGTTGAGGTTAACTCACAATCCCAAAAGCCGGAGACTCCAATGCGACCAGTTCCGCCAGTGCCGCCGGCAATTCTCACCGTTCCATTTCCGCCGGAGGAGGAGAAGCTGCCGCCGTTGCCGCCGAAGAGGATTCGCAAGCAGGACAGCAATGCGGAGAATCGCTCGATTGAGGCCAATACCGTTCAATCCCGGCCATCGACGGCTGAATCGCCGCTCAATAAGCGACTCCCGCCCGCTCCGAGTCCCAAGAATCCGAACTTCAATACGCTGCCGCGGCAGAAGAAGCCGGGATTCTTCTCGAAGCTCTTCTCGCGGCGCAAGAGCAAACCGGACTTGGCCCAGGGACATGGACAGGAGAGCAGCTCCCAGCTGGACTCCAAGGCGAACAGCCGGGAGCCGAGCATTGGGCACTTCAACATGCAGGATCCGATGCGGGCCTCCCTGCGCTCCTCCAAGTCGGCGGCACCCTTCATCTCCACCCCGGCACCGGCCAAGTCCAGTCCGGTGAAGGCCAAGAAACCCGGATCCAAGTTAACCAAGCCAGTGGGCCGGAGTGTGAGCAGTGTTTCCGGAAAGAGACCAGCTTACCTGAACGCCGATGTGGTGCACATACCGCTGAAAGGTGACAGTGCCAACAGTTTGCCACAGAGGAACGAGGGCTACTCGCAATCCAGTACGATTTCGGTGGGAGCTGGACTGGATAGACGCACTGCATCCGCTTTGCAACTGGCTGACATACCAATCAGCGAAGGTGGAATGGAACTGGTGGCCATCGCCGATCGCCAGAGTCTGCACAATTTGGTCAGCTCCATCGAGGGCCACTTCAATGTCCAGCTCGATCCCAATCTGGATCTCACCGAGGCCGAGCACTTTGCCCTGTACACGAGTATTCCGCCACTTGCGGCGGCCAGTGAATTCGATGAGACCTCCGCCTACTATGCACCCGTGGATGCCGGCGAGATCCTGACGCCCGACGAGGTGGCCAAGCGACTGGCGGCGGCAAATGGCCTCTAAATTTGTTTCAATTGTTATTTTAGGCAAACGAACCGAGGGAACGAATCCTTCAAACCGAATCCCAAAAAAAAAAAAACGAAGCAAGTTGGCTGAAAGCCAGAGGAAAATGGAAGCAATTACCTTCCAGAATCCATTCTGTTGCCACTTGTGTGGGGGAAACCAAAGCGATTGCTCTTTGGTGCCTCCAGAATTTGTATTTGTTTTCTATTTGATAATTGTGCTAAAAGTATCCCCGAATATTTTGTAAGCGATACCAGGCAAAAAAGAACCCACGAAATGGGTCAAACCAGATTTGTTATTGTCCAGGTGGCCGATTAAAAGGGCCAACCTATATCTCTATTGTATTTAAGCGAAATCACTCAATTTTCAGAGTAGAGTAAGATTTCCCCCAAATGGAATCGAATATTGTTTAAATTGAAATCGAACATAAAACCGATTATATGTACAACACGGTGTGTATATTTTGTCTTATAGATCCAGCGCACCTGAGGCGGAAACGTCAGAAGACTGGCGGTGATCCCATGCACCTGCTGCTCCAACAGCAACAGAAACAGCAATTGCAAAATGACCACCAAGGTGGCAGTAAGTTGACTGTTGATATTTCCTACAAAAAAAAAAACTGGTGTCGGTCTCCTCCCAATCTATCTACCTATTTGTCCATCCCCTATTGTGTCGTTCGGCCCCGAGTCGATATTATATTTGTGCCCGTGGGTGTTTGGATCCACTTGGGTAACTTGTTTTGAGATGCAAGCCATCTAACTGAATCCTACCTAGTCAAGTATCTTGATATTTGATCTTTTTTTCGGTATACCAAAGACTTAAATTAACAAGTCATCGGCCCAGATGATGTATTAATCGAATAGACTCTTAGCAACTATTATGTAGCACTCACTCAATGCACACACTCACCAAAAAAAAAAAACACAAAGAGATTACTATAGGGAAGGAAGTCCCCAACTATATATTTATATATTGATTTACATCTATAGGCGAAATTATAGTCAAGGATGAGAGATTGATTTGAAATCAACATGAAATTTTTGTCGCTTTTCTACTCGTTTACATGCGAAGAATATTTGATATTTTTATATAATGATAAATTACAAGTTTGGAAAAATATTTTGTATAAACTATAGTAGCTTAATAAAACAGAAAAACCAAGTTTAAAAGAAAATAATTGTTGGAAAAGTATTTTACTCAAATGGAAATTATATAGGTTTAAGTAAGTTTTGCTCTAGGACTTTTCCATCCAAGAAGTTTTGTGATAGTTCTGAGTAAGTTTCTACTAAATATTTTAACGTCGATTTATTTTTTATTTTCTGCATGACATTTTGTTTATTTAAAGAATTAATAGACTTGGAAAGATTTGTTTATTCGGTAAATTTTTTTGTTCAAATATTATTAAGAGGTAGGATTTTCCTGGCTACAAAATTTTAACCCCTTCTTTATTTCTTTAGTTTTTTTGCCAGCTATTATTAATTAATATTTGTTATTGATTGTTATTTTTTTGTTTATTGAATTGAGGCCTTGTTGGTGTGCTGAATTTTTCGTTTGTTGCTTATTGCTTTATTAAACTTTGTGTGTTGCTTTGTGTTACTTGCTTAATTAAAAAAAACAGTGGTGATGATAATCCTTTCAAAGGCATCAAACTAAATGGTGCATATGTGAAATGATTCTCCTAACTGTTTATTTTAATGTTTATTTACTTGCTATTTTCTTTATTTTATATATTTATTTATTTTAAAATTTGGCTTTTGATCTGCTTGCAGGACAAACAAATATGAGTTGCTGGAATGCACAGAACATACCGCCCATCAAAACGGAACCAAGAGGTGAGTGTTATAAATTTATACGGTTAGTTTGATATTTAAATTAATATTTAAATTAAAAAATAGAACTTTAAATTTAAAATGTTCATATATGTAATATAATTGGTAATTGTATTTCTTTAAACGTATTAAACCTTATTGTAGATACCTCACCTCAACCCTTTGGCCTTTCCTATCGAGCGCCTCCTGAACTCACTCCCTCGCCGCAGCCGTTGTCGCCGTCAAGCAACTACAATCACAACAGTACGCCCTCGCCCTACAATATGGCCGCCTCGGTCACGCCCACCAACGCCCAGCAGCAGCAGATGATGTCGCCCAACCACCCACAGCAGCAACAGCAGCAGCAACAGCACCACCAGCAGCAACAGCAGCAACAACAGCAGCAGCAACAGCAATATGGGGCAACCGAACTGGGCAGCAATTACAATCCGTTTGCCCAACAGGTCCTTGCCCAGCAGCAACATCAGCAACACCAGCAGCAACAGCAACAGGCATTGCAATTCCATGCCAATCCGTTTGGCAATGCAGGAGCCAGTCACTGGGAGAGCAAGTTCTCTGTGGCAGCTGTGGCAGCAGCAGCTGCGGCAGGAGCAACACCCGCCAACGGCGGCAACAATGCAAACAGCAATAATCTTAGCAATCTCAACAATCCCTTCACCATGCACAACCTGCTCACATCGGGCGGAGGTCCTGGCAACGGCAGCAATCTGCAGTGGAACCTGACCACAAACCATCTGGTGGGTTTACCTATGGAATTTTTCCAATCCCAGAGTAATAAGATTTCTGAAAACATTCTTAAATTAAATTGTAGTTCATTTTTCAATTTATAAATATTAATTTACTGCACGTTTGCAATTATGAACTGAACTGAGAATGCTTACTCAATTTTCAATATATTTCTTCAATTTGAAATATAGCCAACATTAAATCTTGTTAATTTCATTTGTATTTGTTTTAACCGTACGAGTAAATCCCTAGTTCTTTATTATATATTTTTATATTTCTTTTATTACAGCACAATCAGCACACGTTGCACCAGCAGCAGCAACTACAGCAGCAACACGTCCCGCCCATGCATCAGTATGACAACAATGCGACTAGCAACACAAACCCCAACACCAACAACAATAATAACAATAATAATGCCGCTGGCAACCAAGCGGATAATGGTCCCACGATCAGCAATCTGCTAAGTTTCGACAGCGAACAGTTGGTGCGCATAAACTCAGAGGATCAGCAGATACTGCGCCTCAACTCGGAAGATCTGCAGATATCGAACCTATCCATATCCACGTAATACCTTTATTAAAAACTGAAACTAACCCAATACAAACAGAGCAAACTGAGGAGGCAGTAGGATGAACACAATGATGATGATGTAGAATTAAAGCCTATCGACCTGGTCGTCGTCTAATTGATTGTTTTAGTGTTGTAATGCCTAGTCTTAAGTCGAAATGTAATATGTGTGTTTTGTATGAAGTAAGCTTTTTAAATATGAATAAATTAATCGTTTTAGCAGTATATTTAAAACAATTTTATTTTTGAAACCCTCTTTTTTTTAATTGAAATATATAATGAGGGTATGCTTAACTTAACTGCTCAATTATAGTAAAATTGAAAAAACCATACGAAACATAATTGCGAGTAATGAACTGGAAACTAATGGCATTGTAATTGTTTTCGATATTTGGTTTTCAGTTCTAGTTAAAACTTTGATCTAAGCCGTTGAAACGAAAGCAAAAATGATTTCACAATATACTAAGCTGGTAGGTGCAATATTATTGATTGTATTTCTAATGAATTCGGTGAGTACAGATTCCTTACATTTAACAATATATTGAACATTTCTTCTAAAATTTTAAGATGGAATGTCGTTTTTTGGAGTTTACAAATATAAAGTGCACTTCTATGGATAAGAAATTTTGCGAATTCCAATATTGCTTTATAAAAGCCACGAACCGCACCTATAAGCATTTGTCCGTGAGAAATAACCTCTATAAGGTTCCAGTTAATCAGTTTTCGGTGCGAAATGACCTTATTCGTATTATTCGTACCTTAATAATAACGTACTAATAACTGCAGATAAATGCCGCATTTACTAAGCGATCGAATGGCATATTGCCGTTTAAATACAATTTGACTTTTGATGGATGCAAAATGGTAGCAGATATCGGAAATCCCTGGATTGCATTTCTTTTTGGCCTGCTTAAGCCGCACTCAAACATAAACCATTCGTGTCCCTTTGATGTGAGTTTTCGATAATCAATTCTTTATTTTTTTAGCAATTCTCCGTTTATTTTCAGCACGACATTATTGTGGATAAGTTGCCCACTTACTTCTTGCAACAACAGTTCGCCAAATTCTTTCCCTTTCCTGAAGGCGATTATATCTTTAACAGCAATTGGATATCTTCGGGCGTAATTCGAGCCAATGTGAGGGTTCACTTGTCGTATGGGTAATTTCTGCGACAAAGTTTGAGTTTGAATATTTTAAAGTTTTTTAGTTGGGAAGGGATTAACTATCTTACAGTTCCTGCTTTTATGTAGTGCTAAAATGTTTATTTATTAATACTTTTTTAACAATACTGAAAACAATGATTTGAGAAGCAACTGTAAACAAAGAAAAATATTATAAATCAAGTATATAGTAAATGGAACTATAAACAAATGAACAATTAACTTGGGGTAAGGATTAAATAGAGTTCTCCTGATCCTCTGTTTCTATGACCTTATCAACTCCCTTTAAATCTTCAACCCCAACAACATTTTCACAATCGTTATAAGAGGTCTTTGAGAAGAATCCTTTCAACCTGTTGACCGCTCCTGGAAGAGAAGGGGGCGGTGGTGGGGTGGCAGGCAGCATATAATGGGCCACAAAGTGCAGCATGCGATAGGTGGCATGTTGGTAGACTTGACTTTGGGCGAAGCACTGGCGGATCCTTTGGCCAAGAGTGGCAGCCAAACAATTCTGGAGCGTTACAAGTTGCTCTTCTTTTTCTTCAAGCGAACGTTCCAGTTTCAAAGTCTGTTCGAGCAGTTCGCTAAAAAATATTGAATAATATTTAAATGGAAATTAATTAAATGATTCTGGTTCTCATACCTGTACTGATCATCGGATACTCTTTTAAGATCCTCCAGCTTAACCATATTTTCACGCAGCTTTTCGATGAAGTCCCTCTTGAGAGCCAAGTCAATTTGGAGCAGATCCAGCTGACGGACCAGCTCATCCTGGGCAGACTGGCTTTCCTGGTAGTCCCTTTGCAGTTGGGTTAATTGCTCCAGTTGCTCACGCTGTTGACTGTTCACGTGAAAGAGTTCGCTTTTGAGGGACTGCTGAATCTCCTGTAGGTTCTCAATGTCCTGATCTTTGCTTGCCATTTCCTCTGCCAGTTTATCCTTTTCTGCTCTGACTTGCACTAGCATAAGGCTAAGTTCCTCGTAGGAGAGCTTAGTTTGGGCATTATCACGATAGGATTGCCTCAGTTGATCGTTGAGTGTTTCATTGCGACGCTTTTCCACGGAGAAGAGGGAGTTGTAGACATGCAACTGGTTGCGATTTTTGACAAACTGTTAATAAATAATGCAAATCATTTAAAATTGTTTTTGAATGTATTAGATAATACCTACACTCTTCTTATAATCCTCCACCTGATCGGTGAGGTGACGCACTTCTTCTCGCCTTCTGCGCCATGCGTGCAACATAATGGTGTTGAAGATCCTCAAGCTGGCTACCCGAGCATCCTGATCTGGGCCAACAACGAAGCTCATTTGTCCCTCAATGAGGCCATTCTCCTGTAGCACCAACTTGGCCATATTGCCCTCCAATCCAGCGATTCCAGCTTTTTGCTGCGGCTGCTCCTTTATTTGCTTTGTGGGCGAGGGGACGTGGGCAACCAGTCGATAGTTTCCTGTGCGACGAGCCTCCTTGAAGTCCATTTGGGAAACAGACTTGCGCACCCGGAAGTTGATTAAGGCCGAGGTCTGCTGACGCTTGAGGGTTAAATAGGGGGCCAAGGACGAGGGCTGTCGGAGCAAACTGGCCTTTGACATGACCGTGTAGTTGGACTGACCCGAACTGGAAACTGTGGGTGTCAGCGAGTTGTCAGAGGACGAAGGAGTCAGCAGCACCGCATTGGGTAATTTATTCAGCAACTGCTTGTTGTTCTCCTTGTCTGCCAACCTAAAAGGAGATTTAACGCTTTAATATTACTTAAAAACAAGAAAGATCCTTGATCCTTAAGCTCACGCATTTTCCTTTTTCAAGTTTCGCTGCCCCAAAATGCGACGTTTCTTTGCCTGCCCCGAAATAAGATTTTTTGCGTAGAGTGCTCTTGGCGAACCCTTTTGGGGGACTGCGGTTAAGCCAGTCTGGTTTCCCTGACGAATGCGAGGACTTTTTGGCCACATTGTGATTAAAATGAATAGTTCAACTCGAAAGGTAACAATAAAGGAACAACAATAACTTTTGTATTTTGTTGAAAACGTACAGAAATCAATATGGCAACTGAATTCTGGCACAAGAAGCAAGCAAGTAACCAATGAAGTCAAGGAGAAGGCCTACTGAAAATTAACAGGTAAAATATAAGATACTACAATGAAAGATACAAACTTTTAGAGGTATGCCACTTTAAAATCGGATCATAATTAGAAATGTTTTGGACCTAAAACTAGTGAACTTTGGTGAACTTTTAGCGAACCCATTTTGGAACAGGGTTGCATCATAAAACGGTTTCTTCTCTGCAAGGATATAGTAAACATACATATATGAAATATTTCAAACTAATTGTTTTTCAAATTTCTTGTCTAAAACATATGAAAATATTTATTCGTATCAAGTTTCTTTTAAAATGTTTCAGTAAATCATTTTCGGAAGTCATTTGACTTGCTGCATGACTAATTTCCGTCCAGAAGAAGACACTGGGATCAAAGAAAAAGATAACCTGCTGCGCGGTCTGACCCCCAACCACTTAGTCAACACATCCGGTTGGATTCTCACACGTCGTTTATATGAGGATGCGGTAGCGGCATCCGCTTTATCATTGTGTGGCTTTTTTGCCCCTGGACCGCAATTTCCGCTAGATTGGGCGCCAAATGTCCGTTCAAACGGAATTAACCACTCGGAGCTTTTTACGAAGAATCTCACCACGCTGGGGGAATATGCGCAGGCGGTAAAAGCTTTTGGCCCTACGACAACTTTGTATGCTATTGTTGTTGCTTTTTTGGGGGTGTTTGGGTGGCTGGGTGGGCGGTACGCAGGGGGGGTGGGGGAAAGACTACTCTGCGAGTTGGCCAAGGCGTCGGCGGCTTCATTAACGGTTCGTCGCTGCTGGCTAACGGTTCTTCGCCTCCTCGGCAAAAACCACCGGAAAATCCACCTCTTCAAATTTTTTAAAGTAACGTCAAATAAAAATCGGAATATGCTCATAAAATCTTTAACAAATAAGACTAAATAAATTAATTTAAAAATCAAATACCAATAGTGTTTCAGTGCGTTTGTTTGAGAGTGTGTGTGTGATTACAAAAATTTCCAAACGAACATAAAATTCGAAAATTTCAGCTAAATATCGAAAAACAAACAAAACATATTGAATTATTGCCGCGGCTGGAAATTCTGATTTAGGTAAGTTCCTCCTATAAATAATATCGTGCTGTTCGATTACAAAATTTCGAATTGTTTATAAATAATTAAGAGCGTATTCGCGTAAGCCAGAACATCAATGAAATTGGGTTTCTCCCAGCAGATCCATTAAAGCCCAAACAGGTCTCTGGGGATCTTACTCATATTCAGATCTCCGTTCCCAGGTGCTTACGTCTTGGGGAAAAAGTTATCTAATTACAAAAATTAAATCATCGCTGATTATTTACCAAATCAACGTCATTAACTGGTGACCTGTTTTGCGGTTAAGACCTACTTGTAAGCCCAGTTAGAAAAGAATGACGTGTTAACGGGAATCAAGTTTATCGAAATGGCGCGCGCCTCCCCTTCCGAGAATTCATTCTGGCTGTCATTATAAAAAAATCTGTTTAGAACTGCTATTATTCCGGGAAAGTGATTGAATTATTGAGTGGGTAAAAAGTGCACCAATTTAGTTACAGTATTGGCATTTAGAATTGTAATTACCTAACTATAAATAAATATATATATAGTTTTACCAAGAAAAAATTTTAAAAAGTAAGTGTGTGTGCTTAAAGTATCGTTGTTTTGTATCTTATCGCCCAGATTAAAGTAGAACAGACAATAAGGTTTAAATTTTTTCAAGATTATAATTTTTGGAAAGTTTTTTTTAACAATTTCGTAGAATTTTGGAATTTGGAAATTTTTATTACATTATATTATTCTTTGAATTCCATTAAGTTCCACAGTTTCAACTTTTTAGCTTAAACTTGATTTAAACTGAGTACTACATTTACAAAAAAAGGCAACACCATTAGTCTAGTAGGCGCCATAACCTGACCTTTGAACAACAAATTCACATTCCGCGACCGGGGAAAAAAAAAACAGACATAGGTACACAAAGGCAAATAATAGTAAAACTTGCAATTGCACCGGCAATTGGCGACTCGGTTCCAGTCTCACTTCCAGTGAGAATGCCAATAAGTTTAATCCCGGTTCCACCCACTCGCTTCTCTCGCCTTACAATTCGCTCAGACATTAATTAATTAAAAGTTGTTTGCGCTGTATGCTTTTGTTATTTTGTGGCCGCGGCTTGCCCATGTTGTTTTTTATTCTCGAAAATGGCAAAGCAAAAGAAAAAATAAGTGCCGTCTATCTCCATTTGCGTCTGAGTTACCTTAACTTGTGAAATGGTGGAGTCACTGTCTCCGCGACTTGGGATCAGACAACCTTGATATGGTCACAAAAAGAAGAGTACACTGGGAGAAGAAGTGTTTTCTTGGAAACATATTAATAAACAGCAATTCAATTTAACATTGTATATTAATCACCAACCATTTGGCAGTTTAGGGTCCACCAAATTCATAACTGAAGTTTAATATATTTTAATAATTTTTAATATTTTTGTTAAGTGATTTAAAGTTTTGTAGACCAATATTTTATCCCATTTTTGCCAGTGTACAAAATGCAACAGTAACACCAGCCACATCATCGGTAACAAAAAACTGCATGCCACACGGAACTCCTGCAGTTACCAATTATGTAATGTGGCAAAGCAAAGTGACTGGGAACTGGAATGGCAACCATGCTCCCCGCATCACAAAATCCCCATAATTTCCCCACTCTTCGGAGTTGGTGATCTCTTTCATCGTTTTGCTCTCAGCAGATTTCCGCATGGGCAAACACCAAAACACACACTGTTTAAGGCCCCCAATTGAAAGTGCTTGTGTGCGAGAGGTACAATTGTGTTTGGTGAGCCGCTAATATTACGTATACGCATGTGTGCAAGGCGATGATTCATCGACGATTCGGGGAATCCAAAAGCCAATCAAGTGCCGCAAAACCAAAAACCAAGACAAGGCAGACGGACAGGTTTTTATTTCACCTTAACGTTTTCTTTTTGTGTCACGCCAAAGTTTGCGAGTCCAAAGAGTATTTTCCTACTCTCGGAAAAGTTCATCAACTTAAATGATTATTAATCCTAATTTTGATTGCTGAAATACTTTAAGAGGTGATCCTTTTAAAAGGGCAATAAACTTTTAAAATATTTATTGTTTATTTTCTTACCTATAAACCTGTTTAACAGGAATCAAAGAATCTAGTTTGGTCTGATTTTTATGACTTCTTCGACCTTATATGCACAAACTAAAGATACCATAATTAATACTGATAAGGAAAGGATGCATTAAATTCCTAAGAGGGCAATTGGAAACACTTGTTTAGAGTAAAGCATTTTTAATTCGGTGTAGCAAGTTAAGACAGTTTTTTTTTTTGTTTCGTCTTTTATCATGTTTTTGCTGCTGGGCAAACATTTCGAGCTCGTTGGTAATTTTTTTCTGCTCGTGTTATTGATACGCCTCCCCTCCGTTCGCTTCTTATCACCATTGTTCCCCAGCCGAATGCTTTGAATCTTAATGCTGTACACGCTTTGTTTTCCTGTCTTTTGAGGGCAGAGACGACCTTTTGGCTTTACTCTATTATCGAACAATTCCGAAGAAAAAGAATATCACTTAGAAATGAACATTTTTGTTATTTGAATTTATACTAGGCCAGGGCTTAGTACAATATTTCGAAACTTCTGAAAAATTTTCAGTTGTAAATAAATATAACAAATGATTATCTACAGACAGAAACATGCTTCAAAAGTTATACTATATATACTATTAGTGCAACTGTCAATATCTTTATTTTATTTACAGATCAAACACCAAAGAAATTTGAAGATAAAAACTCGATAATAATTTTTGCTCTGTGCATAAATGTTGGCCTTTAACTGGGGCTGACTGAAGAGGAGCAATAAAAGCGGCAGCAACAACAAGTGGTTGCTTAACTATGCGCTCCGCCTTTACGACACCTCTCTCCCTTCCCCATCAGACCCTCGATTTCTTTGGGGCTTGGCTTTGTTTGTCTGCATTCTCTCTCTTTTTCCCATTCTCCCTCTCTCTTTCGATGTCCCGCTTACGCGTATGACCTTGAATCACACATGTGCCAGAATTGCAGGCTGTGTTGTTTGGATGTGGTGGTGGAGTGGGTTTGGGGGAGAGTGGTCATCGGGTTTTTGACTTCTCTCCACTTTTTCTCTTTTTCTGCGAGCGAATAAAACAAGCTTAATAAAGAGGTTGGATTTTTGTGACGTCTGCTGGTCTTTTTGGAGCAGCTTACTACGTCATGGGGTAAGCATATTTACCCCACAGAATAGAGTGTGATTAATGTAACGATCGCGAATGCATAATTTTCTATTAATAGTATAGAAAAACCTAAGCTAAAATAAATGATTGCAAATTTATGCATACAAAAACTAAACCATATTTGTATGGTATTATATACTGCATCATATTAATAGTTGCAATATTATAAAATTTAACTAAATTTGAGAAATTTCATTGATGTTTTTCTATTGATTAGAAAACAGGATACACAAATCAAGACTTAATAATAAGCCCATTGACTTACTATTGTTGCCTTGTCAGCAGGTGCTGATTTTTTTTTGGGAATTCTATATAGACATAAATCGTGGCCAGCCAATTTTCTCACAAAATGCATTTCGGGTCCAGACCGGCCCACGCGGTACCCAAACTTTGTTATTAGTTCAGAAATCTGTGAGCCAACAGAAATAAATTATACTATTTTCATTCATGCACAACAATATTGAAATATTTCCAGCCGATTGGCAATGTTAACTGCAAATATTTTTGCTCAATATGTTTGGCTTGCACTTGTGTTTATTTAAATGACTAAAATCTGACGATGGAACAGAAGCCAAAAATTGAGTTAATAACTCAGTTTGACCTTAGACGTTGTCGAATCTTTTTTCGGTGCAAACGTTATAAAGATTTTCTAATTTACATTTGTCGAAGGTCGCGCAAGTTTAAGGTCTGTCAATTCCGGGGAAAATCAATAAAAATATTCAGCTGTCTTACCTATGTTTAATAAATAGATCTTTTGTTATGCATTTTTCGAAAATCAGATGTGTAGTTTTCATACTTTTCGGCTTAGCAACATGAATGAATCATTTAGGAACAACAACGCTTCTTATTTTCACAATAAAATATATATATTGATTTAGAATATCTTTGAACTTGACTTGCCTAAAAACGTGTCCACTTCTTATATATATTTTTAACACCTTTTTAATGAGAATAGAGTTCATGTGAAATAACATTTCAGGATTCGGAATTTTTATGGTATTTCCGAACATTCATATCAATAAACTTTCATTCCCTGCAAATATACACATTTTTTAAAGGAATCAATGTTTATTTATAACCAAAAATTGAAAAAGGAACACCTGCCGGGCGTTTTAAAAATCTCATCACTTTTCCATACCCACTTAAAAATCTATAACTGTTTTTTGCGCACAATTACGTCATAAGAACGCAATCGAAAAAAAATAACATATAAATGAAAACAAAACATGGAATACGCACAACGGAAACAATAACAAACAAAGAAGAAGTGAAGCAGGGATGAAAACGAAATCGAAAACTCGAAGCAGCCCAAAGCACCGATCGATAGTTTATCAAGTATACGTATCAAGTATACGAACACAGTGCAGGCGATCGCAAAGAGCGGCGAGCCGAGATCGAAGCTCTCTTTCGACCGCGAATGTGCCGTACCGCTCAGTCCCAATCTGAACTTTCCCGCCGACGGACGTGAGTGAACCGCCGATTTGAACATCTACATATATGTAACGAATATTGTGCAAGGCGCACGCGACTATATATGTAAAGGCCTTTGTATTGGTTAATTATACGCAACACGACAACTACTAAGTGAAATACAGATGTGTGTATAAATCAATGTCCGCTCTAAACAGGCGGCTGCAGTGCCAATAAAAAAATAAAAATAAAATACAACCCAAAGCAACTACGGAGTTTGCTGGGGCAACTTTTGTTTTTGTTTTTAATTAATCTTCACATTTTTTTGGCGCGCCTTTTGCGAACAAACTGCGCGCGATAAGTGAGACAAACAACAATAAAAAAAAACGACGGATTCATAAAAAACGAATTTTAATCAATTACACGTGTCGGCAAACAAAGAGATAATCCCATTATTGTCTCGCCAAGTGCATTCGGATCAAAAAACAGAATTCAATCGGAGAGTAATAAAATTGTTTTGCAGAATACTATTCCATAGAAGGTTCGCTATAATAAATTAACTATAATAAACAAAGTCAGATAGTCTAAGTCGCAGTTTGTAAAAAGTCCCCTGTCCACTAGTCGTCTTAGGTACAGGCAGCTTCCCATATCAAGTAAGATTGCAATGACACTGCTAGAAATCAACAATAACGAGCTTAGCAGAGTTCATAATAAATAATTCGAGATATACATATTTCAATTTTTGTATGCGGGCAATTAATTCACAAAAAAATAAAAAATGGCGAATATATTATCAGTTCATTAGTTTTTATTAATTCTTCTTCCACTTTGTATACTTTTTTTAAATGAAATAAAATTTAAAAGAATTAAAGCTTTCTGGGTTTTGTGCACTTTTCTTTTAAGGAATAAATGCTTATTTCGAGTGTAATCAGCTCAACAGGCGTATAATATATGCAAATAAATCTGAAAACAAAAGGCGCTTGACTGCGATTTATTGAAAAGTATAATTCTTAGCAAGTATTTAGTAAACCATATCTTGCTTTCCTGTTTGATTTGTCGATTGCAAATAATTATTTACATACTGGTTCAGATTTAAAAGTTATATGTGCATAATATGCCGGAACTGCTCCCTAGAGTAGACATTTCCTCTTAAATGTCGCATTTGTAGCATGTATATACATATGCAGTTTTGAACTTCATGTGGCTTATCGCAAAAAATTTTTGCTAATTGCCTTCATATGTGTATAATATATATTTACAAGTGAATATATTATATTAAGCACTTGTGAGTGATCTGACGCTAGCAAACCAAATTGAGTTAAACGTTTAGCTCATTTATCTTTTAATTTGTATCACATTGGGTTTTTATGCTAAAGAATGAAATTTTTAAGGAGACAGGAAACGCAATGACCAAAATTTCAATTAGCGAAAAGAACTCAACCAAATCCAAATATTTATATTAACGAAATGTAAATATTTTTACAAGTGAAATCGGAACGGAAAAAAGTTTATAAAAACTTGCGGTGGCATCTGGAAGATTTCGTTTATTTCATTTGTAATCAAAGGCATATACAACCTGAACGGCCAACTGAAAATGCAATCGAAAGACCAGAAATGCCATAAAGTCCTAAAGACTTTTGCCTTATCCACACAGTCGGAAAGACGGAACCAATAAAAATAGAATGAAATGGAACAGTCATGGTCAAAACTTACTTAAATATCGATTTATTTGCGCGTAGCCAGAAGCTATCTTACTTGTATCCATGCCAATTGGCATGAACTGGGCGATGAACCGATGGCCGAAAGGCAGCGGAATTGTTTTCGGTAATTGTTGAAAGCAAAACACAAACAAAATCCACACTTTTCACACCTTTTGGTCCATGTGTGTGCGTTTGCTTACATACATTATATAGTCGCAGCCATGCATATAGCAATAACTTTGCCATTTGTATTAAGCAGACATGTTTCCAATTGAAAGTTATTGTAAATTAAATGCCAGCAGCAAGAGGAAGGTCACAGGTAGTATCATGTGTTTCTAGCAAGGAAGTGTAAACAAATGTGGATTAGAAATGGGACTGGTCTCTACATTAAATGTTTAGCAAGGAGCATTTTAAAGAAGTTTTACCTATTTTCAAAACACTTTGGATGTAATATAGAAGGAAAACTATACATTTTTTGTTATTAAATAAATAAATAATAAAATGTAAAGTTTAAAATCAATATCAAAGTAGAACTAATATTTTTATTAAGGCTATTAAATATTGTCTAATATTGAAATATTGACACCTCACCTATAATGCAGCTTGATTTGTACTTTCAACTGATAAAGCTACTTTTGTAATCAGCAAGTGAAAATTCCCAATCGTTTTTATATTTTACGAGACTTTTTGATAACCCAACCCAGGAATACATACTCGGTTTTCATTTTTATTTTTTTAATTTTTCCCTTTTTCCGCATGAACAACAATCAACTAAACTTTGCAACGATCTGTCATTCACATTTACACCCCCTCCATCAGAACAAGTTCTACAAACAATTCACACCACCCCGATTTTCACAAACAATGGAAAAGCAGAATCCCATTACGCATACGCCATGTTGTACCGAATCTAAATTGATTGAATCGTGAAAAGTTTTATAGCAAAATAATTAAATGCCGCGGTTTCTTCCAATTTTCGGTCTTCGCGTGTCGGCCGTTTTTCTTGGCTAAAAGCGAATGTGTGTGAGTGTGTGTGTGTGTGTGTGAGCGTTTTGTCTTGGCCATTAGAATGGAAATAGTTCTAACGCTTGGCTAAATGAGTTCTGGTGCGGTTTTCTGTGGTGTGGTGTGGTCTGGTCTGGTTTTCGGCATTTTGGGAATGCTTTGGGTTACCCAAGCATTATTTACTTGACTGCAAAAATGCTTCCTTTGATTTGCTTGAAAGGCAATGAAAATCGATTGGCTGTAGAAGTTAACTTTTGACTGTTGTAATGGCCGATGAGCGAAGCCAAGCCAAATGTAAACGAAATTAATTGCTTTTTAATTAGTTGGGCAAATTAACAGTGTTGAGGTGGCATGGTACACCATACAAAAACCCAAACAGTAATTGAGAAAATAGCCAACAATGCAAACGGCGTTTTACGATTGCCATGATAAAAATAAAAACACAGTCGAAAATTATATTTCGTGTTTATGGCTGCACTCATAACACTGACTCACAATTGAGGCCAAATATAGCAAAGGTTAACTAGAAGTGTCACAAAATGTTGCTTCTTGTCGCATCTACAGTGAAGTAATCTCTTCCTTTTTTTGCTTTTGCTTACCCTAATTTGTTTCATAATTAGCTGGGAAATCTTGGCGGGCTTACCCACTGATACGCGTGTGGAAAACCTTATCAAAAGCAGCTTAGCCAGCCTGGCACGTGCCCTCAGCACACATTATATAACATTTTTCTTCAGGAAAGGGTTCCGGCAATCAGCACAAAAATAATTTTATATTACTTGAGTTGCAGAGCCCATAGAACAAAAATAAATTCAAGTGGCAACAAAGGCTAAACATAAGAATCGGAAATTTGTACAAGTTTTTTAGGAAATAAGATACTCGGTTTCAGGAGCTCCCTTTTATTTTGCTATAAATAAGAAAAAACGAAGCACATAATGTACTTCCCTTATCATTTATTTACATGCATTATACCTATTTTAACACCTGAATAAGTATAGTAAAATGAGCAAACCCCACTAAGATTTCGTTTGTGCTAACAACAAATTCAATCGATTGTGACCTCAGCAAACTTGGGATCGAGGAGTAAACAAACATTAGTTATTTATATATGCAGTGCATATAGAAAGCCAAATGGATTTCCTGCAAATGACAGCGGGGGCATGGCCCGTTGAAGGACACTGTCAAAGAACTAGAGAAAATCATAATTTCCAACGCTTATTGATTTTCCCGTAACGGAACCAAGTTTTTCACATTGCCTGAGACGATTCCGATTTTTATTTTTTTTTTTCGGTCGACAGCGGGGCGATATTTGTTGTGGGAAACTTTTTATTTGAATTTAATTTTTTGTGCACATACCGAATATAATGCAAGGCACTCAGGATACTGAGGATACAGGACCAGGCACGCACACATGTTGGATGGAGCACTTGAGGTGCCAAATGGCGAGATGTGGGGATGGATTGGGGCCAGTTGTCTGTGTTTGATGTACAATTTTGTGTGTGCGACTGGGTGTGATTAGGCCATCAGTGGGTGAGTGAAATGTGTGTGTAAGAGAGTGTGTGTGTGTGTGTGTTTGAGTTTCGGGCTTCTAGCCATTCCATCTCATCATATTCCACCACCACTGCCCCATCGCATCCCTCTCCATTATTATTTTCTTCTATTTAGCTGTGTGTTTATTTTCGGTTCAGAACGCGATTTTCCAATCGATTGGGCACGTGACAAGGTTCTAGCTACTGAAATACGAGTATATGTATGTGAGTCACATGGCCAGGATTACTTACTCTCCAATATCGTAACGATTCCAGAGGCCCAGTGTAATTTAAAACCCACATCTTAATTCCCAATTCCGTCTATTTTTGACAATATTTAATTAACATTTTTCTTTTGCCTACCTAACTCGCTTTTTTATTCCGCCATCAACCTTCTTTTTGTTTGCTTTATTTATGCATCAATTTGTAGCGCTGATTTATGTCGCCAGAATTTTGGCTCCACCCAGCTAACTTAAGCCTAAATGCGAATTAAATTTGTGCGTGGTGTTTTTTTTTTGCCCTCCTGTTTGAGAGTTGGTAGCCGGGCCTGTCTTAAAGTATTACTCAGCTTAAGTTATGCCCGAATTGAGAGGCTCCGGCAAAGGAAGTAACTTGGGGCTATAAACGAAAAATGGTAGGAGTTGAATTTGATGAAGAGGAGGGGCAATGTAGATGAACCAAGCAATTACGCGCTCTAGAAAGCTCTTTGCGTTTGGGGAACCTAATGAAATCGAAAAAAATAAGCCGAAGAGCAATGCAAAACGCGTATAGAATATTGAAATTTGAAACGAATTATTTCAATTTCCGGAAATTAAATTGAGAATATATTAAATCATTAAGATTTTAATTCAGTAAATCGCTTGCATTTATTTCGCATTACAAATTCTAAGCGAAAGGGTTTGCAAAAGTTTCTATTGGATTAAATCTAAATTTATCCTCATTTTTGTGACAACAAACCGCTTTTCACAAAAATTTCGCTCAAAGGGCTAATAGACATACTTAGCGTTCTATATTTAAGCCAATTAGCTTCGCCATTAGTCTGGTTTGCTATTTTCAGAACGTTAGACCCTCAGGGCAATAAGGACTGTCAGGATGAAAAAAAGGGTAAGGGCTTAAATAAATGTGTGTGTTCCTTATGATTGTGACTTAAATAAAGCTGTTTGTGTTCAAAATATTTAAATGCATACTGTAGCCTGGCAACCGACTTAGTTAAGCAGTTTTTCGTTGATATTATGTGTGTGTGTGTTACACTTGAGTTGCTTTATTATTTATGCCCATGAGCAGGACAATCGATTGGGTTCAACTTTTTGCTACCCCTTTGCATAAAAATTTAAGCGGTGCCGCAGTAATGACCCTTTTATCCCCCCCCCGACAGGATATCCTTAATACCCGTCCTGTTGCCCAGTCTGTGTGTGTGTGTGTATGTGTGGGTGTGTGTTATTCTGTGTGTAAGAGAGATTAGCGAGTTAAGGGAAAGCGATGCGATGCTGCTGTCAAAGGCAGTTAAGTCGCAGCTAGCGCCACCTACTTAAAAGTTTCCTGATGTCATTGGGCCCCTGTTGCCTCCTACACTGAGAAAAACTATTTATTGAAAATATAAAAAATATATATTTGAGGAAATTAAGTGTATATATCCTAAACATTGTTTTAAAGACGATTAAAATGTTTATAGTAGTTTTGAGATCTTCAAAAAACAAAACCTTTTAAATTACATAAGACATTAGATCTAGAATTTTAGCTTTGTTATTCTGCCTGAATTTTACTATGAACGAATTAATATACTGATTAATGTACCACTATTTTTTCAATAAAAGTAAGTTTCTGAGAATATTTTATGCTGCCAACACAACGACCCACATTTGCTTATGGTGTTCGACATCGGTTTGGCGGGGTTCGGTCGCTTGGGGGGTAGGAAATGTGGGTTGCAAGGAGTTGGGGAGGTGGACACGTAAAGCGTCATGCGGTTCGTAAACATAACCGTAGGATCTGGCCAAGAAAGTGTGAGTGTAAGCGAGTGGTGTGAATTGCAAAAGAACCAACACGAGCAACAAAAAAAAAAAGAACACAATGAGAGCAACAAGAGCAGAAAATCCAGTGGCGGACAAATTGTTTTTGCAAGGCTATAAATGTAAACAAAATTAACATATGCAAATTTTACAAGCCCCAACGTGTGTGTGAACGTCTCTGAACAAGCGATTGTGTTGGTGTCTGCACAGAAAAAAAAAAAAAAAAAAAATATATATATATGACTTCGCATAGCAATGACTAACATACAGATATTCGTTTTAAATGCTCTTGTTTAACCTCTGATTATCATTAAACTTTTTTTTGAGTAAATAAGAAGCATAATATGACTATATATATACTTTAAAAGTATATATAAAACTTTAAGTATCTTTCCTCAAACTTATTTTATGAACATATTTTGGAGATATTTTTCACTGTTTTTTTTTGTACGTGTTGAAATGCTTGACGCCAACGTTTGGTATTTGGACAAATAGGCTGTCTGAGGCGAAAACTTCTTGCCAGATTTTATCTTTCAGTGCTCCGAAGTGTGTGTGCTCTCCTTTTGTTGAAAAGTTGAGTTATGTGCAGAAAATGCAAAATACTTTCGGCATGGCATATGTTGACTGCAGTTGCGGAAAAGAGAGGAAAATCGGAAAACCTTGGCTCGGGGAGTGACTTGTATGGCCTTTTTATGGCTGTGACTATTAAATACACATTATACAGACATTGTTATTATCTTTCACAAGCGACTAGCAATGATAACCTTGATCGATGTGGCAGTAACCGGGATTTGAGTACTGGTATAACGAGGGGAGGAAAAAGGAAATCGTTAGGAGCAAAGCAGTATGTTTGCCTTTATGTGGAAAGTGAGTTACGCAAGGACTTGAGCTTACAAGGATTGAACAAATATTTACGGGTGCTCATCAATTTAAAATAACACAAAACAAGATAAATAAACAGTACAATATTATAAAAGAAAAAGAAAAGGAAAAGATTTGCTGATAGTCAATACATTTCTATATAAATTATGCATATCATATTTGTCAATTAAATTGGAGACAAATCGGCTGTCTAAAACCAGACACAATATTCTACTAACATTGGTGGCTATTGATAACCTAATACCCTATATGGCTTTCAATCTCGTGCTAAGAGATTCCCCCTGGTAATACTTTTCGTAGTAATCAACAACCGGCTACTGATTTTGTTATCAGCTAAATTTTGGGAAAGAACAAACCACACAGATAGTGGAACACCGTAGTCGGGGATTTTTCGCCCAATAAAAATCAGATCACGATTTGGTTACGAATTTTCTTATGTACTTTAAGCTCTTATGAAATTTTTGGGAGTTTACCAATCGCAATAAACCTCAAGTGCATATTTGTTGAAGTGGACAAAACGGAACTTAGATTTCTGACCAAATCATGATAGCACCACTAGGGATTTTTCCCCTATTAAGGTGTTCGAATTAATTCAAGTGATTATAAAGATAATTTATTGATTTAATTGGCTTATTTAGCAGTGAGTAGGTAAATTTTTTCAATAATCAGTGTGGAATTTATGGAAAAGGAAACCTTTTAAGAAATAGAATCCATTTTAAAAACCAATAGATGATTGAAGACGTAAATGTTGCAAAATCCATCAAATTTGTTTTATCGAGAATTTCAAATTAAAAGGATACAGACAAATAGAATAATCCATCATTGCCTATATCAGCTCAACACGGAAAGTTAATGACAATCTATCATTGCTTTAATTTCCAGGCAATCAACAGTGTAATCCAATGACTGAGGAGGAGTTTGGCGATATACGTATGTATAAACAGCCATAAATTTATAGCACATACTAACCCCAATTAATATTACCATAGCCCCTAGAGCAAAAACACCTTAATATCCATGGCAGGGGGAAAAAAGAGCTCTAGAGCTCTGGTTAATGAATAATCTGTGGGCATAAGTCAATCGACAATGCGCCTAATTAGGCCAGGCAGAAGGCATCAGATTTGTGGGGAATTTTTAGTGGCTAATTGAACATTGTTATTGCTCTTGCCACGGCTATAGGCGTTGGTGTTTTGTAGTTGCCATCCGAACAAAACGCCGGGGGCAACAACAACAACAACAAAAACAAATACAGGAGCAAAGTGGCATAATAAGACTGGCAAATTGGTGCGCAACTTTTGACGTCAGAGCTCGTCATCGCATAGTCGACATCTGGCAATAACAAAGTTCAAACGGAACAGAAGGAGGAAGCCTTCCAGCCATCACCCTTTCGCAAAAAAACAATGGCAGCCTAATGCCCTCCATATATGCATGATAGTCAGTGCGTATCTGATGGATACAAAATTATCCGCACACACGCACTTTTCCATTTCCATTCGGCTGGGTAATTCGTATGGCATTGGATATGAATAGTTGCCAATCATTAGCTTCATAGTTCATGTTTTGGGAAACAAATCTGTGGTATTTCAGCTGTCTTATAAATTCTTAATGGTTATTTCAGATAATCTCAATTACTAAGTTAGAAATTCATAAAACAATCTGTAATAAATCTATAGCTTTGTTTGCCTTGTAAATCTCTTAGTGCCATTCTCTATTTCTTTTTGAACTATATACGTTTTCTATTTACTTCATAAACTTAACTTTCTTAAGGTGATGAGGGTGGATATACTCCCATAGCTGTCAGGGGAAATGGGTTCGCATGGGTACTCCATTTAATCTTGAAGGTATTTCGTGCTTTCTTTCCTAGTTGCCTTCCCTCTTTACCTAAGCCAAATTGTTTCTGACACTCTAACTTATTGATTTTTGTGTAATACGTATTTTCTCCAGAGGAAATTATCAATGCCAGCATGGAGTTGAACGGTGGCGCCACCGGAGGAGCCCCAGTGGGCGTGGTTGGAGGCAGAAGCGTGCAGCACATATTATCGCAGTCGGCTTCCTTGCCGGTCATGTCGTCCCACCTGCCGCTCCACCTGCTGAACCAGAACCAGAACGAGAATCGAACCCCGAAGCAGGGTGCCAAAGGTAGACCCTATCTGCGTATAGTGGAGGAGCCGACGAACAATATAATCCGCTTTCGCTACAAGTGCGAGGGTCGCACCGCCGGTTCGATTCCGGGCATGAACTCCACCACGGAGCACAAGACCTTCCCCACCGTCGAGGTGTGCAACTTCGACGGCCAGGTCACCATGGTGGTGTCCTGCGTGACCAGCGAGGAGCCCCACCGCCAGCATCCCCACTGGCTGGTCAGCAAGGAGGAGGCCGATGCCTGCAAATCGGGCATCTACCAAAAGCGACTGCCGCCCGGCGAGCGAAAGCTGGTCCTCCAGAAGGTGGGCATCCAGTGCGCCAAGAAGACCGAGATGCGGGACTCCCTGGTGGCCAGGGAAAAAATGGATGTCGATCCCTTCAACAGTGAGTTCTCCTTAGCAAAACAAACAAAAGAAAGAATCTCAAAAAAAAAAGAATTTATAGGGTGTATCCATTTAAATTTAGTTAAATTAAATTGTCAATAAAATAATTTATATAATCAATCTGATAAGTTGATTAAATCATGCTTTACCCTTCTCAAATGTCGAAATTATTTAATTTCTCTTTTCCTTTATGAAATTCCTTTCTCCTTTTTAAATTCCCAGTTTTTTAATATAAGGAGTACTCGAAATGAATTTTCCGAATTAAGCAATACATTTTCCGTCTTATTTTTTCCAGCAAAATTCGATCACAAAGACCAGGTCGATAAGATCAACCGATATGAGCTGCGGCTCTGCTACCAGGCGTTTATCAGAATCAAAGAAGGTGACCCCGTCGTGGCCCTGAAACCCATCGTATCTGCACCGATTTTCGGCAAGAGCAACGAGCTAACCATCTGCAAAATATGCAGCTGCTCGGCCCAAGTGACCGGTGGCAATACGATCATGATGCTGTGCGAGAAGATCCTCAAGGACGACATCGAGGTGCGATTCTACGAGACGGACAAGGATGGACAGGAGACGTGGTTCGCCAACGCGGAGTTTCAACCCACCGACGTATTCAAACAGACGGCCATCACCTTCAAGACGCCGCGCTACAAAAATACCGAGATCACTCATAGTGTTAATGTGAGTAAGGTTTTAATATTGAATTTAATTTTGTTGGTATTAAAAAAAAGGACCTAAAAACAAATTGAATACTTTTAAAGAGGGCATCTCATTTACCTACTTCAATCTTGACTTCGTAATGATTTAAAGAGCATTTATATTTTATCTACTTCAAGCTTGGCTAAGCAAGCATGTAAAGTGGCAAATTGTATTTGTGTTTATTTTTTTTATGGTAACTCATCAATCAATTATTCTATTAATCCATTAAGCCTACCACTTCAATAAGGCGTTTTTAAATAATTGATAGGTTTGCAATTTGTTTGCCTTAAGAACTTTTAGGGTTTCCATACAGTTATAAAACCTTTTACGAATTTATTGTCAAAGCGATGGATGCTTTAATTTTTTCAGATATTAATCTTAAAAGATATAGTAATATCTATATGTGGATATACTAATATCTATATCTTATCTTATTATATAAGTAATATTATTATATATTAGAATCTAAAATTTGTTATAATATTATTAACGTTTTTTTTAATCTTTAGGTGGAGCTGAAGCTGGTGCGACCTTCGGATGGAGCGACGAGTGCCCCGATCCCGTTCGAGTTCTACCCGAATCCAGGTACGGTAACCTTTGTCCGGCTGCAGCGAAAGCTGAAGCGCCGCCAGGAGCTGGATGTGTTCCAGCAGATCCTTTCCCTCGACAGCGAAACCACGGCCACCAAGTACTCGTGTCCACCGATGGACCTCGAGGAGGATAACAATACGGTTTCATCCGACGAACAGCAGAGTTCGGGAACTCTCAATGAATTCGAAATAGCGGTTAAGAAAATGCAGATGCGCCAACGGGGCGAATCACACGAATTGGACGGTGGCACGATCACCGAGTACACGGATAACGATAACGAACCCGACATGGAAATCGAACTGGAGGTGCCGCAACTGCTGCCCCAACTGGCCGACGACTGCACTCAGACATCCACGCCCATGGAGGAGATCCTCCAGCATCCCCAACTGCAATCGCGTCCTCTCACCAATGTGGATAAAATTACCGAGTGGATGAAGAGCAGCGAATTCGAGCGAACGGACAGTTTGACGGTGGAGAACGGGGATACCCAATCCCTGTCGAATAGCACGGCCCAAACGGCATTTACCAATGTCAGCAGCTTGACCGCCAATACGACCATAACGAACCAGTTGGAGGAGGAGGCCCAAGCGCTTTTGGCCAACGGTTCACGCAGGGATACCCTCGAGAATCCAGCAGTGAAAGAGCTGCCGGAAAACGAAAAGGAACAGGAACCGGAAATGGTTTCGGCCAGTGCCCAGGCCTCCGTCGATTTGGATGAGAATTTCGATGAGACCGCAACTTACACGAGTCTGCAGATAGCTTTTAACAATCCCATAGAAATAGGTGTTCCCAAAGAGAAAAAGCAGGGAGTTCAGGGCTATCTGCCCACCAATCCATTTGGTCAACTAGACGATGACGAGCTGGTGGTTCTAACCAATCCTCCAGCGCCCAGGATAAAAGTGAACGCTGCTCAGACCCCGGCCACGCCCCCCCGAATCCCCGCCCCTGCCGCTGCCACCTCGAACTCCTTCTCCGGTTTCGGATCAGAGATTACCTCCATTGCCACCGAAACCGCAGAGAAACTCGCAGGACTTGAGCATTGTTAGTGATTCTATCTCTGTGAGCCGCTCGAGAAACGGCAGTCTCAGTTCCAATAGGACTACTCCATCGCCCATTATTATAATGCGGACACCCGATCAAAGTCCCACCAAAAGGCAGCCAACGCCGAGTGCTTCGCCCAAGAAGCGTCAGGGATTCTTCTCGAGATTCTTCTCCCGCCGAAAGAGTCGTGCGGACGACGAGGAATCCCTGACAACTGGCGGCAGTCCCAATAAACAGATGCCTGGTGGTTCCAAGGCCACCACACCCACCGGAAGTAGAGAGCCAAGTGTGGCGCACTTTTCCTTGGGCGATCCCAATCGCAGCTCCACGCGATCCATGCAACCGCTGGGCAAAAGCGAGGGTAGAAACGGAAAACCCGTGGGTCGAAGTTCAAGTAGTGTTTCGGGAAAGAGACCCGCCCACCTGGATGCGGATGTGATCCACATACCACTCAAGGGAGGCGATAGCGAGAACAGTTTACTCCGTCCGGAGAGCTACTCGAATGCCAGTACCTTGAGTTACGGGCGACCGCTGGACAGGAAGACCCTGAGCACTCTGCAACTGGCGGATATTCCCATCAGCGATGGCAACATGGAGTTGATAGCCATTGCCGACAGGCAGAGCATCAAGAACCTGTGCGAGGGAGCCTACGGTGTTGTTTTGGATCCCAGTGTGGATCTCTCCGAGGCAGAGCATTTTGCCCTGTACACCACCAAAAGTCCGGAGCCACCGTTTGGCGGGGAGTTCGGCGAAGGTGGAGCAGCAGGCGATGGGGCGGCGGGCGGAGCGGATACCTCGGATTTTCTCAGTGCAGATGAAATAGCCAGAAGATTGGCGGAGGCCAATGGATTGGAGTAGAAATGAGGAGAAGAACAAGGGTTCAAGATAACTGATTTGAGGGAAAATCAAGGTTGTTCTTAAAATAATGTTTAGACAAAAAAGAAGTACTCATTTTTGTAATATCCATGTTTTTTACAATGTTTTCCCGTAGTGAAATCAAATCAGCTATCCAATACCCCTTCACTAGTTAGTCCAAAACAACAAAACACAACTGCATCAAAACGTTTTCTAGTCGTCTTCTCTTTCAGTATTAATTACAAATATATTATAATTTTGAACACCCTTTTTAGATAAGAGATATCTGACATTAGTCACCGAATTTCGAATACTTTCTAACCGACCAAACATAAAAATATCTTTGTAGAAACCCTTACCAAGCACACTCGACTGGTGGCCCAAAGAGCAGTTGAAAGCCTTAAGCGCGGTCCCATGAGTACCGAATTCTATCCATCCAAGCAGGTCAAAACGTCCAGTAAGTTCTCGAGTATATTCCGCATTCATTACTGGTGCTGGGAATGGGTTCCATCGTACAAACATTACATATATGTAGTTCCTAGAAAAATATTATACATCTATCACACACAAAAAACTCACGAGCTCATTTCTCGATTTTCATATCGAATAGAGGAAATATAGTGCAGGATTTAATACCTAGCGGACCAATGGATAAAGCTGTTGTCCTACCCGGAATTGTTGGAAAATGTTAAATTGTAGTAACAAATATTTCATTTACTTAGGTCGTTTATTTGGGAAAACCGTTGTTTTATCCATCCATAATGTATTACTATTTGATGAATAAAGGTTTTTGCTAAAAGTCGTTGGATTTAAATATTTGTCAAAAAGAATTTTATTTTTTTTTGTACACCCTTGCCTTTTAAGAAAAAAATGTTTGTAAAAATATTTGCATTAAAAATAATTTTTGTTTAGTTTTGTCCGATAGCTATTGAGTTAAACATAAACATTTTTTATAATTTATTTCTATGCATCATTTCAAAATAATATTATACAATTTTAAAGATTTAAGAAATTACGGCAAGGGTGTAGAATCTTTGGACCCCCAAGGATGTGTCTCCTCTTTCCATTGTTTTGTCTAGTTTTCCCCAAGCTTCATATTAACCACAAAAGTTGGACATCAAATAATGTAAGTTGATACTGGCTGCCCAGAGCAAATTTGATGTTGTGGCTTGCTGTTGTCCTTTTGAGTTTTTGCAAATTGCTTTAGTTTCACCTCAGTTTCGCCTCAATTATGTAAATGCTTTTTTTGTGGTTTCCTGTTGCTTTCATTAAACGCTTCGTTCGTTGTTAGTGTAAACACAAAGGCTAACAATCTTCTATTGTTTTTCTAGATCCCTTCTGTGAATCCGGGAGAGTTTTCCCGGAAAAAATTACGTTTAAATAATTAAACAAAAGAGACTGGCGACTAGCTGCTGGGGAATTTTTAAGAAGGCGAAAAACAAGACGAGAACGAATTTGGTTCCAATACGTTTATTGCTGCTGCCAGCTGCTTCGAGGTTCGATCGGTTTATATTCTCCCGAGAGCAGCATATCATTTCGCATAGCCACGAACAGAAAAGCTTATCAGCTAGATCGGCTATGCTCAAGCTTGAGTGCAACTGATAAGCTTTTGTACATTGGTTTAAGGTGATTTGTTTACATTCTGGCTGCATATATTCAATTCATTCTTTCTTTCAACTATCCTTAAAACTAACAATAAAACTAAATCTACTGCTCCAACATTCCGGCCCCGTTGAAGGCCTCCGGCGCTTTAACCTCCTCGTTAGGAGCGTTGCTTACTGGCAGCAATGCCAGCTTGTGGATGGCGCGCTTGATGACGCCTCCTGACGTCCGTACCTCCGCCACACGCACTCTTCCGTCCTCACCGCCTGTTGTTGCCACCACCCGGCCTGTGAGCCATCTTTGCGGGGGCATGTTGTCCTCGTGCACGAGCACCAGGCACCCGACCTCCAGATCGCGGCCCTCGACGCACCACTTGTTGCGATGCTGCAGGCTGGCGATGTAGTCCCTGGACCAGCTGGCCCAAAACTGCTGCTTGAGATCGGACAGCATTCGCCACCGCCTCAAATATCCGCAACTGGCCTTGCTGGAGATTCCGTCTGTGCCGGACTCTTGCGGCAGCGTGATCAGAGGCTGTCCGATAAGCAGATGTCCTGGAGTCAGGGCCTCTCCATCGTTGGGATCGTTGCCTGGCGACGCGATTGGTCGAGAATTGAGCAGCGCCTCTACCTCGACCAGATGGGTGCTGAGCTCGTCCGCTGTCAGCTTGGCGTTGCCGACTCCTCGCAGCAGCCGGTGTTTGGCGGCCTTGACTGCTGCCTCCCACAGTCCTCCGAAGTGTGGTGACCTCGGCGGTATGAAACACCACTCGACGCCTCTCTGAGCCGCGTATCCTCTCAACTGTTCCTGACTGCGGTGGAACGCTGCGCTCAGATCCTTGAGCACGTTGCTCGCTCCCACGAAGTTCGTGGCGTTGTCGCTGTACATCTTCTGAGGCAGCCCTCTCCTCCCGACGAACCTTTTAAAAACGGATAAGAAGCTGTCAGTTGATAAATCTACAACGAGCTCAAGGTGAACAGCCTTTGACGAAAAACACACGAAAACGGCAACATAAGTCTTGATAGGAGGTTTACCGCGGATCTTTAGTGACACATAAAATGGTCCGCAAAAGTCTACCCCGCAAACCAAAAAGGGGCGTGCTATCTTGACCCTATCGGCTGGCAAATTGCCCATTATCTGACCCATTAGCACTGGTTTGTATTTGAAACAGTGGACACAGCTACGGACAACTTTTGTGCACGCTTCTCGCGCATTGATAAGCCATATCTGCTGCCTCGAAAGTGATACCATCACTTTGACACCAGCATGGTAATGAGTACGATGCAGGTCTCGAAGAAACAGCGAAACAAATTCTGATTTTGAGGACAGTAACAGTGGAAATTTGGCATCATACGGTATTGGTGCATTTAACAACCTTCCCCCAACTCGGATTAATTGAAGTGTTACGCCTTCTAGTTCGCTTGTGTGTAAGAACGGATTTAGACGTTGGAGATGTGGGCTTAAAGTTTCAGATTTCTCTAACTTGACATATTCTAAACCAAAATCAGCTCTTTGATATATTTGGACCATTCTTAGAAACGATAACTTCAGTTCGTTGGCCGAAATAACAATATCGCGATTATTTTTCTTCCCTTGAACAAATCGATTCACATATGCCATAATCCGCAGGAGTTTATTGAATGACGAACATCTTCCAACAAGCTCAATGAAGACATTCGGTTGATTTGTTGTGACGGAACATACTGTCACGCTTTTCTTGTTCTCGGACAACTGTAACTCCGGTGAAACTTCAGTTTGATGAGAACGAGGCCACTCGTTAGGATGTCGGAGTAAAAATTCTGGTCCATTTTCCCATAGCGTACATTTTAAACCCTCTATATCTGTCCCTCGTGATACTAAATCGGCTGGATTATCTTCCGTGGGCACATGACGCCAGACAACATTCTCTGAGAGCTCTTGAACTTCAGAAACTCTATTCGCGACAAATGTACCTAGAGTGGACGGATCCCTCTTTAGCCAGTATAAAGTCACTTGGGAATCCGACCAGAAGTTGATGCTTTCAAACTCTAATTTGTTAAGCAAGGGAAATACTTGAGCCCATAATTTGGCAAGCAGATGCGCTGCACACAGCTCGAGCCTTGGAATCGATTTGGTTTTGAGGGGGAGACACTCTCGACTTGGCGGTCAGCAGTCTCGACAAACTTTTTGTCCCAGCCACGGTACGAATATAAATGCAACAGCCATAGGCGTGGCTTGATGCATCAGCAAATCCGTGGATTTGAACACTGTCATAGGAAGACAAACAAATGTATCGAGGAATGGATATCCGGTCAATTTCTAATAAATTTTGTTTGAATTCATTCCAACTGGTATGTAAATTCATAGGAACCGATTCGTCCCAATCCAGTTTTTGTCGCCACAGTTCCTGAAGCAAGATTTTAGCTCTCGTGATCAGCGGGCACAACAATCCCAAGGGATCAAACAAACGGGCTGTGACGGATAAAATGTTGCGTTTAGTTGGTGGTAGGGACTGAAACGAATCCTCCAAACTATAATGAAAGGCATCACTCTGAGGGTTCCATCTCATCCCAAGCGTTTTCACAGACTCGGAAGTGTTGAACATAAGCGATTTTTCCGATCCCTGGTTAGTCATCAAACTTGGGTGATTTGTTGCCCATTTGGCCAGCTGGAAGCCACCTAACTCTAACACCTTGATCACTTCTTTGCGAATGACTTCCAACTCTTCTAAACTGTTTGCTCCTGTGAGCATATCGTCTACATAGAAGTCGCTTGAAATTACCTCTGATGCGACAGGATGTGACTCAGAGTAAATTTTTGCCAATTCAAAGAGGCAACGAATGGCCAAAAACGGAGCAGAGGCTGTTCCATAAGTGACAGTGTTGAGGCGATAAGTTTGTAGAGCTTGCGTCGACTTTTCCCTCCACACGATAAGTTGGAAACTTCTGTCTTCATTGGCAATGTTAACTTGCCTATACATCTTCGAGATGTCAGCAGTCAAGGCATACTTGTGTAATCGAAATCTTGCCAAAATAGCGTAAAGCTCCCTCTGAATCGTTGCACCCACCATTAAAGTCTCATTTAATGAGATCGAGGTTGACGTTTTACTTGAAGCGTCAAAAACAACTCGCAACTTTGTGGTGCTACTATCAGGTCTCAGGACACATTGATGTGGAATGTAATAGTGTTGTCCTGGAGGAGGTGTTGGAAGCAGCGACATATGCCCAAGGTTAAGATACTCTTTCATAAACTCTTGATACATGTCATGTAACTCGCAATTATTTGCAAGCTTGCGCTCCAACGCAAGAAATCTGCGCCTTGCCGTTTCGAAGGATAAGCCTAAAACACTTGGATTTGTCTTAAATGGCAACTTTACCTCGAAACGACCTGACGAAAGCCTGTGTACTGTTTTCTCAAAGTGCTGCTCGCAAGCTGCTTGTTCAGCTGTATACACAGCCTTCGATCTCTCCGGGACGTGTTCCAATTCCCAAAAACGTTCTACAAGAGAGTCGAGAGAACTTATATTTTCACTACCAGTGACGCTGCATACTTGGGCATTATTCGATACGCGTTGAGTGTACTTTCCCGAAACAATCCATCCTAAGAGAGTTTTCTGGATTGAAGGATATTCTGAACCCAATTTTATTTGGCCTACGCTGAGAAGTTCGAAAAAGGATTCTGCCCCAATTAGTAAGTCTACTTTTGCGGGCTTGTGAAAACGAGGGTCCGCTAATTCAATATTTGCTGGAATTTTCCACTGTGCACAATTGACTTCATTATCTGGTTGATATGATGAAATGGAGCTTAATACCCAAAAATCAGTAGCGAAACTATGAGCATTGACGCGAGAATGAATCGACGTGTGGACTTTGTGCCGTACTACCGAGTCGTTCTTCCCTACAGTGGTGACATTCAAATAGGATTCTTTCCTGCGTAACCGCAAACGCTGTGCTAAGTCCTCGGCCATAAAGTTTATTTGAGACCCTGAGTCTAACAGAGCTCGTGCTAATTGAAACTGTCCAAATCTATCCCGTACCTTAACGACAGCCGTAGCAAGAATAACTTGGTCACTACTTGCAACATGACAAGAATGGGCTTGATTGGGATGATCAAATGCTACTGAAGATGCTTGGGCTTGCACTTGAGGAAGTGATCCCGAAGAAGTTGGTTGCTGCTCTACTCCGTATCTGTGAAGAAGTGTGTTATGAGGTTTGGAGCAAACGCGACACTTTACTGCTTTGCACTTCTTGACTGGATGACCTGGATTCAGACAATTAATACACAACCGATTGTGTTTTGTAAAATCGAACCGTTGGATCACTGACAAAGCCATGAAAGGTTGACAACTGCCTAAACTATGGTTTGTCGCTGAGCAATATCGACATTTTGATTCAGGTCTGCGATCTGTTTGTGTGCATGAGAAGGACGATTTGGAATATCCTCTATTGGAACCTTGGTTAGGCTTCCCTTTACTTTTGGTTGACTCTTCAGCAGCCAAATGTTGGTATCGCCGATTCAACAGAGTCGCACAATCAGACCACGTCGGCAACGTATTATAATCTAGCTGTTCCTCAAATCTGGATTTTGTTGTGTGATCTACTTTGGACATTGCTATGTGAATAAAAATTGCGTTGTTTATTTCTTTTTCACTACCCAGAGACTGTAACGATGCATAGAGGGCCGATATTTCATCTATAAGAGACCTCAAGCCTGATGCAGAGGGTTTTGATACTTGCGGGAGGTCAAACAGCTGAGAAATCGTGTCAAAAAAGATCAAACATTTATTGTCGTACACGTTTTTTAGACTAGCCAATGCCTTCTCATAATTTAGATCCGAAATTTGAAAAGCTTTCACAGTACCTAATGCATCATCTGTTAAACATGTTAGCAGATGGTTAAATTTCTCTATGTTTGTTAGAGATGGGTCGTTGTGAACTAAACTCTCAAAAAGACTTATAAAATTTTTGTAGTCGGAATGTTTTCCACTAAATTTCGGTAGATTCATTTTTGGTAACTGAGACGAATGACGATAACCACCTATATCACTTTGACTAAGTCTCTGAGGCTCGAATTCTCTCATTGCGGACCGATATAACGCTTTCGTAATTATGCACATCTCCTCAACAGACGCTCTTAAATCATTCACTGGATTTAGCACATCGATATCTCCTTGGATATCCATCAATTTCTCGCAATATGTTTCGAGAAGTTGCATTCGGTATTCCATTTGAAACCTATCGAATGAAATGGTTTTTTCCTCGAATGACGTTCTCATACGTTGAATATCACTCATCACCCTGCCGTGTTTTTGCATAGCCACTATTAATTTAGCACTAGGCTTTGACGATGCTTCCTTTTCTTTTTCAGACATTTTAGGTTAATTTAAATGAATAAAATATTCCAAGTAAAAACAGTCGGACACAAGGGTTAAATAAATTTATTTCCAAATGCTCGAAATGCTTCCTTAATAAATTTCCACCAATATCTAAATTTTAAATTTTAAAAATTAAAAAATTTAATTCCTCCAAAAAATTTTATTGGGTTGAATAAGGGTTAAATGTGCGCAGAAGCACCACCAAAATGCACAAAATATGTTTGTATGTGTGTTTGCCGTTTAACCAAAGCCGAAAAAAATGCACAAATGTTGAATTTTATTTGACAAATAAATTGTCCAAACTATTTAAGTGGATCCCGTACGGGTTAAAGATGCCCACAAACACCGACAAAAAAAACCAACAAATGTATTAAAGATTTTTCTCCAGGCCGAATCTCTGAGTATACACCGAATTAATATCCAGGCAAATATGTACATACATATAAACATAAACTGTAGGCAGGGCTTAAATTCACTGCCGAGTTTTGTAGGAACTGTTGGCTGTATACAGTTTGAAAGCCACTGCCGCTGAAACTGGCGCTAAAAATTAACTGATGCGTTGTTTTACATACATATGTACAGCATAGAAGCCACTGACACTTATATATAGCAGACAAATAACTGCTCTGCAACTGCACAAAAGGGAATCGAAAATTGGCGGCGAAACGCTGGTATGTTTGTACATATGTATGTAGATATAGCTGCACTTTTGCGGTTGCACCGTATGTATATAACGCACATAGAATTTTCAAATTTTCGTAGAATTTAAAACACCATAAGTTTTGTCAAAGGCAGTTCACTTTTTTATTAATCATTTGGAAGTTTGGGTATATTTGGGGGTTTAATAATATTTCCAATATAAGTAGGTGCCAAGAATTAATACCATGCTCACAAATTTTAATTTTTGGCACTGAATACCTGGTTGTTGTTAGGCATAATTTTCCAAGCACTTTCCTTTCAAGTCCAAACTGCGATCGCCAACAATTAAACCGAATTCCACCAGCTAGAATTTCCGCCAACAATTTACAAAAAACTAAACAAGTGCCGAGACGACGAGAGTGCACTGTTTTTTTGTTTAATTTTTCCGACGCGAAAATTAATGCAAAACTAGCCGTTGTCCCTGCTCGGGCGCCAATGTGAATCCGGGAGAGTTTTCCCGGAAAAAATTACGTTTAAATAATTAAACAAAAGAGACTGGCGACTAGCTGCTGGGGAATTTTTAAGAAGGCGAAAAACAAGACGAGAACGAATTTGGTTCCAATACGTTTATTGCTGCTGCCAGCTGCTTCGAGGTTCGATCGGTTTATATTCTCCCGAGAGCAGCATATCATTTCGCATAGCCACGAACAGAAAAGCTTATCAGCTAGATCGGCTATGCTCAAGCTTGAGTGCAACTGATAAGCTTTTGTACATTGGTTTAAGGTGATTTGTTTACATTCTGGCTGCATATATTCAATTCATTCTTTCTTTCAACTATCCTTAAAACTAACAATAAAACTAAATCTACTGCTCCAACACCTTCCACGAGGTTCAAGCTCCTCAAATTTTTGCACCAGCACGGCAGGCTCAGGTGTCGCCCGGAATGACAACAATGTATCCTGGTGGAAGCCCGAAATATGTCCAAAATATCAAACTGGAGAACGGATTCATGGATATGGACAGCCAAAGTAGCCACTGTCCATCCGTGGACTACAATTACCCTTCGCCTCGGTCAAACAGTACGGTGGACAGCATTCCCCCAATGCAATTTGGGCAAAATCATTTATATCCGCCAGAGACAACAAACATTCCAATTACTAGCTGCAGTCCAACGCATTTCAATGGTGGCTCCATGATTCCAATTAACAATAACAACAACAACAACAACATTATGGCGACTAATTACAATGATTATTTGAGTTCAAAAATGAGTTCCATAAGTTTACCGCAACAAGGGAACACGGACATCAAGCAGGGACTCCAGCAAACTCAACCGCAGCTTCCATATTTTCTGCAAACCCAACAAAAACAATCGCAGTTCCCGCTGCTAAATCAGCAATATCAACAGCAGCAACAACTGCAGCAACAACAGCAACCGCAACTGCAGCAACAACATCCGCAACAACAGCAACCACAGGTAGATGAACCGCTACCATCGTTAAGTGATCTAATCTCCAGCACATTGGAACTGCCGCACATCGACACCGCCGAACTTATCAAGGACATTAATGCAGAACTTGGATTGCAGAATTTCGAATAAAGAACAAACTTTGTAATTACTTATGTATATATATTCATAAAATATACCAGAAATTAACCGATTCAAGCTATGCAAAAAAGGTCTCAGGATAGGTTGTTACCATTTCGAAATTATCTTCAGCTGAAAACCTGTCTTACATAACTCTAGTTTACCACATTGTACATAAATATTTTGGCTAGATAGCATTAATAGAGGGAAATCTGAATCTTATTGCCCGATGCCTAGTTATGATTTTTTGTTAATTGAAAAGAAATGAATCCAAAATGAATATTTTTTATCATTAAAGATAACTTAAGAATTTACATGGTGTATGTATGATATTTTCTTCATGGGGGGAATGTGGGTAATACTATAATAATTTAGTGAGCTTAGCGTTTAGCGACAGAAATAGGGCTGACCCAGGTTAGCATTATTCTCATTGCGCATGCCGGCAAAGAACCGATTGATGTCCTCCTCGGTAACAACCTTCTTGCTGGCGGCGAATGCCTGCAGGTATTCCTTCAGCTTGTCCTTCATGCGATTGTACTCGGTAATCGCATCGATTTGCTGAGTCCGGTCAATGGAGGCCAATGCCCGGATTCCTTGCTCATAGCTGGAATTCTCCTCAGCCCGTTTCATGCCGCGCTCCTCGTACGTTTTTGCCGAGTCCTCGGCGTCCAGCAGAAACTCCACGGCGAGTTCCTTGTAGAGTGACAGGCATTCGGAGCACTGGCACAGCGATTTGCGCCAGTCATTAGTCCAGAAGGCAGCACCTTGAAAGAGGAGGAAAAGAAATAAATAAATAGGTGCTCAGTGTGGAATTGCGAAAGTTCGTTTCACTCAATTAACTTATTCTGTTTTACCAAAAACAAAGGTAAATGAATGCTAATGCATAAAATTCCATACATTTTAAATAGGTATTTAAAATTAAGAATGACTACATCTGCAAATAAAAATTAAATTTTGGAATACATTTAATTGATGTACTTCAGTTATTTATAAATAAATCAAAAATAAATCTTAGAGACCCAATCTACATTGTTTTCAGTTCTCTTTCAAAAAAACCAAACCATAAAAACGTAACCTTATTCACACTTCACATTTAAATTGCTCAAATCCGCCATGAATCTAGAGTACTTCACCGAGGGACTCGACTGCCTGATGTACTGCGGCATGAAGCTATCGCCAGAGCAGCGCATCCTAATCGAGAACTCGCTTATCGCTTTGCAGAACGACAACCGCTTCTCGGGAATGTATCTTTGGGGTCGCATTACTGCCACCAAGAATGACTACTACATCGCTTTTGGCTACACTAACGATTGCCTAAAGGATCGAAAGTATTTCTACAGTCTGGATCAGTTTCAGTGGCAGTTGTTGCCGTTTGTCCAGAGTCCCAAGATTTTTCAGGCCACCATACTGGCAAGAGAGCCATTTATTGGAGATCCCAGCTTGATGACCTACGTTAAGTTGGTGAGTTTGTAATAGGAAATACTTGAGTGAGTTATAAAGATCTCGGTTCTGCCATTAGGATCCCACTTTTGATATTGTGGGCAACCAGGTGGCTGGCATCAGTCCTCCCGAAACAGTCAAACTGAAGGAGGAGGAGAGACTTGCAGCCATTGTGTTCATTATTACCGAGGAGTGCGCCATTTGTCCCCGCGGAGCATTCTACAAGATGACCGATGGCCGGGTGATTCCCAACCAGATGTTTCGTGGTCTGAACGATCTGCAGATTGACAACCAATCCTATTATCAACTTTATCGTCTGCCTCGCAACGATCTTAAAGTGAACTTGGCCAAGAGGAGCGACTACAACTATGCTATTGACTTCCTGGACACCATTGACTGTGTAATACCGCTGGGTCAGTCTTTTGCCTTAAATATGCAACGAAATGAGCGTTTGGTCGTAATCAAGTCTTGCCTTTGGATGGGCATGACCTTCTTCCACAAAATCAACTCGCATAAACACGGTTTTCTCTACTTGGGCGATGGCAAGAAGAACTTTGACTTGCTTTTCATGTATTGAGTTTTTGTTTAAATAATAATTGTGGTTGTTCATGAAGCATATACTTAGTAATGGATTTTCTTTAGCTTTGAAATTGGTAAACATGTCTAAAGATTTAACATCAGTCTACCCTAAAGAACCTTATGTTCACGTGGGTTCAACGGAATGCCTAAATAAATAAACATTTTCTCAGGGTTTCCGTAAAAAAATAAAATGGAAATCAGCTACCTATCAAGGATTCTCTTGAAACGATATTCTCTTCTTAAAGATTTTTTTGTACTATTAAAAATTTCTTACCCTGGTGCTCCTTTTTTGGTGTTGGACGACGACAGTCCTCCAGCTTGGCACGCTTTTGGCTGGGCTCGCCCTCATCTTCCGCTGAAGTTTCGCCCTCTGCAACCTTCATAATATCGCAGATGCTGCGGTCCAACTCGTTCTTTAGCTGGCTATCCTCTACCTCCGGCTTGCCATCCTTGGAACCCTCCACCACCGGCTGCATGGCCAGACCAGTGTAGTCCTTTAGAAAAGGTTTGGCATCCATGCAGCCATCGCAGATCATTTCGCTGCAGGAATCCAGCCACTTCTCGCTGGAACCGGGCGCCTTCATGTGCGGCAAGTGGTACCAGTCCTCGCAGATGGCGCACTGCAGCATCACCTCTTCGACGGTGCGATCGGGATCGGGATACGGTCGCTTGCACTTGCAATACAGCCCCTGGAAGTTCTGGTTGTAGAGATTACCCTCGTTCTTCGGCTGGACGCCATCGAGCTGTGGGTTGAGACAGCACTTGCCCAACCTTTGGGTGGGGCAATCGCAGCGGAAGTTCCGCTTGGTGTAGAGCTCCACCAGTTCGTGGTGCTCGTGGCAACGATAAGAGCAGGCCAAACAGACTCCTGCGGCCTCTGAGAGATCCTCGCGAGCCTCGGGGCAGCAAGTGAGGCAGGAGTAGAGGGCCTGCCGGCCAATCGGCCCCTTTACATACGTGCAGGACTTCTCATCGGAGGCGCCCAGCACCGCGGCATACTCGTCCTCCAGTTCCTTTTCCTGCTCCAGGACATCCAGCATCGTAATCGTCGACTGCTCGAGAGGATTGCCCTCCTCGCCTTCTCCGCCGCCATTTGTAGCGTTTAACTCACTCATTTTAACAATTCAACTCAGTTGATTTGACTTCGCTTCGTGTCAATATCTCAAAAGTGGTGGAATGCGCAGCGTTTGGCGCGATTAGGGGAAAACTGCAAATAATTCAACCACCTAAAATTAGGGATGAGACGGAACAACTTGGCTCCGCGATATCTATCGGTTGCAGTGTTGCGAAGCCTTTGTTTGGGGTTACCAGCTGTTTACTTAGATTACAAAAATAGCTAGACGTACTCAAAATACAAATGGTGGAGTCTGGAAGTAAAGAACAATGAATGATGGGCAACAAAAATTTTTACTCACAAAATTCTCATTTCTTTATCCTAACTATATTTAGGGTAAAATAGCAACACTATCAACACTCCAACGTTTTTAGCCGTTTCCCAACACTACTCGAGCCAATTTTCTGAGCGTGCTGCTGATTTTAATAAACAATTTCCATTTTAGCTGAAATTTGCGCAAATACCCATACAAAATGAATGCGCCACCAACCTTTGAGTCATTTTTGCTGTACGAAGGCGAGAAAAAGTGAGTAAACTAATTAAAGTCTTGTAAATAACCACCTGTAACCTGTATTTTGGCGCGGTGGCAGAATCATTAAAGAATTGGACACAAAAGTTACAAATGCGGCTATATTCACGATAAATAAAGAGGATCACACTCTGGGTAACATGATCCGCAAGTATGATGCTTAAAATTAGTTGATAATAGCAAACTAAACCTATATTTAACTTCAAAGCCAATTGCTGAAGGACCCCAATGTTTTGTTTGCCGGCTACAAGGTTCCCCATCCCCTGGAACACAAGTTCGTCATCCGAATCCAAACTACGGCGGATTATTCACCTCAAGAAGCATTCATGAATGCAATTACTGATTTGTTGGCGGAATTGTCCCTCTTTGAAGAGAGATTTAAAGTAAGACATGAATCCTATTTCACATAACCAAATAAGGAGAAATCTCTTTATTACCGATTTTAATTTCCTTCCCTTTTTTCCAGGATGCAATTAAGGAGAAGAAGGAGGGCGGCGATTAGTTTTAACCTTCCCATTCTAGCAGTAGTCTTAAAGAAAAAACAAATAAATTCTGGACACTCTTTCCACATTCTTATCTTTTATTTTTACACTATGTTTACAATCAAAAATTACGAAAACAACCGATTGTGATTTGCCACGAATCGCATTAAATAAATAAAAACAATTTAAAATAGACTATTATCCATGAATGTGTGCATAACGCCAGATCACAATTTTAAGTAGAGAATGTTTTATGTGTGATTGAGTGAAGCTCTGCTGAGGTAAAAGTTATCTCATCTGATAGATCTCGCAATACGGTTATGCTTAAGACTCAAAACAAAGAAAAATTTATAAAAATAATTTAGAATTAATCTAGCTAATAGGTTTCATCATCGGCGCATTCGCTTGTATCGTGGCCAAAAGCTGAAATGGGAAAATAGTTTACTCATTTAGTTATATTTGTATATATATATGAATTCTTTTATTTACCTTCGCAAGAATCGCAGTATTTTCTTGGCGGAGGCAGCTTGCGCTCCTTTTCGTTGTTGTTGGCCTCGGATGGTGGAGGGGAATAATCCCGATCCTCACTAGCTTGGATGGGACAGTCCTCAGTTTCGTGCTGGTCAAACTCATCGCAAATGTCGCAGAAAAGTCTGGGAGCTGGTTTCCGCTTGGTCAGCACATCGAAGGCATGAGGCCTAGATAATTTTAAGCAAGATAAAAAATATTTAGTTCCTCAAAATTTTTTTTAATTTTATCCATTTTTTTTGAACTGAACAAAAAAGAAAGTAGAATTTTGGCACAAGGTTCGAACAAAGTAAAACAAAAATAAACTTCAGTTTCAGTCTTCAGGTAATCCAACTCACTTGGTAAAGTCCATTGGCAAGGTTTCTAGAGTTTGCACTTTGGCCTTCAGTGCATCGTTCTTTTGTTGCATATCTGCAATGATTGAGTTCAAGAAGTTGATCTTGGCTAGGCTGGTTTCGCTGTCCAATGACTATATAAATAAATAAATTAATCAATTATGTATTAGCTATTAAGGCAAGGGAAACCCACCTCAAGTTCGTCTCCTCTTCCTGACCGATTGGCCGCACCATTCATCTGAGTTTTGAGAGTTAAAATTTCTCTGGACTTCTCCAATTCTAGGGAATCCAACTGACGCCTTAGTTCCTTCGTCTCCAGATACGCAGTCTTTTGGGCTTCGTTGGCTTGATGGAGTGCGGCCTCCAGTTCCGCAACTCTTTTTGAAGCTGTTCCAGCAGCTTGGATTTGGCGGAGGATGAATCATCCATTTCATCAATGACTTTCTGGTATTCCGCAAGCTTTGTGTCGAATTCGTTGCCCTTTTCCAAAAGGGATTGCTTTTGCTGCAGGGACTTTTGAAGCTCCTCGTTAGCCGACTTTAGTTGGTTGAGTTGCTCAGCTATCTTGGAGGTTTCATCCTGCAGATCTCTCTCCTTTTGCTGGGCCTTTTCCAGCTTATTCTCAAGTTCACTGTGGCTCTTCTTTTGAACTTCGAGCAGGGAATTACTTTCCTCAATTTTCTCTTCATGACTTTTAAGGATTTCGTCTTTTTTAGAGAGTGTCTCCAGCAGTTCCTGATTGGCCTGCTCCAGTTGACGCAGTTTCTCGGTGGCTGCCAAAGATTCTCCTTGCAAATTACCCTCCAATTCTTGAGACTTTGCAAGCAACTCTTGCAGTTCTTTATTTGTGGCCTGTTGGCTTTCCAACTGAGCGGTTGCCGCTTGGAGTTTTTCCTCAAAAACTTTCACTAGTTCTTCTACTTTCACGAGGGAATCATTCACTTCGGTATTAGCCTGCTGCACTTGCTGAAGTTCACCGGATAATTTTTCAGCCTCTTCCTGCAGGACCTTTTCCCTTTGCTCAGCCTCCTCCAATTTAACTTGGATTTCCTTTGACGAAACGTTTTGAGTTTCTAATAGAGTATTGCTTTCCTTTAATTTATCTTCTAAGTTCTGTACAATTTCATCTTTTTTCTTGAGGGATTCGGAAAGTTCCAACTGGGTCTTTTGCAGCTCTTGTAGTTGTTCATTTAATTTTGCACCTTCTTCTTGTAAAGTCTTTTCATTTCTTTGAGCTTCTTCTAGTTTGACTTGAATTTCTTGGGAAGAAGATGTTTGACCCTCTAATACGGAACTAGTTTCCTTGAGTTTACCCTCCAAACTTTGAACAATTTCCTCTTTTTGCTTCAGAGAGTCTTTAAGTTCTACCAACGATTGTTGTAACTCTTGAAGTTGTTCCTTGCAAGTCAAAGATTCCTGTTGCAAACTCTGCTCACTTTGCTGGGATTGCTCCAATTTAATTTCCAGGTTCTGGGACTTTTTCTGCTGCTCATCCAGTTGAGAATGAGTTTCCTTGAGTTCCTCCTTCATTCCAGTCAGTTTTTCGATCAACCGCTCCGAGTTCATATCCGCTTCCATTTCGAAGAGCTCAAATATGTGATTGGTTTCACTTTTCTCCGCCTGAAGGACTTCCAAAACGGTGGAGAGCTCTGCATTGGTGGCCGATATGTTGGCATTAGCCACTTGAATGGCTTCAACAAGCGTCTTAAGATCAGCTATTTTTTGTGCATCTTCGGTGGCTAGTTTCTCCTTGTGCTGGATCTCGGCATTGGTTATTTCCAGCCGCTCTTGCAGATCCTTGATGGTCTCCTGGCTGCCAGAAGTGAGCTCCTGATTTTCCTCCTTAGCTTTACTGACTTGCTCCTGGAGATCCTTAATAGTTTCTTCCAGAGATTTCTCCTTCCTTTCGACTTCGGCCTTTAGTTTTGTTTGTGAGTCTTGACTATCTTGCAGCTGCTGTCTTAGCTCCTGTAGTTCCTTCTCCTTTTGTAGCATCTCTTGGCTCCATTCATCGGCTTTGCTTGTCAGCTCCTTTTGGCCCGTGGCTAATTCCTCAGAGAACTTGGAGAGTTTGGTGTGAAGATCGCTGGCAGAAGATCTTTCGGCAAGAAGCTCAGCATGTAAGGTATCGGTGATTTCCTTCACCTGATCTTGCAAACGGGAAGCTTCCGCTCGGGATTCTGCGTAGTCCTGTAAAGAAGTAAATATTTTAGTATAATTATATTAACTAAATTTTCTCATTTGACTTACTTTGTTCACCTTCTCCAAAGCCGCATTGGCTGCCTCAAGCTGCTTTGTTTTGGATTCCACATCAGTATTACTTGAGCTAAGAGCTGACTGCGTCTCATCCAATTGGGATTTAAGTTTGGTAATCTGTTCCTGCAGATTGACCAACTTTTTGCCTTCTTCATCCAGATTTGCATTGGCTGTCTCGAGTTGTTTGGACTTGGCTTCTACTTCCGATTGGCTGGATTTTAGTTCCGACTGAGTTTTTTCAGCCTGGGATTTCAGTTGACTAATCTCCTCTTGCAATTTAGCCAAGTTTTTGGCTCCCTCTTCTCCCGAAGCGTTTGCTTGCTTTTGGAGCTCTTCTAACTGGTTTTGGGTCGCTTTTAAAGATTCTTCGGTTTTGGATGACTTTGCTTCCAATTGCTTCAGTTCCTTATCCTTTTGGCTTATAATCGCTTCCTGGCTTTTCCTTAGCTCTTCCAATTCAGTTAAAAGTTTTTCATGAGCTTGAGTTTTCTCTTGCATTTCCTGTTTCAGTTTTTGAAGGGATTCATTGGACTCAACAAGTTGTTTATCTTTTTGGGTATTCAGATCCTTATTTTCTTGAAGATTAGTCTCCGTTTCGGACTGTTTCTTTTGGAAGTCATCAAGTTCGGCTTGCTTAGACTCTAAATGCTGTTCTAAGGATACTTTTTCTAATTTTATTTGACTGATTTCGTTTTCAGCCTTTTCCCTGACTAGTTTTTCTTGATCCGCTAATTGCTTAATTTCTGCTAATTGCTTTTCAAGTTGTTCCTTTTCCTGCTGTTTTTTCAAAGCCTCTTCTTTCAGTTGATTAAGTTCCTTGTCGGTTTTCTCCAAAAGATTCGACTTTTCTTCACTTCCCTCTTTTTGCACACGAAGCATATCATCCAAAGCTGAATTATCCGCTCTTTGTACGTTTAATTGAGTGGTAAGTTCATCGAGTTGTTGACTTAGCTCCTTGATTTGTTCATCACGCATTCGGACTTCGGTTTGAAGAATCTCGCATTCATCGGATTTGTTTACCCTTTCGCTTTCCAGGGAATCTGAAGCCGCTTTAAGACTTTGCAATTCCGAGGTGACTTTTTCCAGCGCTTCGGATTTTTCGGCCAGCTTACGAGAGAAATCAGCTTGCGTCTCTTCAGCTTGCTTTTCGTTTTCCTCCTTGAGAAGCGCCAGTTCGCGACGAAGATTTTCGATTCCACACTCCGACAGGGAGAATTTCTCCAGGGATTCATCCTTGGACACAAGTTCTGCCTGAAGAGTGGCGTTCTGTTCCTGCAGGTACTTAACATTCTCCCTCAACCGCTGCTCTTCCTCCAGCTGCTCGGCAATCTTTGCTTCGGTTTCCTTTTGCTGCGTGTCCAGCTTTTCCTGGAGCTTAGCAATCTCCTCCTTAAGGGCGCTGTCATCTGGCGGAGGAGCAGGTGGCGGTATGCTCTGCAAACTGGGCGTAGCTGAGGAGAATTCATAGATATTCAAATAAAGTATTTCACATATTTCAGTTCGAATTTGATCTTTACCCGAAACCAGTTGTGTAATCTTTGATTCCAGGTCGTGGATCTTTTCCTTGTAGACCTGGGACTGAGCCTATTGGGTAAAAATTCGAAATTAACAAACAAAATTCCCGTATTTAAATCTACATTGACTTGTTGTAATTCTATGGTGAAAAAATTCATTAGTTAAACGGCTATAAAGCCCAGCTTTCGTAAAACATATACATCTTGGGTTTAATTTTTTTAAATTTTTGTATACCAAAAATTAGTTTACAAAATTTGGTTTATATAATCGCACTGTACCGGAAGTTTTCATTCATACTGTTGAAATGCCTTTAAGAGCTAGTAAAACTATATTTTTAAGAAAACCATTATTAAATTACATTTAATAGTTAAGATCTTTTTTAAAGCGTGGAGATATATATGTATAAGAGGTACCTAGTGGACCCCAGTTTTCATTTATGGGTATTAATTTCCACTTAGATTAGCCAAGATTTCTATTGCATACTTTTGAGTTCTTGCAACCGCAAAAAAAATATTATATTGATGCAGCTCTGAAGAAGGGAATTTATTCTTCAAAAAAACAAGTTTAAAGAAAAACATTAGAATAAAATATTTTTAGAAATCGGCTAATGGGTAAAATAAATATTTGATCCAAGATCGTATAAAATGTAAATACAAAAACAAAAATCATCTAACTACTGATATTCAAATGAATTTTAAGCCTCAAATGTTCTTCAACAAGTCAATGCACATTGCCAACTACAATTTCAACTACTTCTTACATTCATTTCATCGCCACAAAATTGGGCCTCGTCTACGGAGAACTGCAACTCTTCTGTTTTCTTTCGCTCATCTCCCAACGCTGTCTCCAATTCAACTATTCTTGCCTTCAGCTGAGGATCAAGGAATCAGAGAGATGGGAAAACTGGATTAGAACTCAAATCAAAACCATAAATAAAACAACATTTGGAGATTGAAACATATTTCGCATATTGTTAATGTATTTATCTTCATATAGGGTATATCGTATGTATCGTATCAACTAAACCAACAGCAAGAAAAATTCGCTTTCGTACAAAATAATCAAAAATTGATAGACAACTTTTCCATTTTCCATATTTTTTTCTCTTTTAAATTTCGTTTTCAATTTTTTAAGCCTTTTAAACCATTTTAGTTAGCTTTATTCGTTTTGGTTTTTACGTTGGCTTTCGATATTTTTTTTATGGTTATCTCTTTTCATTATTTTTAAAGATCTTTAATGCTTTATTTGGTTGTATCAGCTTAAAACGCTGTGCAGACTTTAACATTGTCTTCAGTGTGGTTACTTTCTCGTAGCGAAGAAAGTTTATTCAAAAATCCTCCAATCGAATTGTTTTGAGCACTGTGGTCGCCCATCATCCATCATCATCTGTTCCAGATTTCTACTTGATGCGCAGCGGTGTAAGGACACTGTGCAGGATGCAGTGCCTCTCGTGTTTGCCCGACCAGCCGCGGAACTCGCGTCGCAGATCGGAAACCTTTATGCTGTGTCTCGCTATCAGGCGTCTCCAGCGATCCGCTTCGATCAGTATTTGCTATAAGAATCATACAAAAATAGTTTTGTGCAAACAGGATTTCTTTTCTAAGGCCAGCATAATTTTGTTCAAATTGGTTGTCTAATTATTCTTTTTTTGGTTTTGCGTTAAAAAGGATGGAAAGTTCAGTGGATGATAGAGATAGGAAATGAGGAGGTTGGGATTGGGGCTTTCGGGTGATAATTTTGTTGCTAATTTAACACTCAAACTCAAAGTGCGCTTGACAAATAGAAAAGTCTAACACGTATCCGCATATAATTAAAAACACAAACAATTTATTCAAAACGAAACCAAACAGAAAGCACAAAACTCAATCATCCCAAACAGTCATCGTCTAGAAAAGCCCCAAAAAGCAGAAAACATTTAAAAGTGTACAGTGCGTTTAAAAATTATATAGCTTTATATACCTCTAAAACGCACTGTAAAAAGTAAGCCAGCAGTGCAAAAGTGCTAACATTTAATGCAAATAATTTTGTTTATTTATAGTAGTGTTTTTAGCATTTTTCTTGCTGTAATTTCTAGATAGTGTACACAATAGCTGAAGCGAACAAATTTTTGTGTATTCTGAAGTGAGATGAACCCATGGAATTACTTTTGGGATGCAAAATAAAACAATATGTTAACAAAAACCCCTTTTAATCTAGGCATTTGCACGTTAGGTGTACATAACAATTTTGTGCCAGCACAAAATAAAAAAATACTAATATAGTCAATGTATGCAAGTTGATTTGAAATCAATTTGGTATTGTATACATTTCCATCGAAAACCTTAACCCATTGTTAGCAAAATTTTGACCGAGTTAAATGCTGTTGAACCCCCAAAACCTTTCATGCCTAGTTAAACTTATGAAATTTGTACTCTTCTCAGCGTTCAAAGTTAATTAGATGAATCATTTCGAGAAAATGACTGACAATTGGGAGATGACTTGTGGCTTAACTGTGGTTAAGGAACAAAACATTAAATAAAAATGTGTCAAAGTAAAGTAAAGTGAGTATGAGTTAAATCAACAACAGTAAACACAAGACAATGAGGAAAATAAAAACAGACATAACGGTGAGAAATAAAGAAATAATTGAACGAACAGAAATAATAATGGTGCAGTGTCTGCTGAATGTTGAATGTTTTTGTAAACAGCCAGCGCGGGTGCAATGCAAAAACAAAAACAAAAACAAAATCATAACAAAACACAATTAATCGAAACCGAAACTGCACAAATGACTGAGCAACCATTGACTTGGGCCCATGAAGTCCGTCAGCCAACTGGAAAGAGTTTCTTTTTATCGCAAAACCAAACTTTCTTCGGCTTGGCCTGCTGATGATGTTGCTGCTGTGTCTGCAATATCTGTTGCTGCTGTTGCTGCTGCTGCTGCAGCGGCTGTCTGTTGCATGTTGCTGCTGCTGCAGTGATTGTTGGTCTGCTGGTTGTGGTTATGCTGCTGCTCAGGGTGGTTGGAACCCAGATAGTTCGTTGTGGCTGTATTGTTGGACTCTTAACCCTCGACTTCTTGATGGGTCGATAGGGTCGCGATCTATCCGCGTAGGGCAGCGGTGCGTACATGGTATCGGTGAAGATAATTACCTCGTTGATGCTCTTCTGCAGCTGCAGCGCCTGATTCTGGGCATCCTCGCGGTCCAGGTCGCGCTCCACCATCAGCTGCTCCACATGTTGTTGCTTCTCGCGCAGCAGATCCTACAATATCGATCGACATCGACCAAAAATAAAAAGAGCACAGAGAGCACAAAGCAAGCTTTGATGAATTGCCTGAACACACACAGAGATCGATTACAATACAGGAGAGACAGGAGGATATATAGATACAGATTCGGATACATATAGTGTGGTGGGTGTATGTACAGAAACAGGGTGCAGCTGGTAGCAAAAGGAACACTCATTACTTTATTGTAGCTTTACCTTTTACCGGCGACAGCGAACACACATGCAAATAAATATATTATATATATATATAGCAATTAAACGAAAAACATCGAACAATAAACATTTAAACAGCGAAAGCGTGCAGGAAATATTTAAATACATTTTATTGTACATTGTGAAATAAACGTACCAACTCAAACACACGCAAAAAATGCATAAACACTTGGAGGGCATACATTTATTATTAATTTACATAGTTTGTTTTGGTGGGGTTTTCTTTTGTTTGAGGGGTGGGTGTTGGTGTGTCTTATGTGTTGTGTGGGTTAGTTTCTTATGTTAGTTGTACACTTAAAATCAAGGGGTTAAACCACAAATTTACAGAAGGATCCAAGTCCATTAACGTCGAAAACTTTGATAGATTTCGTTTGAAAAAAGATTTTACAAGCTGCTTTTCATTGCTTAATAGATCTTAAAGATGAAGAAATAATTGTTAAATTTTACCAAACGAATACATCTAATTTATTCTAGTTTTAGAAAGGTAGAAATATCTGTATTTTCAAAGTTAATGGATTGGGTAAACTAACAGCGATTATCGCCTAAACGCATACAGCTCTAAAAACTAATAGAGCTCTTAAAGCCGAAAAGGAAAACCAACAGCGAATACCATACAATTTATTTGTTGATCTTGTTGATGTTAGCATACCTGCATAGAAAATTGGCTTTTCGGCGTCGCTAAAATTGGCTTTACGGGCGTGATGGACTTGCGCTGCTAGGAACGGAACGGGATTGCGATTAGAATTGGTAACGCGTTAGTATCGGGGCTCAAAGTAAACTAACAAGTAGGTTAATAAGTAAAATAAAAATTAACAAAGAACAGAACCAGAACTTTGAATAGTAATTGTGTTTTTTTTTCTTTTTCTTGTTTTAGGGACTGTGGGTGTTCTGTGGGAGAACTGGGTGGTGAGGGGTGCTCTTCGCGAGGTCACCGCTTATACCTGAGCATTCATGCGCATACGCGACGTGGCCGTGGTGGCGATGCTGTTCATGGTGCCGATCGAGGTGAGGGACTCCCGCGATCCAGTCCTCGAGAGACGAGTCTTCTTCGACGAAGGCGACAGCGAAACCTTTGCAATAGGCACAAACACCCCGTATTTGGGCTTGCACTCGAAGTATCTGCAAAGGAAGTTGGTTAAGTATATGGGATTCTACTATTTATAAAAACCCTCAGATTTATTACAAATATAGGAAATATTAAATTACTAATTTGACCAAAAAAAGGTACTGCTTTCCATTTGATACTTCCCCATTCATTTACATTTGTATTATATCTCACCCCCTAGAATTTTTTGAACTTGATTTTTATTGTATACCTTATATCATCCACAGCACCATCATTTTTGCCGCTAGGCTCATCCAATTCCACGCCGCACCAATTGCCAGGAGCGAATTGTGTCTCGCCCAAATAGCGTAAAATACCCGGACGACTGCCAAATCCAGAGGAGACAATCACACGATCGCCCACAGCCATTCCATTTTCTGGATGAGGATTATTCGAAAATACAATTTAATACTTTTGAATATCTCTTCCCATTTGGGAAAGCCAAAACTTACTGCCTCCGATTCCGGGACTGCGTAGCATAGAGCTGCGAATGCTCGCAGTTGGGGAGACTGTGCGCGATCTGTCCGGTGAGTTTTTGGCCAACGGAGAAGTTGGCGTCTGGGCTCCGGACATCGGATATGTGGTAAGACGTGTGAGGCGTGAGAAAATGCCGCGCTTCGGCTCGCACTGGAAGTATCTTTTGCCTGACACACAGCCATCATTTTTGCCTAAAAAAAATGTTTAATTTAAATGGGGGTACTTAAAAAATAGAAAATAAAATGTATTCTTACCATTAGGTTCATCCAGGACAACACCGGCCCATTCGCCGGGTGCAAAGTGTGTTTCGCCAATATAGGCAATTTGTCCGGGTCGAAGGCCACCAAGCCAAACCCGCTGGCCAATGATGAACTGCTCTGTGTTTGCTGTCAGCACGGCGCTGTTGTGATCTGTTTGAAGGGGAAATCAATATCAAGTTGGGGGGTCCCATTAGTATCACCCGTTAAGTCATCAATCATAATACAACACACACAGTGCTAAAATTGGCTAGACTGCGTTTTCATTTATCTCTCCAATACAGTTCGTTTTTAATGTATTCCACTTTGGGTATGATGTCATTTGGAATATTTGCATATCCCCTGCTCAATGGAAAACCATTGAGAACGATCCTCCGCATAATGAATATATAGTCTATAAACGGATTTTAGCTGTGTAAACTTGACATTTGCAAGCTGTTCAATGTGTATTCCACTTTTAAGTTAAAAGTGGCAATGAATACTCTTCGATTTCACTTTTAGCTTCCCATTTATCTTCTCTAAGCCTGGGGGGAAAAACCATTAAGTGGAAAATTACAGGAAACAGGCAGATTAAAAAGCTGAATAAAAATTGCATGCAGCTCAATGAAGTCATAACAACATTTTGCCAAGTTTGGCTGTCGTGTCAGTTAATTTAATTTTGTTGTTGACTGCATCCACCCACAACTATTAGATATGGCAACTCGTTCATAATTTTCACGTTGCCGTTTGTTGAAAATGAAAAGCTTTCAAACTTGCAGTTAAGCGGCATTTCGAGCGGATTTTATAAGATATATAAAATATTTTTTCACAACGTTCAAAATTGGTAAGTTCCCTTCACTTAAATTAACATATTCCAAGAAAGTTTTAGCTACACAATCAGTCCTTTACCTCGTTCACCTATTACTTAATTCTATTTAATACTTATTCAGTTTTTCAGAGGTTTGCACCTCAATTTATTTACCATTAAACCCGTAACGATTTTGCCCCAAATTCATTAATCTACAGACTTGGCCAATTTAATTTGATTAAAAATGTACATAAAATGTGCATAGTTAACCCTAGAAAGACCTTGACTTGCCGCTACATTGTGTCAGCGCAAATATTGTCACAGCAATAGCTCATTAGAGACGCAATTACACCCACAGAGAGAGACAGGTAAATTTGAACACGTTTCCAGTGGCTCATTAGGCATTGTTAATTTGACAATCATTGGAGCTACCGAAGATGCAGAGATATATATTTATGTAGGTATGGTATGCCTTCTGCATGGAAAAATGCTTGACAGTTTGGCCATAAATTTGCGCTCTTAAAGTTTCTGCGGAATGACCATTTAAGGAGCGAGCAACTGGCCTAGATGCATAGATACATAAACGCCAACCACCTGCGCAAATGGTTAGAATCAGACAAGCTCCGCAAATAAAAGATACAGCGGGCAAAGGTATTTCTCTTGTGCACACAAAACAAATGCTAAAAATGAAGAATGTTTCCTGCTATAAAATACCCATTTACGTCAGGGCTTAAATTCAAGCTCTTTCCTTAGTATTATGTCAATAAATTGCAAACAATATTGGCTTCTGGCGTTATTTTATCGCTGATCATTTAAGATAATTTTCTTTTCTGTGTACCAGCCTCCTCCCACAATCGCTGCGAATTGCTTACCTGAGCTGCGACGTCGCCCAGTGGCCTCTAGATAATAATCATCTTTGGCGTTGGAAAACAAAAAACAGAAACGAAAACGAAAACAAAACAAACAGAAAAGATACAGATACAGGTACGAGACCAGATAAAGATACATGCGACTGGCATTATGGCGATGGCGGGCAAAAAGAACTTACAAGATGTGCGACTTCCAGCCTCCGATGATTTTAGCGAGCGTCGAGCGGGCGAAAAGCGGTCCCAATCGGATGTGGGTGAGAGCGAAGATCGCGTAAAGCGCCTGACAGTCTCTTGATAGAGATCTATAGACGAACAGTACGAGTACGGGTTTTATATATATACATGAACTCAAACTCAAGCCGATTTTCCATAAAATGCATTTGCAATTGTTTAACATTTTGGTTTCGTGGGTGTTAACTGGGCAAAAAGCTGTGCGGCAAGTTTTCCTGACATTTACCCCTTTTTTTGTTTTTATTTTAGTTATATAGTATATGCCTTATATACATATTGGTGTTGGTTAAAAATTAGCGCAGTCGTGTTAAGCCCAATTTGCTCTTTTGGGTTGTGAAAGTTTTTTGGCAGCTTGTGTGCTGCGTTTCTTGTCTTTAATAAGATCTTGGCCGCAAGCAGTTGTGGTAAAGGTTAGATGGCAACAAACCAGAAAAAAATTACGAACGGTAATCTGAGATGTTATTAAGACCGAAATATGCATGGCTTAAAAAAAGAGAGATTGGCGTGTGCTTGTTGTAATATGATTTCGATGAAATGCTTTATACAAATTCGCTTAATATAAAAAACCTCAAAATTAAAAAACTTCAATTACCACAAAAAAAACTACAATAACACCTGCAAATCAGATTAGAGAATTTTGTCTTTGTATCTTTCACTAAATTATGTGTGTTAAATTGTTTGTTGTCATTTCGAATTGCAACTTTCAAATTCAATTTACACTTTTGCGAAAACTTCACGAGAAAGATCAATAAAACCATAATTCAATTAAATTGTCGACAGTTTGGTAACGTTTTCAAAGCCATTGAATGGCAGACATGCGGAGATTTAAAAACACAATTGCAATGGACAAAAGAGATGCTGCCGAGAAGGAAGGAGATCGAGAAAAGATTTCAATTTTTCAATTGCACGATTTCGTCTTCCGTTAACTTTTCAGTACACAGAAAGAAATAATGGCTTAAAAATAATTACAAATTCAATAGTTGAATGAAGAGTTATTTCATTTTAAATCAATTGGAAATGGCAATTGTGAAAATAAAAGGAATTTACAATTTCTTTATTTATTTATTCCACATTTCAATAGGTGCTATCTTTTTTTTCTGTGTACTAGCTTCATCTTTAGTTGTGCGCTGTGAAAACCTCAGCGTGTATACGTCATGTAGTTAATTGTGTTTTTGTCAGTTGAAATTGCTTTTATTTTCCTCGTTTTTTTTTTTTTTAATTTTTGTTCATTTGTAATTTACGCCAGACATGCGCTCTGCTTGAGTGCGAGTGTGTTGAAGATGCTTTCGACCGGCTTTATGATGTCTTGTGGGCTACTGTTTTTGGCTAATCAACCGATTGCGTTGGCCCAGCCATGACATGACTCGAGTTGGCCAGCAGCTGGAGCCAGCTTCAAGGTTCAATTGTATCTAGCAAGTAGTAACTGGCATTCGCTACCGTTGCCGATCGTGCAAGACAATTTGTTATTATTTGCCATTATACATCATGACGGTAGCAATTTATATTGTGTATCTCATGTGGTCGTAAGTGTTTCTTTTTTTTAATTATCACAATTGGGCGTTGTAACAGTTTGTTTGTGTATCGCTGTGGGGTGTTCCCTTTTATTTTTTTGCGAACTTTCACTAATTGTAAAAAAGGGGAAACAGTTTCTCCGTCCTTTTCGTTCTGTTTTTCGTATCGGTGACGGGCTTTATGTAATGGCTAAAAAGCAGCCAATGTCAGGCAATAAATCAGACTAGACCTTCGCTTATTTAACCCGCTTTATGTCCCCCGGCTAACTTACAACATTTAACTGTGAAACGTCGTCATTCTAAAAATACGCACGCAGCTAGATGACAAACAATTTCCTTGCAGTTGACATTCATTGTCAGCGCTGCTAATGAACTCATGTATCTGACAGATACGCAGCGCACAGCTCTCGCCGGGTGAATCATCAAAGAGCACCGCTCACCCGGCCGAGCCAAGTGGAGTGTGGCGCCGCCAATAGTTGACTTGACTTGGCCAAAAGGCGGCCCGGCTGCGACCCACTTTGCTCACGATTCTGGCCAAAATGAAGCGGCCAGAGGAGATACGTCTAACGAAAACAAATATTTCGCCAGCCATTTATGGCGGCTCGATCGCGCGCTGCCCGGCGATAAATCAGCCAACAGTGTCGGCCATGTCGATAGCACATTATCTTCTGAGATGATTAACCAACATTTAATTAAACTAAACTGTGTGCAAGTCGCTAGTCCGCCTTCCCGATCTACTCCCTCTTTTGTCTTGTGTAGGCTGCAATTGCAGTTGCTATTCGTATGTGGCTGTAATGTGGGTTTCACACTGAGCGAAATGCTAAGGGTTTGTAAAAAATAAAAACATCTAAATATGGTTTGTCTATCAGCTTTGTAAGGAAGGTGGAAAAATGTATCCATAAATGTCCCTTTAAAACAAATAATTACCATTTGCATTTTAGTTTGATTGTAGTAGTTTGAATTCTCAGCTTTTCTTCGTATGTATTTTCCTACCTCGTAAAGCAATTTCTGTCCAGTTTTTACCACATCTTTGGCAACCCACATAGCGAGTAGTTTTTCACAACCCCAGACTCGGACTTACATGACTTTTCGGCATGTTAAATGCAAATCCATGTGCGAGTCTCTCAGGAAAATGCCGACAAAAACAGATTATTAGCTGCTGATTGCCGATCTGTAATTCCTGATCATTGTGGGCTGCTCCAACATTTCCACTGAAATGCACGAGTTGTTACAGTGAAGATTGTAATGAGGTGGCAGTCCAGGTAAATATATACCCAGGTTATAAATACAGCATTTACTTGGGGTGTGGCCAAAAGTAATTTAGTTACAAGCGGCGATATTATTTTTGTATCTCCTGACTTCATGTTGGAATTTCCCAACTGCTACAGTGCTCCCAGCTTAAATACTACCCACTGTACTCGTTCTGGCTAGCCATTTTTTTTATCTCAATTGATTTAATTTCTGCTCATTGTTCTGGGCGCACAATAATTGCATCGACAATGCATTCATATAAATATTTATTCGCCATTATTTTAAATGCTAAATGTTTTCAACAGGAATCTTTGTGCGGCAAACTAGAATTTTACCAAATAGAAAACTGGTTTCCCAGATGAAGATGCTTACGTGATAGCCGCTGATCGCTTAAAGGCGTGTCCCATATATTATTAATTATAGATGTATACTATACAGAGAATACCCAAAAAATCCGGTTGGGGCTTTGTTTGTGTCGTGATTTCGCATTACAATTAAAATTTGTTTAGAACGTGTTCCGAATGCTAAAACACTGCGGAACACATGTGCCAGAAGGGCAAACAGTTGAATGAACATGCCAATGAACACTCCGTCTATTAAGACGATTTTAGCCTAATGAAGTTGCCCTACGGCTAAGGTAAAAAGCGATTAAAGTTATGACTGATTACGAGTGAATTTGATAGGCCTTTGATTGGAATACATGAATGGGATATAGATACAATCTGTACGCAGTCGTAGATCGTGAGATTGTTTTGACATTTTGCCTATCCGAGGGAAGATGTTGCATACACAAGTAGATAAGGCAATGAAGTGTCTGTTTTTTTGTGTGAAGATCACTGAACTCAAAATTGAGGAACAGTGTCTTGTCCCAGGGTTAATTCAAATTGCATTGAGGTGTACATATGAAATGGAAATGATTACCAGGTCAATAAAAGTAAACAGCACAGATAAGGAACAGTTACTGTAGAATTTTATTTAATTCCTTGTATTTAAGTAACAATCCCGTGCTGTTAATAACTAACAATTTTTTGACCCCTCTCTTAGTAAACTCTGACTCATCGAGAAATAAACCTAGCTCAATTATATTAGTCAGTGAATTTATTATGGTGTAATAGACTGTTTTTTCATTAGCAGCATATTTATGACGCTTAAATATCTTGCAAATTGTTTCCTTTGAATCCCAGTTCAATTAATGTTAATCCCAAAATGATTTTCACACAAAAGTGTTAATTTCGCCCACATTAACAAGCAATTAATTGAAACTAAATTATAAATTAATATTGTCATGGGAAGAGATTAAATGAAACGCATTTAGCAGAAGCCAATTAAGAAATAAGTGTAAATGCAATAAATAAAGTATAAGTGAAACGTAAAAATATAATTACCTGTATAAGCCGAATTGATCGAACTTAAGTTGTCATCGCTTTCACGACTCATGCTGGCGGTGTCTAAAAATAAAAATTCAAACAAAAAAAGGGAACAAGCGCAAGAAAACGCAAAGTGAGCATAGCAAAATTAACAACGCATAAATATTAACTTCAAATTAAAATATAATTACAGCTAAGGGCTAGAGGCTAAGCCAAGCCAATTCAGGCCATGGTAACGGGCCAAGAAAGCTCAGGCAAGAAAATGTGGGTAAAATAAAAGGCAGAAAAGGTAAAGTGCAAAACTGGCAATTAGTTATGGGTCGCTCTGGCAGATCAACCTCCCCACCCCAAAAGAGTATTATTTCAGTTCAAAAAGATTAGATAACTGGGAAAGTGTTCGGTGAAGGTTTCTTCGAAATGCTTCGACGAAATTAAGATATACGTAGCTTAGCAAAATGTTTCCGCAGACTCACATGTCTGAAATAAAATGCAAAAAAAAAAAAATTCTGGAAAAAATGTCACAGACATTGCAGAAACAGAATAAAGCTTATTTTATTCCCTTGGGTAACAAAACCTAAAGACGCTAGACCAACATAAATTAGCATTATTGACTTAAGCAATCCATCAATATTATGCAAAAACCAAACAAACAAGTTCCACTCATAGAACGAAACTAGACACCATTTACTGACCTATAAAAAAAGAAATAAAAAAACACCGGCTTTAAATCAAGAAATCTAAATTGACATTTGACTTTTCCACCTGCAAATAATAATTATTTACCTTCCCCATAATTAACAACCGAAAAGAGGAGTTAAGCAAATAAGCAACTTGAGTGTTTTTATTATTTATTTGTGAATAATTAATATTCCGGCAGACGCGTGTGTTTTGATCTTGCGATAAACAGAAAAACAACTTAATTATTGTTTGTGTGCTGTCAAATTTGAAAAAGACTCTTCAGATACTTTTGGCTAAAAAGCGAAGAATGCTGAAAGTAATTTGGTTTATATTTGGTCAGTTGCCATTAAAGTTTCGGTTGTGCAACCCACTCACATTTGGAATCGGAATTTATTTCGATGGATCGGTTGATCGCAGACTTAAATGTGTGGGCGTGTCGCAACTTATAACTGTATTTAACGGTCAGAAATGGACATTAATGTCATTATTAAAGGAAAGCCCATCATCCATCATGTCAAGTGGAAGTCATTTAAGTTTTGTTTAAAGTTTTGACAAGTAAGCTAAAACTGATATTTAACAATTAAATTATTATTTTGTTTACTTTTAAAATTAATTATTTGGCAATTATTTTTTAAAAGCGATAAATTCTTTTTGGTTTGTTTAAAAGCACTGATAGTTTTTTTTTAACAAATATATTTAAGTACGCATTTCTGTTGAAGACTTAAACTTAGCACTCGAGGCTTTTTCAAGCGCGACTTAAGTGCTTTGGTCGGAGAATTGTGTAAGTGACGTGTTAATTTATTTGACTTTTGCTTTTGCTGTTCTTGCTTAGAGCTTTATTGCATGCGAAATAATTAAAGGCACTGAAGTGTAAGCCAAACAATGACCAAACAAAAGAGAACACAAAATGACCAAAAAGTGATTAAATTTGTATTTTAATTGTTAAGTGCTAAGCATTCGGACTGAACTTGGTTGGTTTTGGTTGCTGTATGAAACTGCAAAAAAAAAAAAAAACCAGAGGGAGAGGCTTTTAAAATACCCGGAACCCCTATCAATAAAGTAAGAGGAAGTATTGAATAAAATTCTTGAAAAACGATGTCACGAAAAATATATCGAAACGAAACACTATATATTTCATAAAATAATTATTCAACATTATATTTTGGTAACATTATTTAAGAAGTTTCCAGGAATCTTAAAATCTTTCTGTTTTGAGGGCCACCGACATTTCTTAATGAACTCCTCCATTAAGCTTATAAAAAACTTCAGAGGCCGATAATTCATTAGAAGCAGAAAAGTATATTAGTTAAGAAAACAAACAACAAATGCTGGCCAAAAGTCAGCAAACAGCAACAAAAAAAGAGCGGAAAAAATGAAGGCAGTAATGGGTTTGTTTACACGAAAAGCTAGAGAAAGACTCTGGTTCACTCAGTTGTGACAATAAATCATTTGAAAAGATTTTTGAGCAAAACAGGTGCAAACGAAAACATCATTTCATAATCGAAAAAGTAAGAAAACCAGGTGCGGACCATAAAAATTAATTAACCAAAGGTGGTTACACCTTTTTCAATTTTTCTCTTTTCATTACTGATTTGTGTCTAGTCAAAGAAACTGTAATTAAATTGCCGGGGAAGTCAGTGAAAAAAGTTAAAGGTGCCGCCGGCGGAAAAGCAAAGAAAAAAGGCGAACAATAAATACAAAATAAAAATCATTTTCGAGGCGTGTGAAACGCAATTAGGCAAAAGAAAAGCGCATTTACCGCAATTAAATGCCCATAACTGAGTGGCAAACAAAGCGCAACGTAAATTATTCGGTTGCAAAGGTGCGTATACGTGATCGTACAGCATCGCACATTACTCATACGCCACCGCCACCACCCACGATAAGCTGAACTGTCGATGTCAACAATTCTAGAACAAATACCAAGCTGAGCTCATTGGGGAGCTTCAAAAATATATAAATATAAATCAAATATAACGAACGCCAAAGGCAACAATAAAATTGTGTAAACAAACCGACTAAATTGAGTGGAATGACGACAGATCATTATTGCCGGTGGCGGGATCCACAGCAAATATATAAAAGTATATAGAATGTGCTCGGAAGTTAGTGTGAAATATATGGGTATATATCCCAGTTGGACAGATGGGATGAGCACTCTGTCAAGGTGATGCCTTCAAAAGGCTTTATGACAACGCTCCCACACGCCCACAAGTTTGAACAGGTGGATTGTGTAATCTTTATATATCTAGTTCTATATAAAATGTTTCCATATTTCAATTCCAGTTGTGTAAGCAGCCAAAGCCTTGAAACTTTTGTAATATTTTTTGCGATTCAAAATTAATGTTTTTTTCGCTTTATATTGAGCCAATAAATGAATAAGAAATTTGTTACATTTTTTTTCCTTATTATTTTTACGTTAATATTATTATTAGAGTGACAGATTAAATTTTTAAAAATATTTTTAGACTGTCAAAAATTTTAAAGTTCCTAGCTAAATCTGCTTGGTATCAAATCCAATTAAAATTTTTTTTTGGCATTCTTTCAGTAAAATAATCAGCATCCATGATAAGTACGAATTTCACTACCTAGCGAAAAAATGTGTGTAGATCTCACGCTCATTTCTAATTGAAAGATAACACGGCAACAGCAAAACTTTTACAGATTTTGTGTTGGCAATGTTGCTGCCTAAGAGAGAATCAGACCAAAACTAAAAATGTGTTTGCCTTATCAAAAAAACTGTTGTTGCGCCGGCTTCAAAAGCACGAAAATAATAAAAAAAAACAAAAATGTCGAGCTGATAAAATACCAGTTAACAATAACAATGCCAAGGCGAATAAAAAGACTTGGCCTGGTCCAAAATGTTTAGACAATTGACAGACAAAATGTGCGTTATGCGAACGGAACGTGGCAGTGAAAAGAAAGCCGCAAAACGGAAAGAAAGTTAGCCGCAGACAACTAAATACAAAATTGAAATTTGCATACTGTGTTAGCGGCCGGTGGAAGCCAACTTGATTTGGCAATAAGACGTCAACGCCGAGCCCCACAAAATATCACAAACAAATAAAAACAAAAAGCGAATTGCACTAAAAATCAAAGTCTTAGGCAATATGCAAATATTGCCACTGTGAAAGTCATTCCGTTTCGCATATATATGTACGTATTTTTAGACTGATCAGCATTTGTGTCTCTTTCAGTCAAAATACAAATCAGCAATAGCAAATTTGTATATCTAATTAGCGGTTAACCGCAAATTTTCAATACAATCCGCAACCGAACTTTGTTATTGCTGTTTCGGCAAATAAACTTTTGTTGTTGCCCAAAGTTTATTGTAGATATAGAATGCCTTAAGGTTATCGCAGCGAATTAGCCGATATTTCAATGAGCTAGAGGTTGGGGACACGTGCTTAGCCAATTACAATGTATTTTGTGCGTCAATTTACTTATGTAAGTACCTGCAAACAGGAAAACAGCGGATTTCAAACGGAAAATCCCTAATTAGCTACGTTCTCTGAGCATCGGTATTGGTTAATGGAAAGGGCCATAAGTATATACAAGCTAAAATGTCAAGAGCTAAACCCCGCCTTAAAAACGGCTTTATTTTTTATTAGTTTACATTTCTCGAAACTTCATTGGAAAATGTTTCAATGGGAAAATAAACTTGGTTTTGTTTTATTTTATTAACCAATAATGACATTGTTTGCATTGAATACGATTTACCTACAAAAACACATTTTTACTGCCATAAATCTAGTCCAAGTTCGATACAATATTAGTCACACGATAATAAAAGCTAGGGAAGTTCGGGAATTTTATTTATTGACCTTTTTCCGTTTGCCAAATTATCGAAACCATTGAATTGGGCAGACATAAACAAGCCAAGCCCTGATAAAAGCAACTTTAAATGTTATAATTTAAAGGAGAGATAGCAACTAAAGTATCTTATCGCTGAGAGCAATAAAACCAAATTAAACAAAAGAACTTGGAAAAACTTCAGGATTGGCAAAGACAAAAACTTTAATAAATATTTATGAGGCCTGGGTGTTGAAAACGAAATCACAATTTCACAGAGCAACAAAAGAATAAATTTGATTACCAAATGGTAATCAACCAGACGAATCAAGGTCAAAGGTTCTCACTTGAAATATGAAAAACAAAAGTTTCCAAAAATATCTCGCACCGAAATAAACACTCCTTTTAAGGAATCGCCAAGGATGGAAAAAAGGGTCGCCAAAACTTTTGCCTTAACAGTTCTTTTTCTAAGCCCGATATTTTTGATTTTTCGGGTTTATAAATAATTTTTGTAATTTTCCTGTCACTGGAAATCACCTTTTGTGAGTTTTATAACAATGATTTAGTCTCTGTTATAGCTAGCTTTTATTTTTGGATTTGTTCAATTTCGTTTGCGTGTTCACTATAAGCTATAGTATAGAGCCGATCAAGTTCAATTGGTTGCCATCTGAGCTGCAATTCCGCGTCCAACACGTCCGCTTCGCGAAAAGTCGTTCAAGTAACTGAACGGCGAGCGCCAATCGCGAAGCGAAGCAAAGCCAGCGCAAAACTTTGAGTTACTTGGGAGCGGGAGAGCGTCGAGCGATTGCCAATCCGGAACCGCAGCTTTGTTGGCCAGTGTTCAACAGCAGACACTGTGGCAATGCCTGCGCGCTTTCTGTGTTTTTATTGAATAAACGTCTACTCGCCTAAAATAAGAGCCGTAAAAAATTGTTTTTATTTTCGACTTTTGCACGGACGCGTAAAGTTAAGTAAATCTGGCAAACAAAGTTTTGCCACATGGCTTCGTTTATATTTTCCCTTTTTCGATTGAATATTGATCGATCGTCCAATGGCTTTAAGCACTTTATCCGTAAGTGCAGCGAAATCATAAAAAAATAATTGAGACGATAAGTCTACATTACTACATTTTGGTGTTTCGAAGAAGTATTGTTAAGATTTTTGAAATTATATTTACGACAACAAAAAAATATTTGTACTTATATTTCCACAAAAAAATATGAAATATTATTTGTTAAATAAATTATGACGATATTTTATTTTCCGTATGATTCTTAGAATTCAAAATTTTTGAGATTCTTGCTTAAGTGTCGTTTTAATGCGTTAAGTCCAATTTTATAAAACACAGCGTGACTAATTACTTTTAAAGTTTCCGCGAAGCAAAACAAATTAGCAAAAGTTGGAGAAATTAAACAACTAAATTCCGTTAGACTCTCCGCGCTTATCAGAAACAATTATATTTAGATTATTCTGTGAATCAGCTAAAAAGAAATGTGTTGCGAAGTGCACAAAAGGTGCATGTGAAATGCTTAATAGATTAAAATGCCGATAAAGGTGTTTCAATATGAAGTTTTAAAGAAAGAGAAAGAGTAAAAGTAACTACTGTAGAAACCAGATTATAATTTTTTATAAAGCTCGATTTCTTTTTGGATACTTTTCTTTTTTGGTTGAAATCTGAGCCTTTTGCTGTTTTAATATTCAACACGTGTCTTCAATTATAAAGATTTCAACGACTTAATGACGTGAAGTCAAATAAGTAAGACAAAAGTTGTTAATCATAACATCAATATTGACTCTCCCACACAGTCGGTGATGTAAACAAAATTGAGCTTAATCTAGAATCTAATGGAGTAATCCCCTGCCAGACGCTGCTCATCCATTAGACGTCAATCCCGGACCCGATTTCGATCCTATCTTAATGCGAAGACAAATGAGCTTTCTGTTTTATGGATGGGGAAAGAGGCTGGCTCCACTTTTTGTTTCCGATCACAGGCAATAAAAGTGACATAAGCTCATCCACGAGCGCCGACCACGGGGCGACCGCAATGATCATATCAGATCGGCTGAGAACGGAACCGGGCATCGAAATGCGCAGCGCAAAAACACCTCAAAATATCTGAACACATAGACACATACCAGAAGATACATTTCGTGTATGTTTTTCTGTGTCATCGCCAGAACAAATTCAATTAGGGAGCGAGAGAGAAAGATTGCCGGCCGGTCGGTCGCCAGGTTTTCTAGGTTCTGAGTTGGGGAGATTTCTCAGATGTGTGACATTGAGTGTTCTGAGGTAAATGACAGGTCTTGGCAGCGAGTCAAACAGTCCGTTTCAGAATGTTAGGAGAGATTTTAGAAAGTTGATCTAGCCAGCGGATCAAAGCGTTAAGCTTGGAACTGATTTAAGTAATTGCTTAGAGTAAACCGAAGTAGTTCAACGATGCTGATGGAATACACATTGTTTACTGATTAGCATTAAAACATTTCATACTTTTTTGCATGCTCAGAAAACAGATTATCAGACAAACAACTTAGTATTCATTCATTTATGAGTGGGCAAACATAATTAATGAGCAATGAACAATATTATTTATAGTAACTGGTAATGGAGAGTTGATTTGTGCCATAAACGCCCATGTTTTATAATCAATCTACCTACTAATTTGGTATAAGAGTTAACGCAATTTTTGTATGGGATTGCTTCATTTGCAGAGCTTGCCGTCCCGTGTGAATGATTCCCATAGAAACTATTATTTTCACACCTTGTGTACGCACATGCACCATGTGACTCAGTTTAATCTGTAACAATATTGCAACCCATTATTTGTGTTTATTTTGGGTAAATGTGCCTGAGGCTTTCTACGATTTTGCGGTTACCCTACGACTGTCAATCGGATATGGGACGTGTGTCTGCGAAATAGAAAACCCCTCGATCGATTGATGGATCGTCTGGCAGATCGTTTGCTATATAGGCTAGTGGGTCGACGGTTGTTGACGGCTGCGGTTAGGTTACGTGCCTGAAATGAGCCACAATGGGCGGATCAATTAAATGGTAGCACCACTTGCCTAATTGGCCATAATTCTCCTTCCCAAAAAACACTTTTCGGGGCAGCTCTATAATTATGATCGAGAGTTGAGAGTAGGCGGCAATTTGTTTTGTTTATTTTTGACTTGCGCGTTGGTGTTCCAAAACCATTAAATAATTGAGAGAAGTGAAGCATTTGTTTGCAAAACAAAACGGTTGGCGTTGGGAATTACATGTTGATATAATTAATTAAACATGAATAATGGGTTTCCCTCTTTACAAAGAATTTGAATTTTTTTTGAGTTGTCTAAAAAATTCTTAGAGTTCAATGTAGTGCACAAAGTGCACTTTTAAGTGGGTGGGGTCAGTATATATATATTTTCAGCAAGTGAGTGGGTTTGTCATCGTTTCTATTAGATCATTGCATTCGCGTGTGTACAAAAATGTATATATTGTGGGTGCCGATGTAGGTGGTGCCATTCGGTTCGGACCAGAATTACAGACGACTTGTTTGAGCCAAAGATGTTAACGCAATATAAAGTGCACTTTCAAAATTAACTCCGATCGATGCGGATAAATGGTAAATATAATTTAGGACAAATGGTAAAAAGCAGACTTAGTTTTTTAGATTAAAATTTAACCAGAAATAAACTTTTATATTTTTATGAACTGTTCATATGTAAGTTTTGTGCACTTACCCTTTTTTGTGGATATCTTTTTTCTTTGAATAACAGTTTTTGGATAGGAAAATAACATCATTAACAACTTCTTTGAATTTTTAATTACTTAAACATATTAAACTGTAATATTTTCTTGATTTAAACTCTTTACAACGATATAATCTCAATAATTGAGAGAAACCGCATTTATAAAATTGGATGAAAAACACTAGAGATTATAATGAAATGTGATGTTAATTAATTTTTGACATTTGAAAAATGTGACAATGTTTGCAAGGCGTATATTTTTTGTTGATTTACGGAAATTAATCTAACATTTTATCTCACAAGTCTTATTAAAAAACATTAAAAAATTCTCAAGGTGTATATATGTTTTTAACCATTTGCCCTTTTATATATACATATTTTCATCAAATATTACCCATAAATACATCCCCGAATATATGTATAACCCCGAAATACTTTAATTGGTTACCTGGTTTAGCGTTCTTAAATATGACTCAAACTCACCTCTTGGTGGTGGCCCCGATTTAGGGGTTGTGTGGTTGCAGCAGGGTCTTCCGATTTTCGAAACGGATCCCGTCGAGCCGAAACTCGATGGTGCCTTCATTTTGCTGGGCTGTGGGATTCCGGTACTTGAAGCAGCGGGCGTGGGTATATTGGATTTGGTCGGACCCGGTATTTTGGAGGCAGTTGCTCCTGGTTCCGGATCCGCAGCCACTGGGGATGGAAGGGGGGCAGTTGTCCCGCCCGAATCGCTCTTTTCATCACTCATTTTGCACTACTTTTTATAAATTTGCACTATTTTTTGGACACACGCGTATTAAATGTAAACGATTTAAAAAACTTGAGAAAATAAATTGTAACTATTATACAAATGTTTGTTAATAACTATTGAATGCTGATTACTTACCTTAACAAAGCTAACTATAAATTTTTGAATTTCCTTTTATTTCAACTGGAAATAATTTGATTTATACATATAAAATTTCACTAGGCTTTGCACCAATGTGCCACTTTTTTGTTGTTTTATTTTGGCGCGCAGGCAGGCTTTCTCGCTCGCACCTAGGCGGTCGTTTGAAACAGCTGATTGGTAGCGGATTTCTTTTCTTCTTTTTTTCGTTGAGCTTGAAAAACAAACAAAAACCGCTTTTTGTTGCTGCTTTCGATAGGAGACTTCGTTATAATTTAAAAAAATGCGGAACCAAAAATGTGTTGAATTAATTAAGCGTACACAAAACCATTCAAGGGTATTCTATTTATATGGATTAGTAATAAAGTATTTATAATTTATTTTCGGCCACTGCTTGCACTGATTTTTAGCTCATTTAAACAAGATTAAATTGATAAATTGAGTCCAATTGCTTATCAATTTGTGCATTAAACACACTGACACACACTGCTCTATATTTGGTTGTTGTTGTTGATTTGACACAGTTATAGAAGAGAAGGAAATGAGGGAGGAAATCGGACTCATAAAAGCGAACTTATGTTGTTTAAATTTTTATTGAAACGGGCACACGTATTGGCCACACCGATGCGCGAAAAACGATTTAATGACAACGCGTTTTCGAGTTTTACACTTTTACCCTAATTTTAGAACTTTTGCACAATATTTTTTAGCGATGCGTTGGAATTTTGTTGTTGCACTGGGTTAGATATGGGAGTACGGATAAGATGCAGCTATCGATAGGCTGCTGTCGATACATATCGATGGTTCGGCTCAAACTGTTTTCTTCAATGGGGTTTTACAAAAGCTCTTTAAAAAAGCCTAAGCTATTGAAGTTTTTGATGGTTAATATTTTTACATACAGTATATTAACTATTGGCAAACTTAACAGAACAATTTCATGACGGATCACTCATTGATATTGAACACAATTTTTTGTGAATTTTCCCATTACTGATTATGCCACAAGCTCTAAATTTTAAGTTACCAAAATATTTCGTTGTATTCGCTGCTTTAAATAAAGTTTAAATTAAATTTTCACAAAGAACTATACGATTTTCTAGATGATTTTCCGTTAGAAAAGTCCCATTCTAGTCAAGTTTCTAACCGATTCGTTATGTGTTAAGAAAAAAGGGTTGGCTTCCAAAGAGTCTACATTATGTGGGCAGATAACAATTTTTCAAGGGCTGGCGAAAAAAATCGATGAAATGAATCGATGCTTCTATCGAGGTTCCTTCACCTCTATGACCGCTGTTGTTTTTTTTTTCGATTCGCGCTCGGTTCGTCCGCTCCTGTGTGTGTGAGTGTGGCAAGAAGAGGAAGCAGAAGGAAGCCGCAGAGGGAAAACCCAATTCCGGGAAATTTTATCAATGAGCCAGAAGACCAAGTGTAAAGTGATCGAAATGCGTGCGTTTCAATAGAAAAAATTTAATTTCGAGTTTTATTTCGGCACCTCTGTCCGTTCTTTAATCGTGTGTTTGGTGGTGTGAGTACTGCGGCGGTGTGTGTGTGCGTCAGTGTCACCACGCCTACTCGGGAAATGGCCGCAACGGTCTACCAACGCCTACATAGCGTCGCCGTTGGCGTCGGCAGCGCCGCGGGCAGCGCAGTCGGAAGCGGGTCGGCATCCTGTCCAGGATCTGGATCGGGATCGGCATCTGGAACGGGATCAGGGAGTGGAAACCCCTCCTCCTCCGCCCTGCTAAGCCATTCTCAGCTGACTCGCTCGCTGGAACGAATCCTGGAGGAGGCGCACTTCAGCGGCGAACTGATCCTGACCAATCGAAAGCTGAAGGACTTTCCCAGGACTGGAGCAAAGTACTCGCTCACGGACACCGTCATCGCAGGTGCGTACTTTCCTATTACCTCCGGGGATTAAAAAGTTTTTTTTTTTAATTGTGAAAAAGTTATTTGCATGATTTTAAATTATTTTTTTTGGTTCTCCTCAAATAGGAGAAAACGTTTTTTCATAAATTTTATAGTCAAAAAAGTAAAAGTGGAACAGAAATTTCGCGAAATTCTAAACCTTTAATCTAGTTTTCAGTATCTAATTTAAGTTAGGTATTAGGAAAATTTATCGGTATATACCTTTGGGGTGCGGCTCCTTAAAAAAGGTGTGTTTGGTGTGTGCTCACCAAGTTTTCTTATCTCCGTTGCATTAGAAAATTTTCCTTTTGTTGCTTGAAAATCAATAATCTGCAGCAGCCGCTGAGGTTCTCCTTTTCTGCCCTCCCATCAGCTGCTCTCTTTCTCGCTCTCCCATTCTCTCCTTTCTTCGCCTGCGCTCAAGGACAATAATTACCGCCGTTTTCGCTCTTTGACACTTTGCACTATTCGCGTTATCCTTGTTTTATTTCGATTTCTACTGCAGCCGGCACGAAAATTTTGTCGAAGTTCAACCAACTTTCATTTTTGTTAGGGCCAAAATATGTGCACCAGCAGGGAAATGGTAAATGGAATCACCCACCCAAAAACCCACCGACCACCGCCGCCCTCTCCCACTGCCCCGCCTCCTCTTACAGCTGCTGCTACCCTCGAACAGATGTTCTCACAACGGGACATGTCTCTCATCGATTTTCACTTGTGTTTGTTATATACACATACAGTATTCGCCCTGAATAGTGAAAAAATGGTCCTGGACATTAAGATCAGGATGAAAGGGAATTAAACAATTTTTCTGTCAACATTTCATAATATCAAAATTATTTTTAAAGGAAAAATCGGATAGTCTTTACTGTATTCCATCTTTTGTGTATTTCTATGGAAATGTATAAAATAGAAGGGAACTTTTTATTTTTGGACTGGGAAGATTAATTGCCGTGGCAGGGAGATAAAAATAAATTGTGTCATAAATTGAAAACTAATTTGGTAAAAGAATGGGCAAAGAGTTTTATAAAAATGCTTTGGTGTGTGTGCCTTTATCAATCATCCAACAACAGAAATTAACAAAAATAAACAAACAGAAATTCCCAAAAACTTATCTTCAATTGCGAGCCATTTCAATTGAAATTCAATTTGTACAGAAAAGATAAAATTTAATGAATGAAAGAATCAAATAAATTGCAAGCAGAATTTTGTTATAGAGGGGTTTGCAAAAACAATTAAAGATGTTTGAATTTAAATGTTACTACATTTTTTTTTAAGTTAACTTTAGATTTGCAGTAAGCGAAAACAATATATCTAAAGATTCTAAAAAAATTTTTTTTGATCAGTTTTTCATTTTCCTTCTCCTAACCTAGGAAATTTATTTTCAATTTCCTTTAATTTTGGTTCCATCGAGTACGTGACTCGAGTTGTGAATTAAGCTGTGACAATCCGTGACGTATGGTCACGCGCTATCAGTTTGAAATGGGGAAACGATCCCTTCTTCTTTGGAAAACCCTTCCCCATATGGAGACCCAAAGTGCTTCCGCTTTTTCGTTTATTTTTCGATTAAGTTTCTTGCGTTTTCTCACTAACAATTGAGTCATCATCTGGGAAGGCGTGACTAATTACTAATTAAAATGCTGGATTTGGTGTGAATGAACATCGGAAAAATAGGGGGACATCTAGATAGGTTTGAACCTCACGTTAAGGGTTAATCGGTAGGGAAAATATTTGTAAATACACCCCAGCGAAAGAACCTCTAGAAATTGCCTTTTCGAGAACAAAGAAGCCACCCTCTGCGAAAGGTTTTCGCTTGTGGGGTCGGTGGACCTTAAGAGGTGGCAACAGCTCTTAGCCTTAATGGCTGCAACCACAAGGGTTTCGAGTTTCCAAGAAATCAATGAGTGTCTGAAGGAAAGGAAAGTCGAAGAAAAAGAATATAACATACAACAATTTTTCTTTCCTTTATTTGCACGCATGCTTTGCAACCCCCAAAATGGCAAGAAATTAATGGAATGGGCAGGCGCCTGTCAGCATTTCCTAAAATCATTTGTTGTTGCGGCTGCCTCCCCCACTTTTTTTCGCAGTGCATTCCTTTGGGGCGTTTAATTAACACGCGTGTCACGTAAATCAAACAGAACCATAAACAAAAACCTAGACAAAGGCTGCAACTAAAGAGTCAATCGAGAAGAGCGAAAAATCAACATGACAACGATCTGGCAGGAAATTGTTTAAAATAATTGCAGCGAAGAGGAAAAAGCGAAAAACGGGTAAAACTGCAGCTGGCTTCAGCGGAAATTGTGAGAAGAGAAGCCCAAGTAAATGTAAGAAGGTAGCAACAGCAGAAGCAGCAGCAGCAGCAACATGCAGCAGCAACTTCAACGCACAGCGGCAACAGCAGCTGCGCAGACCGCAAAGTTGGCGCCGGCTGAGGAAACAGCAGCTGATGAAAAGTGTTGGCTATTTGGACATTTTTAAGCCATAAATAAGGAAATTTATGAATATTCTAACGAAGGACATTATCCTACAGGCAATAAAACTGAATAATAATTTTTACAGGGGTTTTGGTTTAGTATTTTGAAACAAACATATCTTAGTTTTGAAAGTGTTATTGCCTAGTTGCTACTATCTTCTTGCTAACAATACTTTTCACCACTCTGCGACTAAGCCCATTATTTATTCAGACTGAGTGAAATGTCTGCCAAGTGACCGAGAACAAGAAATCTTTTCTGTTTTGGGGAAGTCAAAGTCCCGGCAAACAAAACAACAACAAACTTATAGAGCGAGGGGAAATGCCTTTTTGTCGTGTGGATTCGACGCCAGTATTTGTTGTTTGCATTGTAAATATGATGGGGCATAAAAAGACAGCTAGTCTGGTTTTTTGTACTTTTATTACTATTTATTCTCTGTCTGCAGCAGACAAAAGAGGAAATGCGACCGACGCAGCACGTCGCTTATCTCCAGTTGCTGTCAAACTGCACGGTTCATGGCTTGCATGCACAATGTGGGGAAAACATAAAAAATGCATTGGGATCGGAGATGGTATCATGATAAAGAAGTTCCCGGTAATGTCGATTGTGCTGTAAATACTTAAGAAATTGATACATCAAAAGGGTCTAAAAGGTATATTTTCTAGGAACAAAGTGTAAATCCAAACTAATAACAATATTTATTTTGTTTTGAACTAATAATATTTCACAAATCCCAAAATTCAACAGCCGAATTTGGGTTTAAATTTTCCCACAGTAATCTAATTCCTTACTGAAAGCTTCTTAGTAAACAAATTATTCAATGAGGAGATACGATATACACAGCCACAACCATAGCATATAGTTCACGTACCCCTTATATTATATCCATTTCTAAATGCACCCTCATTGTACCCATTGCGGGTTAAAAATAACATTATTATTTCAGCGATAAATGCATTTTGCTTGCCTTCTGGCTTGCTTATCTACAGTTGAACGACTTATGTATGTAAGTTATTTATGTACATATATGTATGTATATATCTTGGCAATATTGAGGGCAATGTAAACTTGACACAGATAAAGACAAATTAAGCATTGAGTCACTTCCATTAATTCATAAGTTTTAGCATTATTTAACAGGCGGCTGAACAATTCTTCTAGTTGCTTAATTGCTGTGCACAGCACGCGCTCAAGAAACGAAACGAGGTAGAAAGAACAAAAAGATAGATCAGATTACAAACACTTGAAGTACAGTGGACACTCAAAATATGAAATTTACTTTACCCTTCTTTTTTTCTCCTCAAAAACCTTAAAAAACTTAATTGTGAAGCCAGTGTTTTTACATTACATTAAATATATTTATGCAAAACAAGACATTCACAACCACTTACTACTGTAAGAAAATCCCGACTCTGTTCTTTGTTTTGATCTTTCTTTATTCCTTTGTTTGTATTTGCATTGAAAATATGTGACTTAGAAACACACAGCTGTTACACTCTAAATTGGGAAGAAAAACATTAATCAGCAGCGGCAACAAAAACAACGAATTCACATTGCTTCTTCCAAATATTTTCAAATATTTGTTTTCGTAGATGTTTACACTTGGCCAACACAGATTTCTGGTGTTTGGCTTGTGATTAAATGAGCATGAAGAACCGGCTGGCGATGAAGAAAAAATTCTACGCGAAATTGCAGCGTCTAAAATAAACAAAGTGGAACAGAATTTCCGAGAGAACAGTGGGTGTGTGTTTGTATTCGAAATGAAAATCAGACAGATAACCCAAGTCTGTATGGGTGTGATAGTGTTTTGATTGCTTCCAGCTTTCAATATCAAAAAGTAATCAATCGATGGAGCAAGAACCAATCGCAATTTTCCATACTGTTTATTTTTGTTAGTTCAAAGTGCGCATATGTGGATGGGACATTGCCCTATATATAAAGAGGGGTCCCAAGTGGTTTTTAATGTTATTTTCGGTAGTGGAATAAACATAAACAAAACTTTATTGTTTGGTTAATTCGGTTCCGAAAGAATTTATTTCATGGCATTGTATATTTTTTATTTCCAGGAAAATATTATTGCATAAGTTATGACAACTGGACTTAAGGGTACATTGGTACCCATTCATTTTCTCCTGCCCAAGCATAGTGATTCATAATTTCATCGCCCCACTTTAGGCCCACCAATTCAGCAATAACACTCAAACAAATTAATTTCAATAAATCCATCAATAGAATCAACTGTAGCTTTCTGTGCCCCTTTGCTAGCCTAATGGTCAGTCAATATTAATGGACAGACATGTAGTGGCAGCCACATCGTCCACATTCGTATTCGGCAAAGTAAAAAAAATTAAAGACCACGAGCCAAATAAAGTCGAGTTGGTTTGGGGAACGTGCTGGAGAAGCCGTCGCCCACATGGCTAGACCAAACATTTACAAATGTAAGGGAACTGAGGGGGAGAAGACATAAAGCTCCATTTGCCGATATCGTTGGAGCGCGTTCAATTTAATTTTTTGCGTCTTCCGGTTTGAGCCCACGCCCTTCAAAGCCAAAATGCCACTCAATGTCTGCCACATGCGACTCTTTTTTGCGAAACAAATCGTTTAACATGAAGGGTATGCGAGGTTGTAAAGGATTACTATAGAGTTTTTAAAATCGCGGTTTTAAAGACATTTAACTTTGTATTTTTTTTTAAAGATGAACTACGCTTTAATACAATAAACATCCCATCTGTATTGTTTTTATAAAACATTGTTCATTTATCTTATCTATCAATCTGTATCAATCTTATCTTCATATCTATCAATTTATGTCATAATCTTTTCAATTTATATCTTTTAATATATGTAGTATGCAATAAGCTATTAATATTTTCTCTTTAGCAAGTGCATTTGTTATTCAGTTGTATTGTTGGAAAGCTTTTATTTTTTGTGCAACTTCATCTATAAGGAGGGCTATAAGTAAGTCGTTACCTGCTCCACTTACATCACCATTTTGCTCCATTGTTCTGCGTGTTCGCTAACAAAGTTGACTTTGGGCGTTGCTCGAATCCATGTTTGTTCCAAATCCCGAGCCGCACCCTTTTTTGGCTGGATAAATGCCTGCGTGGTCTGAGGACAATTTCTGCAATATTTATGACATTAAGGCTGAGCCTTATAGGTGGGCAAATAAAAATGAAAATTAAAAAATAACACGAACAATAAAAATCCGAATAAAAACATCGATGGCACTTTGCATTTTTTTTTTTTTGGCGCGTCAAAAAATTTGATTTATTTCGCGAGACATAAAAAACACATTTTCGCCTGTCGCATTGCGTTGAAGTTGGCCAAAAGCCAGCTGTGGGCCAAAAAAAAAAAAAAAAAAACAAAATCGGGAGTGAGCGGGGAAATAGAGTGGAAACTCTTGGAAAACTGCCAGTAAGAGCACAGTTGAGCAGGTGTCGCTCGAGATAAAAAATATCTTTTTGTCACGGGTCTGAAGGTTCAAAGTACAAAGTCGCTGCTGGTCCCATTTTGTCCTAAATTGATGCCTCCGCATCAGGAAAATCCAATTTCCGCATCCGCATCCTGGAGCAACTTTTCAACTCTAAGCCAACTCATCCCGACGTCATTGGCCGGCAAAGGTTTATTCAACTTGACAGGATGCAAAAAAAAAAGGATTATGCACTACAAAAATGTTTTAAAATATTATTCGTACAGAAACCTCAAACAAATTATAAGTCGTATATACACCTACAACTTCAGAAACAAATTGTTTAAACCCCAAAATATATTATATTACAATTTAAGTTCATAAAAATTTAATTTTGCGAGGTGAGTTTTATGTTGAGCTTTTCTTTCAGTGAAGAGCTGTTGCCGCCTTTCTGCGTTGCATCATTGTAAGCTCATATAGTATGCAGCAGCAGTAGGAGGAGCTCTCCATGTGGCAGGTTAATGTCTAGAAGCTACCGAAGTCAAGTTCCCATTCATTCATCGCCTTTGTTTGCTGAAATGTACTAGTATATGGTATACAATGTCTGGTCTCCTTGGCTCCCCTCAGTGCGTAAATCACTTTGCCGCTGTCGCCAGTTTGCAGTCAGTTGCTCAGTCAGTCAATCAGTCAGTTATTCAGGTTAGCCAGTTTTTCTTGGCTCGCAATTGCTCATTTCTGGTTTTTACTGTGTTTTGGCAAGTTGCGTAAAATACCCGAGAAGTGGAAGGTAAAGTGGCAAGACCAGACTGGTCTGCGGTTCGTTAATTTTAACGTTGCGGCTATTAAAATTTACCAATTTCATATGTACTGTTTGCCAAGTGCTTGAAATACTTAAAGTCCAAGTGAAGTACCTTCTTGCTATTAAAAATCTTACTTCGATTTTTGGAAACTTGCGTTACACTATTTGAACCTTATTTGTCTTAATTTAGAAGAAAAGTTGTGAAATTTAACATTACCTCAGTCTTTTCGTACCGAAATATTTTATGCCTAAACAACCCACACAAATTCTTTCAACAATTTGATTTTTTGACTCTTATCCGCAGCTCGATCTGCCCAATTTTATAAAAATGCCTTCATGTTGAATATTCCTTGTGTTTTCCCCGAACTCTGCGCACAATTTAGCGCTGATTATGTTCTGCTTGATACACAGAAAAAATATTAAGAGTATCTTGTTTTTTTTATTTGAATACTTATAAGTTATTTAGTTATAAAAACATAAAAAATTCAAGTTTTCTGTACCATTTCACTATTGTGCTATGGAAGATTCATTTAGTGGTTTTTGTGTCGCCAAAAAATTTTCTTTGAATGTATATCTTCCTGTCGGTCCGTCTCAGTATTTTTCTCTTCCTTTTTTTTTTTCTGTTGATTTATTCATAACCTCTTCCCCATAAAGTCGCAGTTTTCGTTCTGTTTGTGCTCATTTAGCATGCAAATTCATTTAGTAAATTAATTGCTCACTCCAAACGCACTTGCCCACTTTTTTTAATTCGCTTGGGGACTATAAAAGGGTATATTCGGCTTATCTAGAATATTTGTGATACTTCGATACATAGAAGAACCACATTATTTATGCAAACTTCGTTACGATTTTTAATGGAGTGGCACATACAAAATATTTAGATTTTGTTTACTGATAATTAAATAGGAAAACAGCAAAACTTGAACATAATAATAATTAATGATATCCTTTTGAGGGCATCCGAAAGTCGAGTCATCCGCTCTAGCTTGAATTATTTTTCCTGTTGGCTGGAATGGGGCGAATCAAATTGCCGGCAGATTGAGGTCAGGCGCTCCACTGTGGCGTGGAGTAAAGTATGTTTGCGGAATGGGAATAAAAGTGCGTGTCAAATGAAACAGGGGCTCGGGTTCTCGCAACATCCCCCAGCTGGATACCAAATTAACAAATGCCCTCTGCTTCCATTTACAGATCTGTCCCGGAATAGATTCGCCGAGCTGCCCGAGGAAGTCACGACGTTCGCCTTCTTGGAGACCTTGCTACTGTATCACAATGCGATTCGCAGCATACCGGAATCGGTGAAGCAGCTATCCTCGCTCACCTACTTGGATCTGCGCAGCAATCAGTTATCCTCGCTGCCCCGAGAGATCTGTTTTCTGCCCCTTCAGGTTCTTCTGGTGTCGAACAATCGCTTGGCTTCGTTGCCAGATGAACTGGGTCGATTGGATCAGACATTGACCGATTTGGATGCTTCGTATAATCAGTTGACCAACTTACCAGCTCGTTTGGGCGAGCTGAGATCTTTGCGTTCACTTTCGCTGAGGAGCAACAACTTGATGTATCTGCCCAGGGAGCTAACCTGTTTGAGTTTAATTACCCTGGACGTGAGCAACAACAAGATTGCTAGTCTGCCACTGGAGATTCGACACATGGGCACTTTGGTGGAGCTTCAGCTGGAAAATAATCCACTTACCTCGCCTCCAGCTAGTGTGAGTTTATAAGACATATATCTTAATACATTTATTTAAGCTAATTCGTTGTTAATTTACAGCTCTGCATGCGTGGTTTGGTGCACGTGTTCAAGTTTCTGGAGACGCAGGCCACCAAAGACGAGAAGGGTTCCCGTTCAGGCGGCAACTACGATGGTTACACCACACTGCGAAGAGCTCCTCGACACAATTCCAGCGGCAATGTCCTCGAAGCCAGCACCACTGGCAGCAGTAACAACCAGCGAAGGCATCAGGTCGACTCGGGTTATAGCACTAGCGATGGTCTGGACAAGCGCTGGTCGCACGATGTCCCAGCCAAGTCGAAAACGGATTCACCGCTGCACTGCGTCTCTAATTCGGCAGCCGCCACTTTGCCCAGAACGCTGCCAAGTGCGGTTCATTCGCACGCGGATCTGATGGATGCATCCCTCACCTCCAGCACGAGTACGATTGTGGATGAGAGTCTCACCCTGAGTCCCACGGCATCGCCATGCAAGTTGAGCTATGCGCACTCGAATAGCTCCAGTAATGGTTCGTCGCCGGATCAGGATGAGGACATCATGCTGGATCACCAGGAGCGCACTGTCCACCACTCCAATGGGAAGTCAGGCAAGAGCCTCAGTAATATTCAGACATATAAGTGAGTGGATTTATAAAAAGTTTCTTTAAATAACTTACTAATGAAACATCTATACTTTACAAGGGAGTACAAGGAGGCCCTGAAACAGCAGCGCAATCAGGAGATCAGCGTATACAAGCAGAAGCATCCGAATGCCAATCACAGTCCCAACGACGACGAGGATCTATCACCATCGCCACCTGGACTCCCAAACGGATCTTCCTCGAACACACTGCCAAAGTCTATTATGAAACAGAACAACAACCAAAACGGTCACAACGGTAACGGAAATGGAAACGGAAATGGAGTCGATGATGTTGTCATACCAAAGAAACCCATCCAGAAGGTGATACCCTCTAGGAATACGGAAATCAAACCGGCATCCTCGTCTGGCATTCCCTCAGCCATTCCATCGGATTGTTTGGGCTATGTGAAGCCGCAGAGTCCCATGAAGAATGGCACAAACAAATTCAATACGTCCAATGGCGGAGGAGTGCCATCAAATGCGGGAATTGCCAGCAGCACCACCATCAAATCGCCAGTCAGCTCAACCACAAAGCTTGGCACAGTAAAGACACACCGTTCGGTGACCTGGAACCACGACATTCCCGCCGAGAAGCTGAGCTTCACCATGCGGCGGGAGTTCGATCGTCAGAGGGAGGAAACTGAGTTGATGTCGCAGTTGAGGAGTGTGAGTTTACTTTACTACAGTTCTTGTTATTAATATTTCTTCGAATTCAAATTGAGCTGTTAAATAATAAACATATTTTTACAGATCATTGAAACGCGTTTGAAAATGACGTTGCCAGTGGATATTGCCTCTGCTCTGACGGACGGTGTTATTCTGTGTCATTTGGCCAATTATGTTCGTCCACGTTCAGTGGCAAGCATTCATGTGCCATCTCCCGGTGTGGTAAGTGTGTTGGCAATTCAGTTTCATTTTCAATTATAATAATCTACAATTGTTTGTATTTCAGAATAAGTTAACAATGGCCAGGTGTAGACGCAATGTGGATAACTTTTTGGAGGCATGTCGTCGCATTGGCGTAGATGAGGTGCGTAGATTAAACAAGTCTTAATTAAAAGAGTAAAGTGCGTTTAAAGGAGTAACATTTTAAAAAAAAAAAATAGGAACTCAGTTGTTGATTAACACGGATAAAAGCCTATCCCAATTGAAGTGTTTAGTATTTATCAGATGATCAACGATCTTACGTTATCGAAACGCACTTTATTCCCTAATTTGGTTTATTCTGTAGTGTCAGTTATTGTGTAGTTTCAAGGTGAAAGGTGGCTTTGGTTGAATGCTTTACTATGCTGAGTGCTTTCCATTTGCTTTTTGTTCTGAATAAATGTAGTTTAGTTTTAAGCGTTAAACCCCCAAAAACCCCACACAAAAACACACTCCACACAAACACATACACCCACAAAAATACCCAAAAATACAAACAAGAAACTGATGCATCTGTTATTGGTGTTGGTTGCAGGAGTTGATTTGCTCCTGTGAAGATGTTGTGCCACAAATTGAACCGCAACAACCACAATTGCCACGCGCTGACGATGACTATGATGCTGATGTTTATGTCCAAGATGGCAACATCAGTGGCAGCCATGACAGCCATGACAGCAACAGCAATGACAATGACAGCAACATGATGCAGTGCCACATCGATGGCAACACCGGCAGCAGCCACCTCATTGATAGAGTGCCCAATGCATTGGCCCTACTGCGCACAGTGTCCGCTCTGATTGCCCTGGATGAAAATCCGTATCATCAGCAGCTTCATCATCACCTTCAGCTGCAGCAGCAAGCGGTTGTTGTTGGCCAACAGCAACAGCAGCAACAACACTTCGATCATGAGCAACTCAGTGAGCCAACTACCTGCAGCCAACAGCAAGAACAGATGTTGCTGTTGCAGCAGCAACAGCAGCAGCTAGAGCATGTTTTGTATGAGAATGGCCAGCCAAGGGCTGAAAATGATGATGGGGTTGAGGATCGTGATGATGATCTAGGCAAGCGGCAGCAGCAACTGGCGGCAGTGGGTCACATGCTGCTTAAGGCCAAGCAAAAGACCTATGAGAAAATCAAGCACAATCTGTTGAGTGCCCATGGTCAGCATAGTTTCCAGAGTAACAATAATAATAGAATGTTGCACACGATTGTCGAGAATGAGCACGATGTGGCCGCCGCGGGACCGGCGGGTCATTATCAAGTTATAGACGAGAAGCAACAGCAGCAACCGCAGCAGCAGCAACAGTCGGAGGATTCGAAGGATGGCGGATCACTTGTCAACGCAACAAAGGAAGCCATCAGCAAGCGCATCGAGTTCTTCGAGCAGCAGAAGAATGGCAAACAGAAACTGGAGGTGTTCAGCATCTATTTGCCCAAGGAGAACAAGCAGCTGGAGCAGAAAATAAAAGCCAAGTCCAACGAAGCTGGAACTTCAATATTAAAGCACGATTCGCACACTTTGACAGTGATACTGTCGTGCGTTTTCATCGCCACTTTCCTCTGGCTGGTCTTCTTCCCGCTGCCCGGCTAGTCTACATAGCATAGCTTCTTTATTTTGCCTTGGTTTGCCAGTAGAGTTAAGATAAAAGAGAAGGCAGCTTTATTGCTTTTTCCACGTGGTAGTGAGTTTTTGAGGCTGCTTTTTGTTTACCGCTTTTATAGGCTTATCCCTTATATTTATGATAAACTCTATACCCCAAATTTTAATCTAAGAAACGAAGATTTCCCATAAGGAAAACAAAACAAACAGGCAACTTTTGAGGCATTTAATTGAGAGACAACCCAAAGACTTTGTAATATATTTAGGCTCGATTTAATGGATTGGGGGTATGCACAATTTAGGATACTATATCTATACTATTTAAATAGTAAAAATTTATGTTCCAAAAGAAGATACAAATGCTCTTTTTGAGTTTCGACCTAAAGTTCCTTTGAAAAATACTTTCTTCACTTTTTATTGTTATTCTTATTCTTTGGTTATTATTATATAATATTTAGGTATGACTCATGATTATTATTTATTTAAATCATTATTTATTAGTGCACATCAACAATATTTATCACCACTTATCACCTACATTAAACTATAACTTGATTATAAACAAAGTTAACTCTAGCCGACTTCGATTGTGCATACCCCTAAAAAAGAATTCAAATAAGCCAATTCAACCCATAATAATCACATATTCCTAGTTCATGTACAATCTATTGAACTCTAAATTGAATTATGTACAATCTTACAAGAGTATTCAAAAATTTTATTTAAATAACCACGATTGTGGTTAAATATTAAATAACATACGCTTGAATTTATTGAATTTACATTAACCATTATAAAACTTGATTCAACTAAGTTACAACGAAACTATATCGATTTAAGTTCCATTCTGGCAAAAAAAAACCATTATAAATATAATTTTACATAGGTAGATGATACAACATAAACCAGTTAGATGGTTTAGATGAGATGAAAAGGAAAGAGACTTGTTACAGTTTGATGGACAGATAATTCGGGCAGAGTATTGTAAAAAATAACTGCAGATGAAGGTAGGAGTTGTATGGTTTTACTTGAAGCAGGGACACTCAAAATAGTTGTAGAAAGCGTGAAAATTAATAGAGTAATATATAGCCAACCAATGTACCAATTTAGAAGTATTCTTCTACGTAAAGTATATCAAATCAGTTAAAAAATAATATATATTTTGTCAACAATATGATATCAATTCATCATTATTTTATTAATTTGACACAAGTTACGAGATGCAAGAGTAAAAGTATATCATTTTTCCCATACGTACTTCAAACGTGAAGACATATTTAGAAATATTTTAACAAGCTTGTTGAAGAAGGTTCATTACCAAGCATTACTCACTTTCTTGAATCAATTTAACTGCGCACAATTCACTAATGAAAAGACCATTTAAATACAAATTGTAATCACAAAATAGTGCCTTTGACTGGAGATCGGCGGCAGTCTTGTTTGCCTACAATCTTATACTATATCGTATCTATCCTTCTCAAAAGCAATATTTTTCCATTAAAAATGTTTAAAAACGGGACACTTTCCTTTATTAATTTAATTTACAACCGAGTTTACTTGACTAAACATCCAATGTGCTAACAACATTCCTAACATTATTTATTTACTTTAAGCATAATTGTACTTAAAAGATGGAAAACAAAATGAAATCGAATCAAATTTCTAGAAGAAGCACAATCTTTAACCCTCATAAAACATTTAAGATAAACGTATATATTTATCTAGCGTCTAAAACCAGAAATATATATTTTGTCTAACAAAATTATTAAAAAAAAGACAAGGCATTGAGGCAGCTGTAATCAGTCATAATTTTTATAAAAAACGCGTATTTAACATGCATATATACTGAAAAACATATACGACATCTCCAAAATGAAAAATTTAAGCCAAAACATTTTCTCAGCATTTGTCAGGAATATTCCGTATTTCTACTTCCAAACCAAATGAAAATAAAATAAAACCGTTGCATTTAAATTTAAGCACAAATTGTCAACTAAGCGCTATGTATACAAATGAAATCAAAGAGCAAAATATATGACAAATATATGTACCCAAAAAAAGTTAAATGCATTAAATTAACATCTTACAGTTTGAGAGCAACCGTGACATAGCTAAGACCCAAACCATAACGTGTGGACCGTGTTTTTCTTAGCAAATAATTGCTCCAGTGGCATTTTAACTGTGTCAAGCCGGAAAACTTAAATTCTTAAACTGAGATTCTTTCAATATAAGTAAAAAAGCAATTATAAAACTAAAAAAATAATATTGTATATCTTAACCTTTTGTTTAATCGTTTGATGTTGGAAGACAACGAACGTTAATCAAATTTTTGCCCAAGCTGACAATGAAATTTCTACTTATTTGTGCAAATCTTATTTTCTAGAATCTAATTTGCTGTGCTGCCGACGTGCTAGAGGGAAAAGGTGCCGTCCAGGTGGCCATTACGGTGGGTGAACTTTTTCGGCTTCATGGAAATGGTGGCTGCGGCAGTGGCAACAGCAGTGGCGCCGCCACACCCACAAAATCGCCAACCAGAACGACACGTGCCACAATGTCACCAACGCCATTGGCTTAGGATAAGTGAAACAGGACATGGATGTGGAATCGGAACTCTCGGACATCCCACTAATCTCGGGATGCGTTTGAAATGGGTTTCCAAATGGCCGCCATATACACACTTACATAAATACATGCCAAATGTATGATTTGTTGATATTCTTAACTCACTAATTTTTCTAGGTTTGTAGTTCATTTATGTAAATACACAACACTCACAAGGAACACACAAAGAAACCAAAATACCAAGTACACAAAACAATCGAACAAATATCGAATCAAATCACACGAGTCACAAATTATTTATGCGTGCTTTTTGTTTTGTGCAATTGTTTATAGTCTATATACTGTATGTGCTACAATCGCCAGTTTTGTTTTTTGTTACATTAACCTTATCACACCCACATGAGCGAATAATTGGGCCAAAATTACGACTAGCGGTTAATTGCATATTAAATACTGTTTTAAGTATGAATCACATATGAACATCCAAATATTTAGATATTTATCGAATTATTATTATGGCATATTTATTATGTAGCTTAGCTGTAGATCTACGATTAACTGTGGTTAAACTTTTCTACCGGCGCTGCATCATTTCTACGAATCGAATTATACTAGACCCATAAGTCTTCGATTATACAAATATTATCTATATCAAATAAAAGCGAAGAAAACTTGTCATACGTAGAAACTATTTGTGTTTTAATTTGCGGATACACTTTTGTTTGCCTTCTCAACAAAAATTGGCAGTTAATGTCAACAGCTGTGGCCCAACAAAAAACGGCGTAAAAATCCGCTGAAAGTTTTCTTTTGTAGTTCCATAATTTGCATAATGCGCCAAACAAACAATTGACTTTTTGGGGGTTGGGAGGGGTAAGAGGAACAAAATCTGCTCAAGTGAAAATTAAAAACACTCGACACATCCGCCAGTTCTTTTTAACAGCTGCTTCGCTGGCAGTAATTTTTGGTAAGTAAAATGTGCTGAAAGTTCACTAACGAAAAACAGAGGACACTTTGTGACAAAAATGTTAAAAAAAACACCATTATCTGAGAAATAGTCAGGAGACATACAAGCCACTAAGTTCACAGAACTTTCTCTCATCTTCAAAAAAGTTTCTGGAGTCTACCTCATCAATTAGTCAGGACATATCCTAAGCCACATATTACTAATTCACGCCTACGGCCAGAAACAAGGACAATACGGGGACAATGACAAACGGAAGAAAAAGGAGGCTAAATAAATAGAGAGGCTCCAAGTCATTTATCACTGTGAAATTTATTAAAATGATTATCTCGTATCTACATTTCGCACGGAATGCCTAATTTTTTCCCAGGATAAAACAACACCAACCTTCTACTGACTTTCAGTTTCTATTTTTTTTGTTTGTGGTCTGCTATTAGAGGTTCTGCGCCAGTTTTTGCCATTTTGAGTCACTGATAAGGGAAACGAACCACTTCGCCGAAAAGTGCGTAAATACACAAAGGGAAAGTTTTTGTAACTTAATTGTATTTAGAAAAAATCATTTTAATAAATTGATACACTGATTATTCTTTATATACGAGTGTTTTCTATTCTTTAAATTTCTATATTTGTTTGTTCTATTGAAAAATGCTTTAATTAAAATGCTTTGACTTAGTAGTGATGCTCTACAATTTTTTAATATTCGCTTAAACATTTTTATGCTTGTTTAAGTGTTTTTTAATTAAGGTATATTTTGTCTCAGTGCTGTGGGTAAACTTTTTGGAGCTCTTTGGCCGGGCCATAGTTTAATTGTGACATCCGAACAACACCCTAGTCCCTTCACCAGAACACCGCCTCCAGGGAGAGCAATTAGTTGAACTGCGCCCTGGGGAATTGCGATAATTAAAATGCTTCTGCTGCTACATGCGGAAATATTTTTTAGCCAACTAATCTGATTGCTCCTATATCAACTCTGTCAGCTCGGTGCGTTCTTGTGCGTTTGCTCATCGTCCTTTTGTGTAAGTGAAACAGAATCAACATTTGCATTCAATTCGATGGCAAAAAGCACTTTAATTTATTTACCCCATTGAAAGTCATTTCATTCCTAATCCTATTAATTCAAATTCAAACACTTTTACCGCACCAAATAGAATTGCTTTTTGTGATGGGTGGGGGAAGGAAATGTTTGGCTGTGCTTTTTGTTGGCGTAAAAAAATGGAAATGCATTGTTTTTAGTACTCAGAAAATATTTAAGCTTGGCAAAGGGATTGTGAATGGACTTTTGTGTTCGCCAAAGCGATTTCCTTGGACCAGAACGCCATTTCTACCACGAACACGGTCATCAAGCATCTGATGCAATCAAATTGACAAACTAGTAAACCCAATCACGGCGACAGCTTTTTCCGAATGGCGCCTGTGAGTGTTTGATTTCGATTAATACTCTTACACTCAGAAATAAATTAAGAATAGTTTAATATAACAACAACCATTGATTTATTGATACATTTATTTCGCACAAAATAAAAGAAAAAAATTAAAAATTACCCTTTATTATCCTTTAATATTTTATCTTATATGTATCATATAACAATTCTCTTTATTTTTGCACTCAATCCCGCCAAATTCTCTACTGGCCAGGCCTCATTTAAATGCATTTCCTCCCACTCCAAGCTCGCCAGCATTATAATGAAGATGAATTTTTGTAGATTGTGTATTTTTCCAGTTCGTGTAGCAATTTCTTGCTAAAATTTGTTTGGCCAAAGTTCCAACTCTGTTGGTTTTCCGGCTTTCCTTACGCCTTAGGCACAGTGTAGCCGAGAATTTAAATAATGAAAAATAATATATATGGATGTGCGTATGAACGGGTCTTTAAGGAGCCCCCTTTTTTTCGGGAGGCATTAAATATGCAGCAGACGATCCTAAAACACGTATCATCCTCTGGTGCCGTCGCAGTTTCGCACTTTCGTTGCGCTAAATGAGTTTCAGCTGCAAAATTAAAAACTTTATCAGAAGCAGAAGCAGCAGCGGCAGCAGCAAAAGTATGTGTGTGTGTGTGTGTGTGGAAAAAAAAACTTGAAACTTTTTCATGAAGTTAAAGCAAAGTAAAATCAAATTATTGTGGTTGCTCGCAGGCTGGCAAAAGGATTACGCGATGGTGGTTCTCCTCCTCGCCTTGCGCGGCACCTCTACCCATTTTCCGCCCTATTTTCCACCCCATATCTGTGCCCATTTTCCCGCCCACATCCACCTGTAATACAACATGCCGGCATTGCATTTTCGGTGAGCAGACAGACAGAGGGACGCCGACTCCATAGCCAGACAGTTAGACTCGCCTGGCTGCCTGTTCACATGAAGTTGGCGCATTCTAATTGAATTTTCACTTTTTTCTCGGCACCCGCAGCCCGCTTTTTACCCCACTCTCCCCGCATTTCCCCACCACTTTTCCCGCCCTCCAGCCAACCTGTGCGACTACGTGACGATGGCCTGGCACAGAAATTGAAATAATTATTTTTAATCTTAAGTACGACTTGCGCGTAATGAGATTTGGATTATCTCGGCACCCCTTTTTTCCAACTCCCCTAGACACATGAAAAAAAGGAACTGATTATTTTGAGACGCATTAAAAGTATCTGTGCGTTTGGACATAAAAGAATAAAGTGTGTCATAACTTCTTTTATGTGTCTTAAATCCTATTATGTTTAAATCGTTACCGTCAGATTTTTTTATGATTTGAAACGCTCAAACGTTAAAATATAGTCGCAAATATGAATATTTAATATGTAAAAATCATTTGTTAAAAAAATTTGATTTGCTTTAAGCTTAATTCCATTTTATTAGTTTATAAATAACTTATTTCTTATTTTTCGAGAAAGCCATGGCTGAAGCACGTCTTCCACAACTTCTGCATCGCATTCGACAATCCCGGCAATATCCAAAAGAATCTATAAGTGACGAACCTCGCTTTTTTCTATTGCCTGATCGAACTAAATTTGCAGATGATGATTTTACTGAACCCATCGACCAGGGGCGGACGCAGAAAAAATTTTGGGGGGTCCGGTCGAAAAATTTTTTCGTTTGGGGGGGTCCGGTCAAAAAAATTTTTAGTTTATATGGTTGAAAGGCCGTGTGCTGTAAGGAAATTTGAAAAAGTCTGCGATTTTGGGGGGGTCCGGACCCCCCAAACACCCCCTGCGTCCGCCCCTGCCATCGACCAATCGCTATCACTTTCACTGGCTTTTCCCTCGACGTAATCAAGCAACTTTAAGGCAGTTCGCATACGACGGTGATATCTTTTATCAATAGTTATGGTAAAGAGTTCGGAGTTCCCATTTCCATATGGTCTAGACAGCATTTCCTTTTCAGATTCGCCATCGGAAGGTTCCTCTAGCTCGAAACTAACATGGCATGGCTTTAGTTTGTGATTTTTCCTGACATTTTGAATACTTTTTTGGGGTTCTTTCTCGGATTTTGAATCCTTTCTTACAATACTTGGGAGTTTCTTCTGTGTTTCCTTTTCGATTTGCTGCTTCTTTCTGCTGGACTCACCCAATTTGGCAGCTGATTCGAGAGCCGAATACACTTGATCTCTTTCTTTCGGGCTAAGATTTTCAAAACTTTTCGGTAGTACGAATTTTGGTTTTTGGATAATAGGCTTTCGCCTTAGCTTTTCGCAAAGTGCGCTGCCTTTATTAGACTTATGGGTCGAAATATGTTGCTTCGACATAATCAGAAGTATTTTACTTTCCTTTCGTTTTGGTAAAATTTTATTTCACTACCGATTTTGATTTTGTATGGAATAAATGAGGGACTGAAACTCGATTCGTCTTTGATTTCCTTGACTTGGCCTACGTTGCATAAATTGCCAGCAGGCTGGAAAAACTTTTTCCACCCACAACCCACGCAAATATTGCATTTTCATTAAGTTAAAGTTTGGTTTTTAGTTAAATTTTTTTGTACCCTTTGCGGTTTTCCCCTCTCCGTTTACTTAAAAACTTTTTGAGGCAAGTTTTTTGGCCCAAAGTTTGCATGTGTCTGTCTGTCAGTGTGCTTGTGTATGTGTGTGGGTAAGAGTGTGAGTGTGTGTGTGTGGGCGCGTGTAATAATCATGTGCTCAGTCAAAGCAAAATGGCGATAGCATTGACGCTCCGACTAAAAACTTTCGACAGACCAACTTGCTTTTGGGCCAAGTTTCAAGCTGCCAACTACAGCATCGCTTCTCAGGCAATTTCCCAGCAATCTCAGCCTGCCAATGAACTTAATTTAGTATGACTGATTAGGACAAGCCCTTAATCTTAGAGGAACTTGGAGGAACTTTATAAAAAACAACCAAGAAGTAGTAAATGTAATTTTTGTTAATCGTAATTTTACTTTATAACAATTTTGATTTTACAATCAATTCTTCAGCTTCAGTTGATTTTGTTATTATCTTTTCTGTACCCCCCAACAAAATCTTCAATTTCAATTACTTCATAGTTCCATCACAAAAATATGAGAGGGGCAGAAAAATTTAATAAAAGTCAAAGTCAAACTGAAAACCATTTTCACACTTGGCCGATCGTTTACAATAACTAAAAATTGAACTGTTCTTTTCTATTACCGCACTTTTCACACTTTTTTGTAGGGCTTTTTTGCTTTGGAGCTTTGCGTCAAAACGAAATGAATAAAATATTGGCCGGCTAACTGGTGACACTCAGAAAGGGAGGAATGGAGTCATCATCATTTTTTTAATAAACTTCAGCCAGTTCATGGAAAATCTTTTGGTTATCAATGTGGGTCAGACCATAGTTTCCATAAAAGAGGAATTGATTTATTTGTGCGTTTATTATTAGTTGCTGCATTGCAGATTCCGCTAAAATATTCTTTTGTGCATTTTTAAACTTTGATTTCAAAAAAGTCTGGTTCTATGGGGTTTTCCCTTTCCGATTTTGATATATGTGCGAAAAATACATGTTTATGAATCAAAGGGTTGCTTTTGAATATTTTTATCAGCCGAATAAAGGGAACGTTTATTTTTTCTTTTTCCTACATTAAAGAGATAAAAGAAGCTTATGAAGTTGCATTTTATTAAATTTTGTAGTACATAAAATTGACTTATGATGTGAAAATATATATCAATTTACAGGTATGCGTATATTCCGGTTTTGCCTCACTATAAATTGCTATATAAAATATTTCTCCTGCAGTCACTTTGGCAGTGTGTTTTAACTTGTTGACCCAAATATTGGCACAGGTCCTTGAGCACTCAACAACTTGTTGGGTCATCTCTTCTGCCCAATGAACAAGAGTGTTTCTGGTCCAACATTTTACTTGGCAATGGACACGGAACTCGCAACCGGGCAGCTGCGCTCGAGTTGTGCTAAGCACATCATTATGTTGGCTCAACTTTCCGATCATTTTTAATTACCCGCCCACACTTCGGCCATTTCCCTTGGCCGATTTCCTCGTCTGCTTCTGCTTTCACCACCCTCATTTTTTTTTTTTTTTGTTCGCCATTAATTCCTTTAATGGAACGCTGCATTAATAAACAAGAAAGGAAGCTAGCTTCGGCAAACCGAAGCTTATATACCCTTGCAGTCATCAAATATGTCGATCAAAATGCATAAGGGCTAAGCAACATTGAAACTATGACGATTTTTCTTTTACTTTTCCATATTTTCGACTATTGTTCGTATGGCAGCTATATGATATAGTTGTCCGATTTTGATGAAATTTTATATGCAATTCAAGAGCAGTTAGAAAACTCTATATTCCAAAAACTATGCTTGTCTGTTGAAAAACAGCGATTTTATAGTTTTATTTCCCGTATTTCTATATAGATTTTTCGATCTTTCCTAAGGCCGCTATATGATAACGTTGTCGGATTTTAATGAAATTTTTTTCTCGATTCAAGGCTTATTAAAAACCTCCATGTTTTGAAAATCACGCTCGTGGGATTAAAAACAACGATGTTATAATTTTTTTCATTATTTATATATATATATTTTGATCTTTTGTATGGCAGCTATATGGTGGAGTTAACCGATTTTGATAAAATTTTATACAAAATTCAATAGTGGCTAGAAAACGCCATCTAGAAGGAATCAAGTCGATCTGATCAAAAACAACGGCGTTATAATTTTATATTTCAATCTCTTGTATGGGAGCTATCCTATATAGTGGCCCAATCCGGCCCCTTCCGACATATATACTGCGTGCAATAACTACACACCTTTTGGGAAAGTTTCAGCAAGATAGCTTAAAAACTGAGAGACTAGATTGGGCAGAAACGGACAGGAGGACAGACGGACAGACAGACAGACGGACAGACGGACAGACGGACAGACGGACAGACGGACAGACGTACAGGCCTATTTCGATTCAGATCGTGATGCTGATCAAGAATATATATACTTTATGGGGTCTCAGGTGTCTCCTTCACTGCGTTGCAAACTTCTGGCCAAAATTATAATACCCTTTGCTCTGCAAGGGTATAAAAATACGTTATGAGCGCATAATAGAAATAAAAGCTAATGTAATTACATGCCGCACTTGTTTCGCCTTGTTGCAGTGCAAAGTACGAGAATCACCCACCCTCCAGTCTAAAAACGAAAATACTGAAAATTTAATTCAACATTTAGAACCAGTTGAGCATTAAAAAGTTGAAAGGAAACGGGGGTATGGCTTTTTTGATGAGGTGTAAAAAATATGCAATGCTTAACAATGTAACAAATGAAGATGAAATTTCAGGATTAAATAACAAGTATCGGAACTTTGTGGGGGGAAACTGACTCGGAAATACGAAATTAAATGCATTTCCAATTTAAAAATATTAATATTAAATATCTTATATATTATTAAAACAGGGTATCACAAACTTTGAGTTTCCCTGCACAAACTAAGCATTTCTTGTACTCGTCCACCTTTTTTCTTTATTTATTTTGTATTTTTTAGCGACTTGCAGTTGTTGTTGACTGCTGTTGGGTGCTTAAAAGCTTTGCATTAACTATTAAACGCAACTTGAATCGCATAACGGCACTTGGCACACAAAGAGGGCGAATTTAACGGGTGACGGGAAAATAGAAATAGAAATTGGTGTCAGGAAAAGTCGCCGTCGGGCATAAAGGGGGAAATTGTGGGGAAGGGGGGGGTGCAGTCTAACAATTCCATCCAAATTATGGCTAAAGGCGGAAAATAGGAAACAGCGCTTATTGTTAACTGATTTGCGCCAATAAATTTGAAGCCAACCAAAGTCGAGTCAACAAATATAATTTTGAATGGGTGCACAGGTAGAAAAGTTTGAATTATATTTTAATTACTATATAATTCAGTTATCTTTTTTGTTACAATACACAAACGTTATTTTTTTTAATTTTGGGCTTAACATTTTCTTAAAATTTAAATATTTTTATAATTAATCTTTACTACAAATTATTTTTATTCATATCAATCGTATTGGGGATTGTCAAAAGTATTTTAATATGTTTAACCAGGAATCTTCATTTGTTTCTGCTTACCCCGGATGCTCTGACATTCAAACTCACATGCTCAGTCTTTAAAAATGTTTTTATTACTCTGCTTTTTTATAAATAATTTTATTTTTAATTTGAGTTCAGTGTACCAAAACTGTAGGTTTTCCGCTAAATAAATTTTTATTTATTCTCTTGCTTGCTCTTTGTCCCTGGCTCCCTTGCTCTTTCATCTCGAGCGCAGCACGCGAGGTGTGCTAAAAAATTCATAGACCATGGGTGGATGCTGGGGGGCAAAAAAAGAAACCCGAGAGGGGTTCTGCCAACGCTGTGCAGCTGAAAATTCCTGGGCCAAAGGAGTTGAGAGTTTGAAGCTGTTAGCCTGACAGGTTGCAATGCTATAAAATGCAATCAGCTGCAAAGAAAATAGGTTTTGCTTCACCAAACAGACACTCAGCAAGAGGAAAAAGGATGGAAAACAGTAGAGTGCATCCACAGGAGCTCTTTCCACTGCTGCTGGATGGCATAAATTAAAGCGCAACAAGACCAAACAGACGCAGGGCATATTTACCAACACACACACAAATATACACATATACCCACTGCAGTTGGGGGAAAATGTACTCGGGGAAAAAGGGCAGGAAAAGTGGAGTATCATCAGGTTTCTGCAGACAAACAGATTGTGGGCTGACTGCGGACATTCAATGGAATTGCCATACGAAAAGACAAGACACGATGAGAATGCTTCAAAGCGCTGACAACTTTCTCGCTGAGAATTCCCCTACCTTATCCTTGGTAAATTTTCCCCCTTTTCTTTCATGCTCGCGGCGCAGCCAAGTTTAATTGCCGGCTGTCGCTTAGCTAGACAAATGCAAATTGGCCAAGCGAAACGTTAGACAACCAGTTAAATGCCAACACATAATTACATCGTCAACAGCAGCTGGTAGCAATTTCTGTCTAAATTCAATTTTGTAACTATAAAAAGGTTTCGATAAACTCGTTAAAGGGGCGGTTGAATGTGTAGTTTTAAAGATATAAATATAAATGCCAAAAATGTAAATCTTTTAGATATATCATAATTATTAATTTCCATTACAAGTAATTTTTGTAAAATTTTAAAGGAATACTAAGTTTGTAAATCTGTTAGCGTAACTAACGTAAATTTGTCAAATTTTATAAGATTTTACTTGCTCTAAGTCCACAACATTTATAATTTTAATCCGATTTTGAAGTGGTAGACCTCTTGTATTTTATTTCTCTAACCAACTGCATCATTAGTAAATTTTTTATTTTTTGGCCAAGTGTTCCCCACACAAAATTCTTTTAAGTTTCTCCATCTCTCACGTTAATTCGCCTTGAAACT